AAACACCTGTGTGTCCGTCAACGTTGGCCCACTCAGCAAGAATGGACTCAGGGTCTGCCAACTGAGTGATTCTGATCACATTCAACATCCTGCTGACCTTAAACTCCAAGAAGGATACCAGTATTGGGCTACAAAGGTGCGGATATTCGGATAGAACACAATACGATAGATTCATTTTCCAATTCTCCTTGGTATGGTTATGCGGTGTGTTTATGAAAAGAAATCCCACTAAAGATAACTTTATTCCTGCAGAATCCATGTTCAAGCAGCCCTTGTCTTCATAATGCAACCTGCCTAAATGGGTTCACAGATAGGAGATACACTTGCTTGTGTCAAGTTGGTTTCAAGGGAAAAAATTGTAGAAAAAAAGGTGACCAGAAACTGAGAATTGATCTAAATAAATGTCAGGTTTATCTTCATGCTTGTGTGTTATCTCCCCCTGTGAGTCTTTTACTTTGACACGTCTCGTGATACGCTTCATTAGTATTATTGTTAAAATTATTATTTATTTATTATTTATTTATTTATTTATTTTTTTGCTTTTTCCCACCTCCAATGTTCGCGGTTGATATCCGTTTAAGAAATTTTTTCTGCTTTTGTATTAATTAATCTGTCATTTGAAGGCTATATACAACGTAGACGATTAATTTTTCCATGCCCCTTTAGAGGTTGTAAAAATGTTAAGTAACTCGCAAGTACTCAAACGTACTCCTTTTTTTTAATTATTGAGGAAGATACGAATTAAGATTGTGTATCATTACATTAATCAACAGCGAGCCTTTGTGTCATCGTTAAGAAAACTGAAAGAAATTGTGCTGAAAAATATGTTGGTATGAACTTTTTTTGTTTTTCCCTCAGCATTTAGAGCAGTTTTTACAAATCTCAATGCCACTGGAAGATATGGTCCAACAACGCTGGGCAATCACTACACAGGTCAGGATCATGACGGACAAGTTACACTGTCCCACGGTATTCAACAATGGACTGTGCCGTACACTGGTGGCTACAAAATAAAAGCGATTGGAGCAGCAGGAGGGTACGATTCATACCCTAACAGCTCTCAATACCGTGGAGGAGGAGCAAGAAGGATTGGAAAATTCCGTTTAAACGAGGGTGAAGTTATCCGGATACTTGTAGGTCAACAAGGAGGAATAAACAAGAGGAATGAATCATCTGGCGGTGGTGGAGGTACATTTGTAGTAAGAGGAGCCCACACACCTTTGATAATAGCTGGAGGCGGAGGAGGGATAGATTCTGCAGAGTCAAGACATGCAGGATGTGACGCCAGCACAAACACAACAGGGAATTCTGGGTACAAGTCATGGTCAGGAGGGAGCAATGGACATGGTGCGCAGACTGCTGATGATGGTTACTCAGGTAAGATAATACTGTGATGATCCCTTACCCCTCGGCTCCTCATTAACGAATGTGTCAATGTATTCTTCAAAATTTAAATCATCGGCCCTAATACCACACAAAACAAAAAAACAAAAAACAAAAAACAAAAACAACAACAATAAAAAAAAAACCTAATACTTCCTTGGAAGAGGACCAGTTTATATATCAGGGCATATAAAAGGTAGATATTAAAATCTTAAACTTAATGGATGGTGGCTCAATAGAATTACATTATATACAGGTTTGAACAAGCTGATATGTGTACGTTAGGGATTTAATATAAAAAAAGGGCGTTTGTTTACTAAGACTTTACTCGTCATTTTGTTGTTTTATTTGTTCTCAGGTGGCGGTGGTGGCGGGTTTTACTCCAGTGGAAGACATGGAGAGAATTTCAATGGAACCAAGGGAGAGGACGGAGAAGGTGGTCATGGATTTCTTCAGGGAGGTGAGGGTGGGAGATCAGTGGATCACAATATTGTCGGTGGGTTTGGTGGAGGAGGTGGAGCTCATGGATGGGCAGGAGGAGGAGGAGGAGGAGGGTACTCTGGGGGAAGCAGTGGAAGTGGTAGTCATGATAGCTGTGGGGGAGGGGGTGGCTCTTTCAACAATGGAGACAAACAGGAGAATGAATGTTGTTATAACACGGCTGGTCATGGTCAAGTGATTATCACGTTGCTGTAAAAAAAAAATGACTACGTGTTATCGTACAAAGTGATTATAAGATAAGGGTTCATCTCTGTTTGATTGACAGTCTAATTGTTCTTATTTATAGCCCAAAGGCAAATAGACCTTCTTTATTTCAAATCTTTACTGGCCTTTCTCTGCTGATCCTCAAGAAGATTAGTAAAGATTTGAGTTCCAGTAGTAATGACTGACCCCTGTCACACTGGATTAGTTTGGAGTCAATGTTTTTCGTACACAGCTGTGATTTAAAGTTTGAGCATGGGTTATCAGATGGTGAAAACAATTTTTCAAAATTTGAATTCTCTCCCGAAATAAATATTTGATTGAACAGCATTTGTCAAAAAGCATTGCTAGTTCTATAAAATGTTCCTCTTTGATGTTTGAGTTATACGTATTTGATAAGTATTTCTCTTTGTTTATATGGAAATACTTTAAAATTAATTTCTATAATAATAATGATGATGATGATGATCATAATTTCTCTCTGTTTCTGCAATAATAATTTGTATCAAACCCTTTGACAGTGTGTTTTAGGTAAGGTTTGCGTGTTTGTTAGATATACTAAGATAAAAAGGAAGATATCTCTACCAATAGCCTAGAAGCCTTTAAAACTTTCGCTTAAAAACCTTTTCCTTGACTTCTCAGTATTTTAGCCTTCAGCAAACCAGCTAGACCACGGCCTCTTATAGTAAGCTATTAACACTTGATAATTAAAATAATTTATTGTATGGATTTGAAATGGAAGATAAGCGTCAAAAGGTTTCATGAAAAAGCGGCAATGTCGATTTGTAGTGGGATATTACTTACATTTATTATAAACACAATGTTGCTTAGTTTACAAAGATAAGTTTTTTCATCACAGTATTAGCGTAAATTCAAAACTTTTGCTGGATCGTAGATGACACTGGAAACTTAGAGCAAAGCAATTAATAAAAATGTTCTCCAGTATATCGTTTGTGAATTTCTTGACTGTAAAGGTAATGATCTTTCAATGAAACTATTTTATATTTTCCTAACTTCGATGAATATGATTTGCGTTCACAAAATGCGAGGATTTTTTTAAGAAAAGGTAGAGGTATACAAATGTTAGAAAAAAAGAAGATAAGCTAAGAAACAAATAATAACGATAATGAAAATAATTAAAACGAAGGGAAAGAAACACAAAGCTAAAATAACAGATCCAAGTTGGGGGTGGAGGATGAGGGTGGAGGATGTGGGTGTTCTTGTCACCCATCGGAGGAAAGGGTTAAAGAAGTGGAAAAAAAACCCAGACTGACATTCAGCTATCTTGATCGAACAAGCTTGGTTAATAAAGGATTAACTATACAGCGAAAAAGATCATCGCATCATTTAAAGACCAGAAACAAGAGAGCCTTTTATCAAGGAATCCAAAACTAGTGCAGGTGTCTTCTTAAAAATATTTAAAATTGAAACTTCTGAGGAAATATTCATTACAAAGCCTTGGGGAAAATTTATTTACCTCCTCGTATTTGTAAAGGTAGACATTTCACAACAAAGTGTGGATCTTGATAATTCCATCTTAATTTTTTCTTCACTGGATACTGAATAATGCAGAAGATATTTCTATGGTATGAATCACTCACGAACCTGCCGAACTTTACGCAAGTGCTTTTTTAAGCCTCACTCGCGGTAAATCTTTCATGAGATTAATTAAGGGTGGCTAAGTTCACGAAATACCACATGAGAGGCATAATAAAACAATAAGGCTCTTATTTACGTTTGGCAATTATCTTCATTTTTCCTTCATGAATTAAATTTGTTTTGACAACTTTCGGACCTACTTCATTCTTTTTAGCTTGCTCTTTTGTGGAAGTTGCAGAAAGCAAAGCCAATGTTAAGGACACTTTTATTATCTACACACTTTTTCTTTCCTTCATTATTTTCTTTAGGGAGTGAAGGGAGGGGGGAATAAGCAATAAAGCAAAAACACGAATTTTCTCACTCATAAAAAATGGTTTAGTTAAAGTTAAAGGCATTGACGAAGAAAGAACATTGAAGGTGGCAATGTTGTTCATTGATCAACATTCGTAAATGTTTTCCTATATATCAATCACCTGGATTTTATATCAACTCTTTTAGCCCTTTTTTTAAAGAAACTTTTCATCCTTTATAAGATGATTGAGGAGAATAGTAAATTATCTCAGTACATAAAGACCGACGTGAGGTCAAACAATCGTGAAACACCAATAGTTAAAATATACGACAGTATGCATACTGACTGCTTTTCACAATGAATGCCCATTATTTCAAAGAAAAGAAGAATTTGGCAGATGCCAGATCCCATTTTATAGCGCCATAAGTGTTATGAAATACGATCCCACATTCGGTGTTATGTTATCAAAGACAATTTGAGGCACTTCTTATGAACAAGTTATCTAATCTCAAGACTCTACCACATAGTTATCGTCAACATCATCAACAATATTGTCATTATTCAACGCATGGCAAAACCAAAACTAGTCGTACTTGAATCCAATCCACCCATCTGATTTTTTTAAAGCAGTCGATAAAAACAAAGATTTAATCCTTTTTCGTGACTTAGTATCTTATGTCTGGTTCGCACTGGTGATAATGATTTACAGAAATAAGCCTAGCGACTAGGGATGTTAAAATTGTAGTGCAAACTCGTAGGGATGAACACAACACAATGGCAATATCTCTATGAAGCAAATGGGAACTACGCTTATAAGATTTCTGCATGTTCACACCATAAAAACATCGACATACAGTTTTAACCCTGTTATGCCTTCAGGTCTTTGTCGTTATATCTGGAGTGTGAAATTGGCTCTATGAATCAACAGGCCAGCGCTGAGCTGCACATGATAACATCACTGATTAGCACACTGATTTGGCTCGTCTTTAAACATATTATTTGCTGCATCTCCTGAAAGCCAGTTTTAGAAATTTTCCTTCGGTTCTGGCTTCACCCGCTTCCGCTCAACAGCAGGCGGGGCTTCGCTGCAAGTAGATAATTCACTCAGAACAGATGAATTCCTAGACTGTCTTCCAAGCGCTTCTGTAGATACTACAAGAGGAGATAAAACAGAAAGAAAGGTTGACTTGGATTACTCGTGTCCCCGTTATTCGGTTCCCTTGCAATTTTTTGTTTGATTACAGTGGAAACCTGGCGAAAAAAGCGGTTCATTTTCACCACTGCGCTTTTGAATGAGGAAAAATCGCTAATTTGCGATTTCCTTCCCTACCACTGCTAATGATTATCGCAACAGCCAGTCATAATTCAGGAACAGGATCGTTTTAATCCTCCGAGATAGCGTTCAGCTTTTCTAGCTGTTGGTAAGAAGAACGCCAGAAGTGCCGGACACATCTTTACATTGCATTTATAATTTCAAAGTTGATATATTAGCGGAAAATGCCACAATCTCTTCCTTCCATTTTCTATTCTATTCGTTTCTCGGTTATTTCGCTTTTAATTACCCCACTTTGCTCCAAAATTGTGGTAGCAAGGAAACAGAATGAGGCGAGCTTTATGAGTTTTCAGTAGGTAAATAAAACGCATGCGGTCTCACCCTCTGGAAGTCGCCCGACGGAATCGTCCTTTGCTTTTGAACTCTCTTGTACTCTCTTCATCTTTTGAAACTCTTCCATTAATTTCTTCCTGGCTGTTTTAAGTGCGTTGTTTTCAGAGCAAAGCTGGGCTACCTTATTGCTGCAAGAAAGTGTAATTAATTTTAGCTGTCTTAAAAATGAACGCTACGTTTTAAAAGATCCTTTTTTTGTGCAACATTCCTCTTTGAAGCAAAATTAAGGAAATGACAGGGAAGTTTCAAAAATAAGTTCTGGTTTTCAACCTTCAAGAATGTGTAATAACCAGCACTTAGCAGAAATCTCTCTGAAGATTTAATTGCTGTTTGTTTGCCTCGTGGACTCAGTTCGAGATTGCTATGTGTGACCTTGCTACAATAAAGACGAAAACAGTTCCATACATGGAAAGAAGCAAATGAAAAGTCAACTAACAAACAAAATACCTTGCTTCTGTATTGAGTAAACTTAAAGTTGACTTCTCCTTTTCAAGTTTTTCCACATTTTCTTTCAAAGTTTGCGTTTCAGTTTCGAGTTTTCCAAGCTTAGCCTTGAGAGAATAAATAGCCACATTAGACACGACTCCTACTTCACTGTTCTCCTTATCGTTGGACGCGACAGGTTGACCCCTGGAATTGAGAAAAAGAAAACAAAGAATAAAACAAAATTGATGTAAATAACTCTTTATTAATTAATGAAGATGTCACAAGCGTAGGACGAAGGAAGGGTTCTGAATCTCAATGAAGAATCTATCCACACACCTTCGGATTGCGCGCTAAAACGCTCTCCACGGAGACACAACGACTTCACAGTTCATACGTAGAGCTTTCCAGCGTGAGTTGGACTTTTTAAGAATAGCAGACCGTGAGGATGACACAGGCAAATGATGACGTTGCTTATTGCTTACAAGTATAATTGCTCAAGTGAACTTAGAGATGAGTGCGCCCTGATTGATTTAAGGTCTCTGTAATACTAACTAATTTTTGAAAATGGCCGACGATTGAAAATTCAAAAGTTGTCAATAGAAGTCAGTAGGCGGCGGAAACCCGCTGGCTGTTAGACCGTTTGGCAACGGCTACTTCGTGAATTGCGATCAAAGACAAAAAAAATACTTTTGAACTGAATCTAACATGAATATCTGTCTAAGATATTTTCTCAAATATGTCCCAGAATGCTGGAAGTTACTTCTCGAAGATTTTGAAATTGTTTTTTCCTAAAGGAACTTGCCCCAGGATACAACTGAGAGAACATGTTGCTTTGCAAAACGCCATGCTTGCTATGCAAGGATTATTCAAGTCAGCCACCAACTCAGTTCAGATCATACACATACCTACATTTTTTTTCTGCTCAGTATGACAACCAAAGCGAGCGTACCTTGGAAAGCTGGTGACTAAGTTATGCTGTATTGTAAGAAGAGCTTACCGCATTATACTAATAGTATCATCTGTCTCAGGTTCCTTCAACCTCTTCATTTCCAGTTTCAGCGATCCGACTTTTTCTAAGCCCCATTCCACCTCATTCTTCAGTAATTTTGTTTCATTGTCGTATTTTTCTTTCAATTTGTACAAGTCATATTGTAGTGACTGAACCTGCATGTTCTTTTGTGCTAACTCGAATTGCAAAGCTTCCATTTCTTCTTGAATTTTCTTACATCTTGCGCTTTGTGGATAATTGCTGCAAATTGAACATGGAAAGAAATATTGGCCATTTCGTATCTCAATTAAAGCGTCATGGGCTGGTTTGTCTGGCGTGGTAATCCCGGATTGTAATGTTCGTGTTTTTTCTTCGCTTTGTGGTTGGTCCAGTTAAACTTGTACCACCGCCTCGACCGATCAGATGCAATCCAAGAAGCGATTGCAGCCTGGTCTCTCACGTTTGCCCGCTCTTCAGACAGTTTACCTATTGTTTTACGCTGAACTCTCAATAGCTCTCCTGACATTCACCTTTGTTCTGATTGGCCGTAATAATAACTTATGGGTCTGTTTTAGGATACTCTTTGAATATGTATACTCTAACACAATAACTGTACCTTGTTGTTCATCCACTATAGCCTTAAGTCTGTTGCGCTCTGTCAAATACTTGTCGATCGTATCCTTAGCTTTCTTCTTAACAGCGTCACACTCTTTCCTGAGCGCTTCGATTTCACTTTGATCTCCAGCGTGCGTAGAATTCTAAGAAAAAGGAAAAATAGTACTCGATAAATACAAAAAGTTCTGTATATCAAGGGGTGGCAATTCCTGACATTATCTTGGAATTCCTACCGCATCGTTCAGCACAAAAGATACAAAAATATGTATATTGAGACATTTAAAAACTTAAGTCATAGGCAACAACAGCCCCCTTCCCCCAATCCGCAAGGTTTTAAAAAATGTGTGAAGAGGTTCTTGGATGGAAGTTTATAGCCTTTAGAAACAAAAAACTTTGTTTCTTTCCCACAACTTAGAAACTTTTTGTACTCTCTTTCCTCATGGGTAACTCCTAGAATTCACCATAAGACCCTGCTGAGTGATACAGGTGCAGTGTTCTCCTCCCTTCTCCAGACTCTTGAAATTGATAGCATTTCGTAGATGAATTGCATCTCCGAAACGGAACGGAACGGAACAACAGGAAATGGTTCTTCCCCTCCCTACGTCTACTTGACTTACTTGAGCAGTTTCTCTTATTTGGGCGAGGTGTGAATGAAGTTGGGTAAGTTCTGCGTCTTTTTTGGCTCTACCTTCTTCAAGTTCTTCAATTTGTCGAAGATGCTCCTCTTCTTCATCTGCAGAGACCAAAGATAAAAATAGTTTCTTTTCAAAGCGAAATTTGCAATGAGTCAACTATGATTGTAAGGACATAGAAAGGACTCTATAAATGGCTCCTTTTCAAGGCGACATTTGATGTAATGCGTCAACCTTGAATGCGAGGACATAGAAATCACTCTAAAGATCCCTTGAGTTGCACATCCGAGCGAAAAGGCATTTTCTCTCCCGCGTATATTGCTCTCTCGCGCGCGTGTTTCTCGCCTTCTCCTCGAACGCCTGCTTCACAGGCTGCCTTTACTACACCGTTATTTATATAGCACTGCATTGGTACGAGACATCATTGACAGCAAGAGAGCAATGAAACATCGGCATGCGCAAGGGCGCCTGTTTTGGCCGACCACACGCGATCATCTACTGAGAATCATCACAGTTGAACAACAACTAGAAATGACAAAACTTGGCAATAACTGAAAAAGAACCTACCCTGCATTTCGTCTATGATGGCCTTCAGGCGATCTGACTCCTTAAAGTATCTCTGAAGATTGTCCTCGGCTTTTTCTTTGCGGATTCGCACTCCTCTCTCAAGTTTTCAACTTCAGTGGAGTCCATGGCATTCGTAGTATTCTACGCATAACAAAAAAACCAGATCGTGTGTTTAAAATACAGAAACCCGTTTTGCTTTGGTTTTACAGTTCCTTGTAAGATTGCAATATCTTTTATAATAATAGGTTGAACTGCACCTAAAAGCTCCAAGAGAAATAGATACAAAAAGTGTAATTGCCTGTTTTTCGAGATGGGTAAGTCAATTCTTGCGCAATTCATTTTCTGAATTCATAATAGCAGAAAGTCTTCCTTCCATCTCCTCCTTGGAAACGATTGACCATTATTGGATGAAAAAAAGGATTTGTAGTAAAGGAACCTTTTTAGAAAAGAATCCATCGTGATTGTTCTAAAGGAATCAGTTAAATTCCTTCTGTTGATTGAAATACATCTTTTGTTTACATTTGCAGATCCACTGTTTCAACATTACGCATGATTTTTAGAAATAGAATTCAAGGCACAGGACATGGAGAGAGAGAGAAGGGGGAGGGCTTAATCTCAAAATGAAGGTAATCCTTCACTCAATTCTGTTATGTTTCTTTTGTTTATTCATTGGTCCTTCGCTTTTTAGTTTTAAATTGATTTTTAGACTTGATTTAGCCGGATTTTATCATTCACGCGCAAACAGAATAGCAAGGTTGTGGATATTTGAAATAGTTCCCCTGCTCGATTATCGCCTGTAGAGTCATGAAAGTCACAAACAATATACTGGAGAGTTTTTCTTTTTTTTTTTTTATATTTTTTCCTTTTTATTGTTAGCTTTGCCTCCAGTCTCACCTGCGATGCAATAACAGCTTTATGATGTTTTTTAATGAAATAAAACTTCAAGAACACTTTTCTCCTTTAAAAGTTTCATGCGAGCCTTTGTGCCATCTTTAAGAGAACTGAAAGAAATCGTGCTGAAAAATATGTTGATATGAACTTGTTTTTTTCCCCTCAGCATTTAAAACAATTTTTACAAATCTCCATGTCATTGGTAGATATGGTCCAACAACACAGGGCAGCCTCTACACAGGTCAGGATCATGACGCGCAAGTTACATTGTTTAGCGGTATTCAACAATGGACTGTGCCGTACACTGGGGTGGTGACTACAGAATAGAAGCAGCAGGAGCAGCAGGAGGATACGATAAACACCCTAACAGCCTTCAATACCGAGGAAGGGGAGCAAGAATGAGAAAATTGACCCCCTACCCAAGTTTCTTCAACGGCCGTGTCCAGTCTGCTTGTTCAAAGCATAGCCAGAGAGAACCGAACTTGGAAATGCAGGTAGAAAACGCTCGTTTGCAGCGAAATGCGTGGGGTTTTGGTACTGAGACATGTTCCACGGTGCAATGATCTTAGATCGTAAAGTATGGCTGAGAAAAAAGTCGATCGGGAGGATTTTCGGGCCGCAAACCACCGCCGCGTGGACAACGGTCGAAACCGGAGTCCTCAGTTTTGACTTCGTCTTTTGCCATGAGTAACAGTGATGGCAAAGCAAGCTTAAAACGGCTGAAACCGCCAGAAACTACTACGGACACACGGGATGTGAGTAAGTTTTATTGATTTACGTGTAAAATGTTCATATTTCGAAATATTTATCTTTGTAAATCGACCATATTTCGTTTCCTATACTATTCCTTATAACCTGTTCCAATTTTCAACAGTTCCTCTGGAAACTTAACACCGAGTTACACAACGCGTGACGCCTTCATGAATTAATTGTTGGCTTTTTCTCGGGACGTGAGCTTAGGCCGCCTGTGGTGCCACCCACCAGGCGTAAAATATGGTTTCATTAAAGGCAAGCAATAAGATTGCTTAAAACTAACTCTTCCAAAAAGAAAAGCATTTGAAGAGGGCCGTTTGAAATTCAAACAACGCCTCAAAGCAAGAGGTACTCAGAAAACATCATAGAAAGGTCTCTGTCAGAGTAGCCGAAAGGTCACGAACGTTTATTGCCTTTCGTCACAACGAACCACCCGGCAGTTAAAAATGTAAAACAAATATTGTTGGAACAATGGAGTCTGATACATAATCAGCCGTTGCTGAATACAAATTTTACAAAACCTCTGATCCTCTTTTACAAAAAGGGAAAATCACTTTAAGACATGCTTTTGAGAGCAAAAATATAATTTGAAGGCGGTAACGCGCCGCGACCACGAAAGCCACGTGGGGAGTCCGTGCCGGTCTATCTTTACCTTTATTCTCATGTCGCGTCGCCGCGACTTATCGCTTGTATCCACTTTTCTCGTCTCTCTGTTGTCAATTCTTCTTCGAAGGAAGACTTATTCTTAATAACTGACGGTATTCGATAAAGTCAAGTCCCTTTGTCCCAATCACTTCTGCCGCCACAGCCGAAAACTACACTTAGAACCATTTCTACTTTCACACTCACACCTTACTACAAGCGCATTTGTAACTATTTGCTTGGGCACCAACATAATGAATAGCAACCGTCGTCGAGACAAAAGTCACATGGGTGAAAACCAAGAATCCCTGCCGAAATGTATTTAAGAGTCTTCAAGAAAAGGGATTTGATATGTGTGTGGTACAGACTTTTAACCCGTTATATTGCAAGTCAATCTCGAAATAGGTAAGAAGTGTAAATCTCGTCAAATTACAATCCAGGAAAAATATTAAAGTGTAAAGTGTTTAATAAAGTCACAAACAATTAAGATTTCCTTGTAGTAGAGACCAAAGGTCGTAAACCATTGAAACTCGGCTCCATAATTACAGTTCTTTTATAGAACATACCTATTGATTACCAAACAAATGAACTCCAGGCGAGTTATTCTTTATCCTTTTGTTTAGCTCTGTCTGTTGAGGCGTCACAACTACTGAAGCGCTCTTTTTTCATAGGGAAAGCTGACATTCAAGTGCAGAAATGATTCACGCAGATTTAACTCAAATTTAAGCAATTGTAGAGAAGAAGCCTCAAAAACATTCAGGCTTCTAATGAATGCGTGCCTTCCAGCTGCTTGCTAGGCGCCATTACCAACTGAGCTGCGAAACCACACGTTGCGAGCAGAGCAATTCGGCTAGTGGGTTCTTTTTTCCTGTTGTGAACATTAGATTCAAAACAGAATTCAATATTTCTTTGTTTTTTCGATTGTTTGCCTCCTCGATAAGGTTTCAAAGTTACTTATGAACAACCTACTGAATTAAAACGGAAACTCTTCAACTTGCGCAATCTTCGCAGAATGAAAATAAATAATGGCGACAGCAACAGGCCCACAGAAATTTTGCAAGAAGGAATGAAGTATTTAACGAATTCGTTCACACTTTTTAAAGATAGTGTTCACGACGGATATTCTAAAAGCGTGGAATACCGTCTACCGTCATGATATTAATTTTTGAAATGATTATTCACACCTGTCCTATAGACAGACTTATTATTGTTTTGTGCGCCAAAATTTATGGGGTTTTTCATGATTCCTTTTGGTCACTTTGCATTTTGCTTTTTGGCGATTGAAATTGTGGGAGAAGTTCCCAAAGGAAAAGATTTGGCCAATCAGTTTAAATTTTGTGACTTTCCAAGGCTACCTATTTTATTACGGAGTTTTCTTTAAACTTTATAATTAGAGCTGTTAAATTATTCTGAAATGACGGTCTTTGCCCCATATGCCAACTGAATGGGAAAACACAAAACAGGTTTTTTTATTGTTAATATCATTATTCAGTGAATTAATAAAACTGTAGAATTGTTTTTCCACAATGCAGACTTACATTTCTGAAGATTAGTTCTGAATTAGTTATTCCCAGAGAACCTATCTGAAAATAACAGCAGTAATAATAATATCTAAAAACAAATGTAAGAGCGACATAATTCTTAGAGTATCTCCCATTCTTTTTTTTTTAATTTTTCGTCCTTCTCTTGTTTTATTTTGATGATTGTTTCAGGCAAATACCAATAAATATAAATAATAAGCAAAATATATGCACAAAGGACGTTGGATGAGATATTTAAATACGAAACTTAGAAAAACTGTTGGAGGATAAATTTCCTTCAGTGTCGCTGCCCTTTCATTAATAATGAATAGCAATAAGGATAACACTTCAGCGCATCGCATGCAAAAGTCCTGACTGTGCGAGAGATGGGCAACTGATGGTTGCTGCATTCATCTAATGGTGATGAAAATATATCCTGGCAAGATTCTGAAGATGAAGTGCCGTTGCTGCCCAGTGTTTTCTTTCAGATCTTTCCTCTTGTTGTTTGGAGGCTGGTTCTACACCGTGACAGTTGCGAACCAAGGTCAGTTAACTTTAACATTGCTTTGTCTAGGTTTCATTAAAATTTACTCCTGAAGTCAGGCGAATCCGGAATTGGAGGAAGCTAAGTCGAATTGCCGAACTAGGCCGAAAAATAATGCATTTTGTGGATTTTGAAAGCTTATTCCATCACATAAGGTGATAGGGCTCTGAATTAAAAGCTAATGTGACCATTTCTAAGAAACTTGAACACGACGAAATATGATTTTTTGTTTGCAAGTATAACTTTTTCAAGTTCATTAAAAATAATTAACCACGATTTTAGAGGGGGCTAAACAAGTTTAGAAACTTTCAAGACGAGTACCATGCAACAAACTCAGTCGTCTGTAGAGACTTTTTGGCGAAGTTTCCTAATTTCTAATTTCTGATAAGAATTTATTCAGATTATTGAGTACTGCCTGCCGGTCTTATATCATATCGAGATTTTGTCGATTACTCGTATGATTACAGAGCGAATTGGACTCCACTCGGTCCTATTACCACTATTAATGGTACCTACAGAAAGTAAAACGGTCCGTTTTTGCGTAAATTATATATATTGCAAAAGTTTTTAATTTAAGTGATAATATTTACACTTACATATAGTCCTAGATAACTGCGTGACCTACGTTTGGTTTTCTAACATACCTTTCTACGAGAATTTATATCACGCACATTGGTAGAGTGTCCTGGTTAAGAAAATTATGCTTACCATGTATTTCGTAGATACACTTTTGGTAAACAAAGAGATATCAATGCCATAGGCTAAAAAGTTCTTTGTTTGACCTAGAAAGAGAAAAACTGCTCTATGACATTAGGTTCAAGCGAGAAAGTGGAAAAAGATGGTTGAATCTCTGTTTCACTCGAACTGAAGAAGCTTGATGTTAATATACCTACACCTAACGCTAACATTACCTTGATTAAGACTTAAAGGTATTATAATAGATGTAAATTTGACACAAGGTAAGGTTTAACTTAACATCTCCGCAAGAAGCTTTTAAATGAGAAAAGCGTTCTTGAAGTTTTATTTCATTCCAAACCATCATAAAGCTGTTGTTACATCGTAGGTGAGACTGGAAGCTTAGTGTAAAGCAAACAATAAAAAAAAACGCTTGTTTGTGACTCTCTTGACTGTACAGGCGATGATCGAGCAGGGAAACTATTTCAAATTTCCATAATCTTCCTTTCCCGTTTTGCGCTTGAATGATAAAAATCCGGCTAAATCAAGTCTAAAAATCAATTTAAAACTAAAAACGAAGGACCATTGAATAAATTAAAGAGACATAGCAGAATTGAGTGAGGGATTACCGTCATTTAGATATTACTCTCTCCTTAAAGTAAATTTTGATTTGACACCACGTTCTCGTCGCTAACGAAAGAACACGTCTGGCACAAAAATATTCGGGGAATAATCTCCCAGTGCTAGGCCTATTAGATTAAGGATTGCTGTATCTGCAGGAGACACTGGAAACTGAGTGTAGTGCAATATACATAGGACGGGAAGCTAACCAGAAATTAGGGCTTGGAATTTTGTTGTGGCTGCAACTGCAGAAGAAACTAATTCAAAAATTTCTAAAATTGCCTACTTTAAGGGGAGAATCCTTGTCTTTTACACTAAATTCTCTTTCAAAAAATCATGCTTAATGTTGGAAAAGTGGATCTGCAAATGTAAACGAAAGGTGCATTCCAATCAACACAAGGGATTTAACTGATTTTTTAAGAGCACAACATGGATTCTTTTCCAAAGAAGTTGCTTCATCATTAATCCTTTTTCATCCATTAATGGTGTGTTATAAATAAACAGCTAAATGCACAGGTGGAAAGCAACAAAATTTTCCAAGAATTCCAAGGCTGTGAAATATTATGTTTATGTGTTGTCAAACTGACGTATGCACAGGTTAAGTCAATATTTTGACATTCCGACGCAAATGAATGCCTTAGTGTTTCGTTCTTTACAAAGTTTCACTTTGATCTGTTTTGATCGTGATAAAAATTCTCAGGTCACAATCTCCTCGGTAACTGATCGCAGTGATTTGGTAAATTCAAGTTATAGGTTTTTCAACAAGCGGGGCTCGAAAACTCATCGAAACTCACCTGGCCGCCATGGGCTAGGAGAGTCAAGTCGAGTCGATTTTCATCTCCTGGGTGGAGGGAATAATGGCTGAACAATGAGAGGGCGTGTATGTCACATGACTATGTTTATAGTCCGCAAAATATCTTGTTTCTTATGAGTGAAAAAAGCGTAAATAAGTTATGAAGGAAAAATGAAATTTTCATACAGCATTGTTTAAAATCCAAAGCTTTTCCAAAACATGTAGAAATAATAAATTTCATTTCTAAAACACTCCGAATAAAAGCTGTTTTTTTTTCGTCTCAATTATTGTATAAATGTGATCTATTTAAAGGAAACGCTAGAATTAGAACTGTACCTTACTTACTTTGAGAAATACTTCGAGAAGTGAATTTATACCTTTTCGAAATAATATTATTGTACAGACTTACTCGTACCTTTGATTCCTTCAGTCTCTCTCTCCCTCAGAGATAATTTGTAAAAATAAAGCCGTATGATATGAAATTTTATCACAGTTATAGATCTTAATTTTGTTCCAACTTTGCGAGATAAGTAGCTCGTAGGATGAAATGTCAGCCAAAAGCCTTGATTACTGATTTTTACCAACTGTGCGAGAGGGCTGTACTGGGGAATATTGGCCTAAGGTCACAGCGATCCGTAGAGAAACATCCGAGGACCAATAATCCCCAGGACGGCTCGAGCAAGTAAGGTAGGTAAGTAGACCGAACATTTCTTGAGTTTGCCCTGTTTCGTATCCAAAAATGTACGGCTCATGGATGTGTCAGAGTGCTCAGATTTACCTCACGGCTATCTTCCCATGTAATGAAAGTATCATTGCTCGATAACCATAAATTGATAAAACTGTTCTCGGCAATATTTGAGCTGGCGCCTTCTCTTTTAAGACGATGGCTCATTTGCGCAACGACTAACCTGCAATTAGACCATCACTGATTTAACATTGAACAGAAATTTGGAAAATTGACTAAATTCCTAGCAGACGTAGGACTTATTCCAGCTGCTCAAGCACCAATAAAAGGAAAAAACATATCTGGGGAACACGAATTTGTTTTACTATTTGGCGCAAAAAAAAAAAAAAAAAACGTCCAACATGCTTGTCACCATATCTCTAACCAATTAGTTGCAGGTACTCAGTATCGAAGTCTTATGTTTGACAAGCCAATTGGAGGATATGCTCTGCAACAGCACGTTTTCAAACAAATATATTTGTCCATGGGAATTGAGCCCCATAGCGACTGCAAAAATAGGTGCCTCATGGAAAACACCTGTGTGTCCGTCAACGTTGGCCCACACAGCAAGAAAAGACTACGGGTCTGTCAACTGAGTGATTCTGATCACATTCAACATCCTGTTGACCTTAAACCCCAAGAAGGATACCAGTATTGGGCTACAAAGGTGCGGATATTTGGATAGAACACAATAAAATAGATTTATTTTCCAATTCTCTTTGGTATGGCTATGCTGGGTTTTTATGAAGAGAAATCCCACTAAAGATAACTTTATCCCTGCAGAATCCATGTTCAAGCAGCCCTTGTCTTCATAATGCAACCTGTCTAAATGGGTTTACAGTTAAGAGATACATTTGCTTGTGTCAAGTTGGTTTCAAGGGAAAAGATTGTGGAAAAAAAGGTGACCAGAAGCTGAGAATTTCTGTAAATAAATATCAGGTTTACCTTCATGCTGGCGTGTTATCTCCTTCCGTAAATCTTTCACTTTGATACGTCCCGTGATAACTCTTTATTCTTCTTCTTTTTCTTATTATTATTATTATTGTTAGTTACTAATTTTTTTTGGTTGTTCCCACCTCTAATGTTCGCGGTTGATATCAGTTTAAGAAATTTTGTATGGTTTTGTATTGATTAATATGTCATTTGAAGGCTAAATATATAATGTAGACGATTAATTTTTTTATGCCCCTTTAAAGCTTGTGAAATAGTTACGTAACTCGCAAGTACTCGAACGCAGAACTTTTTTTAAAATTATTGAAGAAGATGCGATTTAAGATTGTGTATTATTACATTAATCAACTGCGAGCCTCTGTGTCATCTTTAAAAGAACTGTAAGAGATGGTGCTATAAAAAATATGTTGATATGAACTTGTTTGTTTTCCCCTCAGTTTTTACAGCAATTTTTACAAATCTCAATGCCACTGGAAGATATGGTCCAACAACGGTGGGCAGTCACTACACAGGTCAGGATCATGACGGACAAGTTACACTGTCCAACGGTATTCAACAATGGACTGTGCCGTACACTAGTTTCTACAAAATAAGAGCGATTGGAGCAGCAGGAGGGTACGATTCATACCGTAACAGCCGTCAATACCGTGGAAGAGGAGCAAGAATAGTTGGAATATTCCGTTTAAACGAGGGTGAAGTTATCCAATTACTCGTAGGTCAAGAAGGAGGAATAAACAAGAGGGATCGATCCTCTGGCGGTGGTGGAGGTACATTTGTGGTGAGAGGAACCGACACACCTTTGATAATAGCTGGAGGCGGAGGAGGGATAGATTCTGCACAGTCAAGACATGCAGGATGTGACGCCAGCGCAAAGACAACAGGGTATTCTGGATATAAGTCATGGTCAGGAGGGAGCAATGGGCAGGGTGCTCAAACTGCTGATGATGGTAACTCAGGTAAGATAATACTGTGATGATCCCAAACTCCTCATTAATGAATGAGTTAACGTATGCTTCAAATTTAAATCATCGGCCCTAATCCCTCACAAAACAAAAAAAGAAAGAAACAACAACCCTAAAAAAAAAACCTAAGACTTCCTAGGAAGAGGACCAGTTTATATCTCCAGGCATATAAAAGGTAGATATCAAAATCTTAAACTTAATGGATGGCGGCTCGATAGAATTAAATTATATACAGGTTTGAACACGCTGATATGGGTACATTAAGGATTTAATTAAAAAAAGGGGCGTTTCGTTTACTAAGAATTTACTCCTCATTTTGTTGTTTTATTTGTTCTCAGGTGGTGGTGGTGGCGGGTTTTATTCCAGTGGAAGAAATGGAGAGAATTTCAATGGAACCAAGGGAGAGGGCGGAGAAGGTGGTGATGGATTTCTTCAGGGAGGTGAGGGTGGGAGATCTCTGGATCACAATATTGTTGGTGGGTTTGGTGGAGGAGGTGGAGCTCATGGACGGGCAGGAGGAGGAGGAGGAGGAGGGTACTCTGGGGGAAGTAGTGGAAGTGATAGTCATGATAGCTGTGGGGGAGGGGGTGGCTCTTGCAACGATGGAGAAAAACTGAAAAATGAGTGTTGTTATAACAAGGCTGGTCATGGTCAGGTGGTTATCACGTTGCTGTGAAAAAAATCGACTACGTGTTATCATACAAAATGATTATGAGATAAGGGTTCATATCTTTTTGATTGGCAGCCTAATTGTTCTTATTTATAGCCCAAAGGCAAATAGAGCTCTTAGGATATGAGATAATGTAGAAACTTTGTTTTTCAGAAATAGAGTCTCACTCGGTATACTTTTTCACTAAGGTCACGTAGAGAAATGACGTAATCGCATGGACGAGACGTCCCAAAGTGCAATCTTACGAAGAAATTGCAGTGGGAAACAAATTCCCGACGATTATATCTTCTGAAAGCTTTGGCTGATTGTTGCTACTCCTTCTTTATTTCAAATCTTTACTGACCTTCCTCTGCTGATCCTCAAGAAGATTAGTAAAGATTTGAGTTCCAGCAGAAATGACTGACCCCTGTCACACTGGATTAGTTTTAGTCAATGTTTTTCGAACGCAGCTCTGATTTAAGGGTTGAGCATGGGTTATCAGATGGTGAAAACAATTTTTCAAAATCTCTCCCGAAGTAAGTAGAATTTGCACGCTGCCATAAAGACTGGAAAATGCTAAAGTTTCGGACCAAAAGTAAGTAGAAAGTATTTTATTGAACAGCATTTGTTAAAAAGCATTGCTAGTTCTATGGAATGTTCCTCTTCGATGTTTGAGTTATACGTATTGCATAAGTTTTTCTCTCTGTTTCTATGATAATAATGATGATGATGGTAATAATTTCTCTCTGTTTCTACAATAATAATTTGTATCACACCCTTTGACAGTGTGTTTTAGGTAAAGAATGTGTGTTTGTTAGATATACTAAGATAAACACGAAGATATCTCTACCAATAGCCTAGAAGCCTTTAAAACTTTCGCTTAAAAACCTTTTCCCTGACTTCTCAGTATTTTAGCCTTCAGCAAACCAGCTAGACCACGGCCTCTTACAGTGAGCTATTAATAGTTGATAATCAAAATAATTTATTGTAAGGATTTGAAATAGAAGATAAGTGTCAAACGGTTTCATGAAAAGGTGGCGTAGTTTCATATTACTTACAAATTAAAACAAAATGTTGGTTTAAAACATAAGTTTTACATTTGTTTTGTTGCATCGTAGATGACACTGGAAACTTAGAGCAAAGCAATGTTCTCCAGTAATTCGTTTGTGAATTTCTTGACTTCAAAGGTAATGATCTTTCAATGAAACTATTTCATATTTCCTTAACTTCGATGGATATGATTTGCGTTCACAAAATGCGAGGATTTTTTGAGAAAAGGTAGAGGTATACAAATGTTAGAAAAAAGAAGATAAGCTAAGAAACAAATAATAATAACGATAATAATAATAATAATAAAAACGAAGTGAAAGAAACACAGCTAAAATAACAGATCCAATTAGGGGTGGTGGAGGATGGGGGTGTCCTTGTCTCACATCGGAGAGGAAAGGGTTAAAGAATTGGAAAAAAAACCCAGACTAACATTCAGCTATCTTGATCGAACAAGCTTGGTTAATAAAGGATTAACTATACAGCGAAAAAGATCATCGCATCATTTAAAGACCAGAAACAAGAGAGCCTTTTATCAAGTGTTTAGGAATCCAAAACTGGTGCAGGCGTCTTCTTAAAAATATCTAGAACTGAAACTTCTGAGGAAAATTTCATTACAAAGCCTTGGGGAAAATTTATTTATCTCCTTGCGTCTGTAAAGGTAGACTTTTCAGAACAAAGTGTGGATCTTTATAATCCCATCTCAAACTTTTCTTCACTGGATACTGAATAATGCGAAAGATATTTCTATCGTATGAATCACTCACGGACCTGCCGAACTTTATGCAAGTGGTTTTTTAAGCCTCACTCGCGGTAAATCATTCATAAGAGATTAATTATGGGTGGCTAAGTTCACGAAATACCACATGAAAGGCATAATAAAACAATAAGGCTCTTAAGGGCACTTATTATCCACACACTTTTCTTTCTTTCATTTTTTTCTTTAGGGAGTGAAGGGAGGAGGGAATAAACAATAAAACAAAAACACGAATTTTCTCACTCTCATAAAAAATGGTTTAGTTAAAGTTAAAGGCATTGACGAAGAAAGAACATTGAAGGTGGCAGTGTTGTTCATTGATCAACATTGGTTGACATTGATAAATGTTTTCGTCTGTACCAATCACCTGGATTTTCTATCAACTCTTTTGGCCCTTTTTTTTAAAGAAACTTTTCATTAAATGATTCTTTTCATTAAACTTCTCAGTAAATGAACACCGACGTGAGGTCAAACACTCGTGAAACACCAATAGTTAGAATCTACGACAGTATGCAGACTGATTGCTTTTCAGAGTGAATGCCCATTACGTCAAAGAAAAGAAGAATTTGGCAGATGCTAGATCCCATTTTATAGCGCCATTAGTGTTATGAAATACGATCCCACATTCGGTGTTATGTTATCAGACACAATTTGAGACACTTCTTATGAACAAGTTATTTAATCGCAAGACTCTCCCACACAGTTATCGTCAACATCATCATTGTCATTATTCAACGCATGGCAAAACCAAAACTAGTCGTACTTGAATCCAATCCACCCATCTGATCATTTTTTAAAGCAGTCGATAAAAACAAAGATTTAATCCTTTTCGTGACTTAGTATCTTATGTCAGGTTCGCACTGGTGATAATGATTTAAAGAAAATAAGCCTAGCGACTAGGGAGGTTAAAATTGTCGTGCAAACTCGTAGGGATGACGACGACATAATGGCGATATCTCTATGAAGCAAAAGGGAACTACGCTTATTTTAATATGTCTGTATGTTCACACCATAAAAACATCGACGTACAGTTTTAACCCTGCTATGCCTTCAGGTCTTTGTCGTTATATCTCTAGTGTGAAATTGGCTCTATGAATCAACAGGCCAGCGCCGAGCTGCACTTGATAACATCACTGATTAGCACACTGATTTGGCTCGTCTTTAAACATATTATTAGCTGCATCTCCTGAAAGCCAATTTTGGAAATTTTCCTTTGGTTCTGGCTTCACCCGCTTGCGCTCAACAGCAGGCGGGGCTTCGCTGCAAGTAGATAATTCACTCAGAACAGATGAATTCTTAGATTGTCTTTCAAGCGCTTCTGTAGAGACTACAAAAGGAGATAAAACAGAAAGAAAGGTTGACTTGGATTACTCGTGTCCCCGTTATTCGGTTCCCTTGCAATTTTTTGTTTGATTACAGTGGAAACCTGGCGAAAAAAGCGGTTCATTTTCACCACTGCGCTTTTGAATGAGGAAAAATCGCTTATTTGCGATTTCCTTCCCTACCACTGTCAATGATTATCGCAACAGCCAGTCATAATTCAGGAACAGGATCGTTTTAATCCTCCGAGACAGCGTTCAGCGTTTTTTTAGCCGTTGGTAAGAAGAATGCCAGAAGTGCCGGACCCATCTTTACATGCATTTATAATTTCAAAGTTGATATATTAGCGGAAAACGCCACAATCTCTTCCTTCCATTTTCTATTCTATTCGTTTCTCTGTTATTTCGCTTTTAATAACCCCACTTTGCTTCAAAATTGTGGTAGCAAGAAAACAGAATGAGGCGAGCTTTATGAGTTTTCAGTAGGTAAATAAAACGCATGCGGTCTCACCCTCTGGAAGTCGCCCGACGGAATCGTCCTTTGCTTTTGAACTCTCTTGTACTCTTTTCAGCTTTTGAAACTCTTCCATTAATTTCTTCCTGGCTGTTTTAAGTGCGTTGTTTTCAGAGCAAAGCTGGGCTACCTTATTGCTGCAAGAAAGTGTAATTAATTTTAGCTGTCTTAAAAATGAACGCTACTTTTTAAAAGATCCTTTTTTTGTGCAACATTCTTCTTTGAAGCAAAATTAAGGGAATGACAAGAAAGTTTAAAAAATTTCCTCTGATTTTCCACTTTCAAGCATGTGTAATGACCAACACCTAGCAAAAATCTCTCCGAAGAATTACTTGCTGTTTATTTGCCTCGTGGACTTCGAGATTGCGATGGGTGACCTTGCTACAAAAAAAACGAAAACAGTTCCATGCATGGAAAGAAGCAAATGAAAAGTCAACTAACAAACAAAATACCTTGCTTCTGTATTGAGTAAACTTAAAGTCGATTTCTCCTTTTCAAGTTTTTTCACATTTTCTTTCAAAGTTTGCGTTTCAGTTTCGAGTTTTCCAAGCTTAGCCTTGAGAGAATAAATAGCCACATTAGACACGACTCCTACTTCATTGTTCTCCTTATCGTTGGACGCGACAGGTTGACCCCTGGAATTGAGAAAAAAAAAAGAATAAAACAAAATTGATGTAAACAACTCTTTATTAATTAATGAAGATGTCACAAGCGCAGGACGAAGGAACGATTCTGAGCCTCGATGAAGAATCGATCCACAGACCTTCGGATTCCGCGCTAAAACGCTCTCCACGGAGACACAAAGACTTCACAGTTCATACGTGGAGCTTCCCAGCGTGAGTTGGACTTTTTAAGAATAGCAGACCGTGAGGATGACACAGGAAAATGATGGCGTTGCACTGCTTTACAAGTATAATTTCTCAAGTGAATTTAGAGATGAGCGCGCCCTGATTGATCTAAGGTCTCTGTAATACTAACTAATTTTTCAAAATGGCCGACGATTGAAAATGTCTAAAGTTGTCAATAGAAGTCGGTAGGCGGCGGAAACGCACTGGCTGTTAGACCGTTTGGCAACGGCTACTTCGTGAATTGCGATCAAAGACAAAAAAAAAATATATACTTTTGAACAGATTCTAACATGAACATGTCTAAGAGATTTTCTCAAATATGTCCCAGAATGCTGGAAATTACTTCTCGGAGATTTTGAAATTTTTTTTCCCAACAACTGAGAGAACATGTTGCTTTGCAAAACGCCATGCTTGCTACGCAAACATTATCCAAGTCAGCCACCAACCCAGTTCAGATCACACACTGACCAGCATTTTTTTTCTGCTCAGTATAGCAACCAAAGCGAGCGTACCTTGGAGAGCTGGTGACTAAGTTATGCTTTATTTTAAGAAGAGCTTACCGCATTATACTAATAGTATCATCTGTCTCAGGTTCCCTCAATCTCTTTATCTCCAGTTTCAGCGATCCGACTTTTTCTAGGCCCCATTCCACCTCATTCTTCAGTGACTTCGTTTCATTGTCGTATTTTTCTTTCAATTTGTACAAGTCATATTGTAGTGACTGAATCTGCATGTTCTTTTGTGCTAACTCGATTCGCAAAGCTTCCATTTCTTCTTGAATTTTCTTTACATCTTGCGCTTTGTGGATAATTGCTGCAAATTGAACATGCAAAGAAATATTGGCCAGTTCGTATCTCGATTAAAGCGTCATGGGCTGGTTTGTCATTCTGACGTAGGTATAAGGGCACGCCGACAAACGCACGCGCGCTACGACATAGATAATTGGTTTGCTTTGTTGGGATAATGTCAAACAATGGGGAACCTTGAGTAGCTCGTCATTGCGCTTGCGTAGGGTCGACTCTTCTGAAAAAGCACCTTTTAAGAGATTGCCAGACTTACCACAACGCAGCTAGAGAAAACATCACAAAACAACAACTTATATCTCACTACCTAGGTTTTAAATGGCTGTGAATATATGAAAATCGTATATGTGAACTGCGGATAAAGACGTGAATGAGAAAGCGACCATCGCAGTGATGAACGCTACATACGCAGCAGTAAACATGAGGCCTAAAGAAAAATTCAGGCCTCTAGTTAAGTTTAGTCCAGTTAAATTTGTACCACCGTCTCGACCGATCAGATGTAATCCCAGGAGCGATTGCAGCCTGGTCTCTCACGTTTTCCCGCTCTTCAGACAGTTTACCTATTTTTATACGCTGAACTCTCAATAGCTCCTCTGACATTCACCTTTGTTCCGATTGGCCGTAGTAATAACTTATGGGCCTGTTTTAGGACACTCTTTGAATATGTTCTCTAACAAAATAACTGTACCTTGTTGTTCATCCACTATAGCCTTAAGTCTGTTGCACTCTGTCAAATACTTGTCGATCGTATCCTTAGCTTTCTTCTTAACAGCGTCACACTCTTTTCTGAGCGCTTCGATTTCACTTTGATCTCCAGCGTGCGTAGAATTCTAAAGAAAGGGAAAAAGAGTTCTCGATAAATACAAAAAATTCTGTATATTAAGGGGTGGCAATTCCTGACATTATCTTGGAATTCCTACCGCATCGTTAAGCACAAAAGATACAAAAATATGTATATTGAGACATTTAAAAACTTAGCCATAGACAACAACAGCCCCCTTCCCCCAATCCGCAAGGTTTTAAAAAATGTGTAAAGAGGTTCTTGGATCGTAGTTTCTAGCCTTTAGAAACAAAAAAAAATATTTCTTTCCCACAACTTAGACAATTTTTGTACTTTTGAATTGCATCTCCGGAACGGAACGGAACTACAGGAAGTGGTTCTTCCCCTCCCTACGTCAACTTGACTTACTTGTCCAGTTTCTCTTATTTGGGCGAGGTCTGAACGAAGTTGGGTTAGTTCTGCATCTTTTTTGGCTCTGCCTTCTTCAAGTTCTTCAATTTGTCGAAGATGCTCCTCTTCTTCATCTGCAGAGACCAAAGATAGAAATAGTTTCTTTTCAAAGCGAAATTTGCAATGAGTCAACCATGATTGCAAGGACATAGAAAGAACTCTAGAAATGGTTCCTTTTCAAGGCGACATTTGATGTAATGCGTCAACCTCTAATGCGAGGACATAGAAATCACTCCAAAGATCCCTTGAGTTGCACGTCCGAGCGAAAAGGCATTCTCTCTCCCGCGTATATTGCTCTCTCGCGCGCGTGTTTCTCGCCTTCTCCGCGAGCGCCTGCTTCACAGGCTGCCTTTACTACACCGTTATTGACAAAGCACTACTTTGGTACGAGACATCACTGACAACAAGAAAGCAATGAAACATCGGTATGCGCAAGGGAGCCTGTTTTGGCCGACCACGCACGATCATCTAATGAGAATCATCACGGTTGAACAACAACTAGAAATGACAAAACTTAGCAATAACTGAAAAATAACCTACCCTGCATTTCGTCTATGATGGCCTTCAGGCTATCTGACTCCTTTAAGTATCTCCGAAGATTGTCCTCGGCTTTTTTCTTAGCGGCTTCGCACTCCTCTCTCAAGTTTTCAACCTCAGTGGAGTCCATGGCATTCGTAGTATTCTACGCATAACAAAAAAACCAGATCATGTGTTTAAAATACAGAAACCCGTTTTGCTTTGGTTTTAGAGTCCCTTGTAAGATTGCAATATCTTTTATAATAATAGGTTGAACTGCACCTAAAAGCTCCAAGAGAAATAGATACAAAAAGTGTACTTGCCTGTTTTTCGAGATGGGTAAGTCTGGCCACAGTAGTTTCCAGTTCATACTCGGCCTTGGCCAGCTTTAGCTGGTAATGTCGGATGCTTTGTTCACAGTCCGTGATGTTTTGGGAGGCAGTGGCAAGTTTCTCCTCCAATTTTCTGATTCTGTCGTTCTTTTCTGCGTAGCAGTCTTCACTCTCTTTCACTTTCAAGGCGCTGATCTCACGCAATTGTTCCAGGAGCTTCTCTTTCTCATCTTTGAGTTCTTCGACGATTAGGGCCATTTCTTCCTCTTGTTTTTTCTTCTCTTCTTCAAGGACCTTTGCTTTTGATTCAGCTCCGAGGAAAGATTTTTCTACTTGATCTTCAAACAGTTGGTTCGTAGCTTTCTCCTTTTCCAGTTCTTGGCGAAGCTCAGTCGTGGAGGCAATTTATTCCGTCCACTTTTTCGTTTTTTCCTCAAGAAGAATAGTTTTGGATTGCGCAAGACTTTCCCATTTCTCGTCCTCACTTGCTAACTCTTCAATTTGTTCCATTATTGTCGCACTCTTTCCTTTCTCCTTCTTCAATTCTTGGCGCAATTCATTTTCTGAATTCATAATAGCAGAAAGTCTTCCTTCTATCTCCTCCTTGGAAACGATTGACCATTATTGGATGAAAAAAAGGATTTGTAGTGAAGGAACCTCTTTAGAAAAGAATCCATCGCGAATGTTCTAAAGGAATCAGTTAAATTCCTTCTGTTGATTGAAATACATCTTTTGTTTACATTTGCAGATCCACTGTTTCAACATTACGCATGATTTTTAGAAATAGAATTCAAGGTACAAGACATGGAGAGAGAGAGAGAGAGAGAGAGAGAGAGAGAGAGAGAGAGAGAGAGAGAGAGAGAGAGAAGGGGAGGAGGGCTTAATCTCAAAATGAAGGTAATCCTTCACTCAATTCTGTTATGTTTCTTTTGTTTATTCACTGGTCCTTCGTTTTTAGTTTTAAATTGATATTTAGACTTGATTTAGCCGGATTTTATCATTCACGCGCAAACAGAATAGCAAGGTTGTGGATATTTGAAATAGTTCCCCTGCTCGATTATCGCCTGTAGAGTCAAGAAAGTCACAAACAATATACTAGAGAGTTTTTCTTTTTCTTTTTTTTAATTTTTTTTCCTTTTATTCTTAGCTTTGCCTCCAGTCTCACCTGCGATGTAATAACAGCTTTATGATGTTTTTGAATAAAATAAAACTTCAAGAACACTTTTCTCCTTTAAAAGTTTCATGCGAGCCTTTGTGCCATCTTTAAGAGAACTGAAAGAAATTGTGCTGAAAAATATGATGATATGAACTTGTTTGTTTTCCCCTCAGCATTTAAAGCAATTGTTACAAATCTCCATGTCATTGGTAGACATGGTCCAACAACACAGGGCAGCCTCTACACAGGTCAGGATCATGACGGACAAGTTACACTGTTTAGCGATATTCAACAATGGACTGTGCCGTACACTGGTGACTACAGAATAGAAGCAGCAGAAGCAGCAGGAGGATACGATAAACACCCTAACAGCCTTCAATACCGAGGAAGGGGAGCAAGAATAAGAAAATTGACCTCCTACCAAAGTTCTTTTAACGGCCGTGTCCAGTCTGCTTGTTCAAAGCATAGCCAGAGAGAACCGAACTTGGAAATGCAGGTAGAAAACGCTCGTTTCCAGCGAAATGCTCAGTTTTGACTTCGTCTTTAGCCAGGAGTAACAGTGATGGCAAAGCAAGCTTAAAACGGCAGAAACCGCCAGAAACTACAACGGACACACGGGATGTGAGTAAGTTTTATTGATTTACGTGTAAAATGTTCATATTTCGAAATATTTATCGTTGTAAATCGACCATATTTCGTTTCCTATACTATTCCTTATAACCTGTTCCAATTTTCAACAGTTCCTCTTGGAACTTAACACCGAGTTACACAACGCGTGACGCCTTCATGAATTAATTGTTGGCTTTTTCTCGGGACGTGAGCTTAGGCCGCCTGTGGTGCCACCCACCAGGCGTAAAATATGGTTTCATTAAAGGCAAGCAATAAGATTGCTTAAAACTAACTCTTCCAAAAAGAAAAGCATTTGAAAAGGGCCGTTTGAAATTCAAACAACGCCTCAAAGCAAGAGGGTACTCAGAAAACATCATAGAAAGGTCTCTGTCAGGGTAGCCGAAAGGTCACGAACGTTTATTGCCTTTCGTCACAACGTACCACCTGGCAGTTAAAAATGTAAAACAAGTATTGATGGAACAATGGAGTCTGATACACAATCAGTCGTTGCTGGAAACAAATTTTACAAAACCTCCGATCATCTTTTACAAAAAGGGAAAATCACTTTAAGACATGCTCTTGAGAGCAAAAATATAATTTGAAGGCGGTAACGCGACGCGACCGCGAAAGCCACATGGGGAGTCCGAGCTGGTCTATCTTTACCTTTATTCTCATATCGCGTCGCCGCTACTTATCGCTTGTATCCACTTTTCTCGTCTCTCTGTTGTCAATTCTTCTTCGAGGGAAGACTTATTTTTAATAACTGATGATATTCGAAAAGTCAAGTCCTTTTGTCCCAATCACTTCTGCTGCTACAGCCGAAAACTACACAAAGAACCATTTCTACTTTCTCATTCACACCTTACTACAAGCGCATTTGTAACTATTTGCTTGGGCACCAACATGACCGTCGTCGAGACAAAAGTCACGTGGGTGAAAACCAAGAATTCCTGCCAAAATGTGTATAAATGAAAAAGGAGAAAAATAGAAAGAAACAAGCGAAGCAGCCAAAGCAATCACAAAGCTAAATTGACAGATCTAAGTGGATGGTCTCTTCATTTTGCGACGCAAACGCGTCGCGCTAAGATATAATTCCACCAACCACTTCTCTTAGGAAAGCGCAGGAAGAATTAAAGCATGCATCTGTGATTAAAAGTCATCAAGAAAAGGGATTGATATGTCTGGGGGACAGGCTTTGAACCCGGTATATTGTAAGTCAATCTCAAAATAGGTAAGAAGTGTAAATATTAAAGTGTAAAGTTTTTAATAAAGTCACAAACAATTAAGATTTCCTAGTAGTAGAGACTAAAGGTCGTAAACCATTGAAACTCGGCTTTACAATTACAGTTATTTTTTAAAACATACCTATTGATTACCAAACGAATGAACTCCAGGCGAGTTATTCGGTACGCTCTTGTTTAGCTTTGACTATTGAGGCGTCACGGCTACTGAAGCGCCCTTTATTCCAAGGGAAAGCTGACATTCAAGTGCAGAAATGATTCAGCAATTGTACAGAAGAAGCCTCTAAAACGTTCAGGCCTCTAATGGTTCGTGCCCTCCAGCTGCTTGCTGGGCGCCATTACCGGCTGAGCTACGAAACTACACGTTGCGAGCAGGGCAATTCTGGTAACGGGTTCTTCGTTCCTGTAATAAACACCAGATTCAAAACAGAATTCAATATTTCTTTGTTTTTTCGATAATGTTTGCTAAGTTTGCCTCCTCTGAACAAATAACTGAATTAAAACGGAAACTCTTAAACTTGCGCAATCTTCGCATAATGAAAATAAATAATGGCGACAGCAACAGGCCCACGGAAATTTGCAAGAAGGAATAAAGTATTTAACCAATTTGTTGGCACCTTTTATAAATAGTGTTCGCTACGGATATTCTAAAAGCGTGGAATACCGTCTACCGTCATGATATTAATTTCTGAAATGATTATTCACACCTGTCATATAGACAGACTTACTATTGTCTTGAGCGCCAAAATTTATGGGGTTTTCATGATTCCTTTTGGTCACTTTTATTTTGCTTTTTGGCGATTGAGATTTTGGGAGAAGTTATCAAAGGAAAAGATTTGGCCAATCAGTTCAAATTTTGTGACTTTCTAGAGCTACCTATCTTAGAGCTGTTTAATTATTCTGAAATGATGGTCTTTGCCCCATATTCCAAATAAATGGGAAAAAGTAAAACAAGTTTTTTTATCGTTAATATCATTATTCAGTGAATTAATAAAACTGTAGAATTGTTTTTACTACAATGCAGAACACAAAAGAATTACATTTCTGAAGATTAGCTCTGAATTAGTTATTCCCAGGGAAGCTACCTCAAGATAATAGCAGTAATACTAATATCTAAAAACAAAAATGAGAGCAACATAATTTTCAGAGTATTTTCCTTTCTTTTTTTTTCTCTTAATTTTTCGTCGTTCTCTTGTTTTATTTTGATGATTGTTTCAGGCAAATACTAATAAGTCAATAAGTAGTAAGCAGATTTTATGCACAAAGGACGTTGGAGGAGATATTTAAATAGGAAACTTAGTAAATTTTTGGACGATAAATTTCCTTCAGTGTCGCCGCCCTTTAATTAATAATGAATAGCAGTAAGGATAAAACTTCGGCGCATTGTACGCAAAGATCCTGACAGTGCGAGAGATGGGCAACTCATGGTTGCTGCATTCATCTAATGGTGATGAAAATATATCCTGACAAGATTCTGAAGATGAAGCGCCGTTGCTGCCCAGTTTTTACTTTCGGATCTTTCCTCTTTTTGTTTGGAGACTGGTTTTACACCGTGACGGTTGCGAACCAAGGTGAGTTAACTTTAACATTGCTTTGTCTAGGTTTCATTAAAATTTACTCCTGCAATCACGCGAATCCGGAATTGAAGAACGCTGAGTGAAAATGGCGAACCAGGCCCAAAAATAATTCATTTTGATGATTTGGATAGCTTATTCCATCACATAAGGTGATAGGACTCTGTATTAAAAACTGATGAAACCATTTCGATGAAACTTGAGAACGACGAAATATGATATTTTGTTTGCAAGTATTGCTTATTCAAGTTCATTAAAAATAATTAACCACGATTTCAGGGGGAGCTAAACAGGTTTGGAAACTTTCAAGACGAGTTGCAACAAACTCAGTCGTGTCCGGAACATAAATGGATATATTTGGATGAGACTGTTTGGCGACATTTCCTAAACTCTAATTTTTGATTAGTATTTATTCAGATCAATTCCATCATTACACAAGCGAGGAATGCGCACTAAAAGCTACAATTCAATGAAAAAGGAGAACTTTTTTGCTGGTTGTTGGCAACGACCTAACTGATCGAGAGTTTGCTGAGAAACACTGATAAACGATTCATCAGAAGGAATAAGACACCCTCAGATCAGTGTGACGTGAGGAGAAATATCTAGAAGCGGAATATTAATAGAAATTAAAGGTTTTTTGTTTGTCAAGAATTTTCTTCTTATTTTTGAAGTCTCTAAAGCCATTGTATTTGTAAAAATAAGTCATGGTGCTTTTGAACACAATAGGTATTCAAATTCTGAGAAACACTGCATGTTGTCATATATTTCAAATGCAGGTGTTTCACGAGTGTTTGACTTCGCCTCGGTCTTAAAATGATAGACTATTCGTTGAAATCATCTTCTAAGGAACAGACGAACTTATCTGTAAGAAGAAATGCACCATAGTTATTTTAGGAATTCAGATAAATGCTAAGGCTAAAACGCCTCAATTGTCAAAATTGTTTATGATCAATAAGAAAAACCGGTCAATGAGTTCTTCATCCTTTTCCACTCGACTCTAAAACTTTCATCGTTGTGACAGTATAAGAACTCTTTTTTTCCGCACTCGTTTTGAATAGAACGGCAACATCCCAACCAAAGACTGACGAAAGATGATGCACACTCCAAACTTTTGGCAAGTAGATTCCAGAATCTAAATCGACTTAATTTTCATTCCATCCAATTGACGTCCATAGAAATTCTCAAATCCCCAAGATCACTCGATTTTCTTTAAATCTCTTAAGGTTTTACTCAGTTATAGTCTACTTTATTGGCGTATTTCAGAGAGCCGTTTTGCACACCTGTGATCCTCTACTGTCTTATTTATAGATAGCTGTCGGCGAGTCAAGTTCATGGAAAAAAAGGGTGGATGTGCATTGGTCAACCATATTTTGAAGAATATTTCATTACCTGTCAGAATGCATACGCATAGTAACTGCAAGAATAGGTGTATGATGGAAGACAGATGTAAATCAATCAACATGGGACCAGAAGATAAAGATAAAATTTTGTGTCAGATAAGTGACTCAGACCACGTACAACACCCAAATGATCTGAAACCGACAGAAGGCTTTACGTATAGGGGCATGGAGGTAAGCACAAAAAATTCGGTTTTGAGTTTGCAAATTTTATTTACTCTTTTGTGAATCCTCGCAGAAAGACTCACAGAATCGCAATGTCTATTCCCAATGGAACTTGAGAATAAAAAAATCGTTCAGATGAAGTAATTTAAAAAGAGGAAAACATCAAAAGGAGCCCCGAATGAGTCAACGACATAGATTGCTCGCGATTCCTATGCACCTTCGAAAAGCTCTTCACGATCGTGTTATGAATCACCTAATGGGTCTTGGCAATTAGAACCTTTTTTTCGGTAATATTATACCATCAATTGATTGATGTTTCTTTCAGCTTCGCAGTGTAATAACGCACCGGGGGTAAGTTATGTTATGGGGCGCTCTAGGTTCTAACCAATCGGTTACCGTTATTTGGTACCACGTGACGCAAGTTTTCAAATCGTTTAGCGTATTTTTAAAATTACACATAATTCTGACATTTTAGCGGCCCCAGAACGTCTGCCAGTACACAAAGTTATCGGAAATGACGTCACCGGAAGTAGAAACCAATTTGATTTATTGATTTTCTCTGGTATTTCCTTACATCCTCATATTGCCCTTTTTTAATTGATTCTTTTATAACACTTGGGTGGCGTAAATGAATATTTTCGTGGCGCAGCCTCTTGGGCTTTTTTAACACTGTATCCGTCTTCCGGCTGCTTTTTTGTTTTTTTCTGCCGAATATGAGAGCTGGAATAAGAGCTGCTAAAAGGAAAAGCACTTTTTCTACGTTGATTGGTTTGCTTTCTCTTGAAGAATTTTCTGATCGTCCGCAAGGGAATTAAATGGTATGAAACAAAGTTGGGTAGGGGATCCTTGTTACAAGTGGGACGCCTACTTTTCCTGGTGGAGATCAACCATGATGTTGCTGTTTTACAATGGACAAACTGAAGTTTTCTCTCATGCAGAAATAAATCATCTACTAATTCTCGATGTACAAGAATACAATACGATCTAATAGCTCTGAACGAAATATTCGAGTTCTATCCACAGGCATGAATTTTAAATGTTGGATAAGTAGGCGCTTTAAGTGGAAACGTCGCAGTTGAAGTAGAAAATGATGAAGAACTAGAAGAAGCAGAAGACGAGCTAGAAGTAGAGGAGGAACTAGACGAAGGGGAAGAACTATAAGAACAGGAGGAACTAGAAGAAGATGAAGAACTAAAAGAAGAAGAAGAATTAAACGAAGATGAAGAACTAGAAGAAGAGGAAAAACCGGAGGAAGATGAAGAACTAAAAGAAGAGGAGGAACTAGAAGAAGAGAAAGAACCAGAAGAAGAGGAGGAACTAGAAGAAGAGGAAAAAGAAGAAGAGATGAAGAACTAGAAGCAGAGGAAGACCCAGAAGAAGAGGGAGAACTAGAAGAAGAGGAAGAAGAAGAGGAAGAAGAGGAGGAAGAACTAGAAGAATAGGAAGGACTAGAAAAAGATGAAGAAGAAGAGGTAGAATTAGAGGAAGAGGAAGAACTACAAAAAGTGAAGAACTAGAAGAGGATAAAGAACTAGAAGAATATGAAGAAGAACAGGAATGACTAGAAAAAGAGGAATAACCAGAAAAAGAGGAAGAACTAGAAGAAGAAGATGAAGAGCTTCAAGAGGTCAAAGTAATATAAAAAGAACAGCTCGAGTTGAACCAGCTTCTACTAATGTGCACAGGATCCAAAGAAAGTTCATTTTGAATCAAACAAGAAGAATTACAAATACAACTGGAACTTTTAATGAATAAATCACGACAGACGACTGCAGGAAGACGGATTGCTTTGAACAAATTGTGGAATACAGGCACAAACAAGTAAAAGAAGATCAAATGAAACCTGTCGATCTACGTGAATTTAAAGAAAAATGGAAAAATTGAAACAGAAACTTTACCAGGGAAGAATGAAACCATACGTTCGCAGACAAGAACAACAGCTTCCATTTTTTACAACTGGTACAAAATTAGCATCACAGGCTTTAAAGAGTCTAATAGAAAATTTGTGATATGCCCTCTTTCAAAATTCACGAGACGGATTACAGCAATCCATTTCGATACAGTGGTAGTTGGTAAGAGAAGAATATCCTGCAGAACAAGAGCTTCTTGACTCTCTTTTTTAAGAGAAGGAAATCGATACAAACAAGAGGATATGCTTCAACCATGAACGCCGTGAGTGAATTGGTTTTGAATTCACTGTAAAATCGAGTCACAATATCACCTCCGCTCATGGCCACGCTGAGAAGAAACAAACCAGTCCTCAAAGAACCAAGTAACCAAAAAATTACATAAAGAAGAGAAGACTGCATCTGATGAGTTAAGAAGGTTCTAGCTTTTTGCAAAGACTCCACGAAGCCTATTGCAGTTGTTTTAGATAGTAAAGGAAGAAAAAGAGAATAATCAAGTCTCTCGGTGCTTTGACGCAACTGTTGACAGAAGGTAACTAGTCTGTCAAAGAATGGAGTGAAAGTAGCCATAGAATGGAAAAGACTCGAGACAACAGAGCTCAATATCTAGAGAGACGATTGTGCCCTAAGTGTCAGTTTATGTATCCATAAATTACGTTCTCTGGCTCACGTCCAAAATCACCTGTGTAACTTAGAAGATCACACCAAACATTCGGAAAAGGCCTTTGCCGACGAATCCGCGAAATATTTGAAGTTGCTTTTTAAAATTCAGTGCGGATGCGAAACCTAGTCCTTCAGGTATTAATACATTTCCAGCGACACCTGGAGCTTCTGGGACACCTATTAAGAAAAAGAAATTAACAAGCACTTCTAACTTACCTGTAAGAATCAAGAAAAAGAGGCGAATTCGGTAACACACAAGTAGTGGAAACCTAGTTCTTTTAATGAGTCGGTGATGCCACAATTTTGTAATGAAATTCAGAGTACTTTCAAGATTATGAAAGAGAGGACTACTACGCGAAAAGATAAAGAGCCCCAAAGAGGAGGTACATGCAAAACAGAATGGGAGTGGTTAAAATAAGGCGAAGAGACTGCTCTGCGGGAATCGTTTGGAAGAAAATTAGACGAAGAATTCTAAAGGACCCACTTCCTCGTCTTCCGAAAACAAGAAGAGACGACATAGACAAAGAGCACAGAAAGGAGGAAACCTTGATATTCAAAATTGGAGCGCCAAGTTGGAAATGGAAAATCATTGTTTCTTGTTGACTAAGAAACTTTATCCATATCTGGGGCCGGATACTCAATTCAAAAAAGACCTGTTCCTGGCAATCTAAAAATCAATCGTTTGGATCGAATTAGCAAACAACACGATATCAACTAAGCAAAGGCTAAAAATATGGAAGATAAATGGGTTGCCGACTAGGAAATGTTTCCAGCCATCAATAAACTTTCGGGTCCAAAGTCCTTTATGGAAAACGTGGCACGTTACATAATACAAACTAAGAACAATTTCAACCGTGATCATTTGAACTATCTTTTATTATTTCTCGTTACAATAAAGTTTATTTTTACAAATCTAAAAGTGACTCAACGAGTTCAATGTCCTTACGAACAAAAGTGTCTCTATCAACGACTCGTTTGTTAAAGACTAATCCGTACTGTTGGAGACGTTTGACAGTCTTGATTTTTTTATCGGCTGGTTCAAGCACAAAAAATAAGACGGATGCCTCTTGTCCAGGGGGTCTCTGAATCACGCCCAACACATTTTGTCGTGACGTCATGAAACCCTTAGCAATTCACTTCTCATCTCTCTCAGATGCCTTTCTAATTCGGCGTCACCTTGTTCGGATCACGGAATCCGTGTCGTGATACATGACACGATCGTCCAAACGGTACAAGTACTCCTGAGGTGAAGACACAGAAGTCACGACGAGTGTATTCAATCTTTCGCCGAATTTTGCCCAGAACGAATTCAGTTTGGCCAGGGATCGTTGTGCTGGATTCTTGAATATATGGGTTCCACTCGGTTTCTTTCGTACTCTTCGCACTATTAATGTATTATTGCAACTCTTTTTCGGTGCGCACGTAAGATGGTCCTCCACTGGCTTCTTGCCTCATCTTCAACCAAGTATTTGCATAATCGACAAAACGTCCTTGGACACGTTTATCTTCTGGGAATGCCACACTTCATGTATTTTCAAAATGCACTTCCCTTTCTCTACCACTTTAGCAATCTTGGGTGTGCACCACGTGCCTCTCAACATACGTTCTTCATTTGTACGTTCAGATGCATATCGGAATTATAGCATGGGTTTCTCTTGTTCGGGATCTACAGAGGTAAGACACAGGCGAAACGTCAATTTTCCTGCACTTCGGTATCATATGACGAGATTAAACAGTCGGCCAGAAGGAATGATGTCGATCTTTGCCTATCCGTAAAGTTGACAAATGTCTTGAGTCTTTCAAATCGTGAAACTTTGGTGATTTCCTACGAAATAAGTTCTGTGCTTGTTCTCCAAAGGATACTCGGAAGTGACAGCGATGTAATGAACTTTCTCGCCTTTTGTCTCGACCGCCTTTTGATACAGACGGGCAGCATCGATCCTGTTCTTACACCATGAAAAGCATGACGGGGATTCAAGGCATTCATGTAGGGCTTCAAAATCCCATTCATCTTCCTATTCCTCGATGACTTTGTATCCCATAGGTCTCAAGGAGGCCGTATCTTCACAGGTGGCCTCCTACACTCCTCTCGTAGTACAACGAAGACATCTGCACCATAAACAGCCGTGAAATTCGTAGGCATTGAATCCGGCGACGTAATAGACTCACGTAGGTGTCACGATCGCGTGTTCCCCTCGATTTCTAGATTGCGAAATTCGATCTTCATCTCTTCCTTTGGTGTCATTCAAACGCAGCATGTGTTCTATCCGTTTTAACCATTTCAAAGCCCTGGTAGATTAATTAATGCGCACCCCATGCCAACCACCAGGTGGTTCCACGGCAATACAATCAGGTTTCAAATGATGTTTCCGCCGATGCATTTTACAAGCTCTGGCAATGGTGATACAATGTTCCATAAGATCAAATTGGACCTCTTCCTGAGTAAAATATTTTGGGAATTTCTGACATCCGGCTTTCAAAAGTTTGACATCAGAGGTGCAATAATCTTCCATTTCTTAAAATATATGAGAGTTCACATTCCGTCCAATTTTATCTTGGAACCAGGTGTCAAATTCTCGTCGTTTGTCGTGACGCATACCGTCATGCTAAAACGTGTCGCAGGTGGCATGGGTCCTTCGTAATTTTGATTTTTACTTTGTTAAACAAGTGAGTGAAAAATTAGGAAACGAAGCCAGAGAAATGGAAAGAAATAAATCGAGTCGAACGTGATAGGACCTGATGTCGGAGATAAGAGTTTGATTCCCACACAGACTTGATTCTCGACCATATGATGCCGTCGAAAAGTTCTTCCAAAACAAACATTCCATCGTATCCTTTAAGATTATGAAATAAGACTTCGACAGACCATTCAAGTCCATTTTCGTTCACGGCTACTTCATTCAAGAAATCGAAAAAAAAAGTTCTTCGGAAAAATCTTCAACGCAAAACCCCTGCGTGTTCTTATCTTTATCGGTCCTGCAACACAAGAGAATAGGACGATTTTAAAATCTTCAACATGACGTACTACTCGTCTTTTTTCTTTTTTGCCGTTTGAATCTAACACTTATGTTGACATATGGTTCAGTCGTTTCCAGGACCCTTGAAAATAACCATGCGAGGATTATCCAACGACAACACTTGAATCTGGTACTCGGGACGCACTGCCTTTTAAAACTTTTCCAATTCCCTTACACCAAAGGAACATTCTTCCACACCTGCCAATCGATGGAATCACGTTACGTTATATGATTAGTCTACCTGCGCCACGTGGTACTAAATAACGCTATCTGATTGGTTAGGATCCAGAGTGCCACATGACACTACTGGAATGTTATGAGATATTTCTATAACGCCAGAAAAATTCTCCATGTCGTATCTGAGACCATTAGAGTACAAGTTTTTGTAGTCTTTTTGGTGTTCTTATTATATCTCAAGAGAGTTATCCGAGCGTGTCTAGCTTCTAGGTCATTTAATGAAAAATAAAGCAAAATATATATATATCAAAGTTCACATGGCAACCAGGTGGACAGTTAGACATGGTTTGATGCTTTTCTGGCTTGGAGATTTAATAAATGTAACCGCGAGGTTACAATTCATAGACCCAACGTTTCGACACTCCTGTCTAGTGCCTTCATAAACACCCATCATCACCCTTGATGAAAACACTACACAGGAGTGTCGAAACGTTGGGTCTAAGAATTGTAACTTCTCGATTACATTCATCAAATCCTTAAACCAGAGTAGCATCAAACTATGTCTGAAGGCAAAATATGTTTTCACTAGAACAAGTGTTGCCTCAGTATATGCTATAACAATGCAACTTGCTTGGTTGGATTTACGGACAAGGGATACAAATGTGTCTATCAGGCTGGTTACAAGGGAGAACATTGTGAAAAAGGTGAGGGCTACTGTACTGCTAGCCGCAATAATCGCCAAGGTTCCAAATATTTCACAGTTTATTCGGTCATCTTGTTTTACAGGAAAGTATTCGAAATCTATTAACGGATTAGAATTATGTTTAACAAAGGCCAGAATTAATATACATCAACACGGAATAATATTTACATACCCATTGGTGTCTCTCAAATCTGCGACTAGTAGTATTGGCTTTAACGATCTTATCAATTAACTACGTAAGGCATTGTTACGTAATGTCTCATAAAAACGTCACGCATTAATTTCGTGTTAGAACGAAAAAGCTACTATGCGTTGCATCAAGAATATTTGCTATTACATGTATGTGTCTGTTTTATATCCGCTTAAGTTTCGTAGCATAAGATTCCATATGTCCTCCAAGCACTTAAGATGCATGTATAACACTTTGTGCCCATTTTAGATTCATGTTTCATTTCGACACTCGCGCCCTATGGGATTCTTCGTGATATCTCGTGTAGTGTATCGCGTTTTAATTATTTGTTTTAGATATTGACGAGCGCCCCAATAATACCCATAACTGCCATGTCAAGGCTGTGTGTTAACATATAGATTTAGCCAAGCCTAAATGCGGAGCTCTTGTTAATTTATTTTCTAGCCCCTCATTATTACAAAAACTGTAATAAAACTTTTCAGCACTGACCGTAGAAGAGTTTCTTCAAGGGGATTAAGAGACCAATCCGGGGGTTGGGGAGGAAAGGGAAGAATTGGCGACGTCTGGAACCTGGGGGTGACGTTCTCGCAACTTGTGATAAAAGGCACGCTAGTCAGCAGTATCTTCAAGCAGCTGAGAACCGTTGTTGTTCCTGATGTTTTGATCAAATTTTCGAAGATAGAGATCTTTTCTTCTTCAGAGGAAGTGTGCGATGTCAGCATAAGTTTAAATTATATTCTTTTGAGCGTGACTGATAATTTTGGTTTGGGAAAATGAGCCAAAATTGAAAGAAACGACGGTAGATTACTTCGAGTTTAGACATCAACAGTCGATTAAAGGGGATACACGTGATAACAGTGAATCAGTAAATCAAGACGCCAGAACCATATTGGCATCTCTTATATCTTCTCTTCGAAAAGGAAAAGAAAGGTCATTTACAATTCGTGTTTTAACCTGTAATTTCTTAAAACTTTTCCTCTTTTGGCTATTATTGTTTCACGATTGTCCTCTAGCTGGGAATAAACGGCGTCTTTTTGAAATTCTTTCTGTTATTTTATTCCGTAACCTCTGCTGCAACTACTTATAATGTAGGTTTCTTTAAGCTAACTGCCCATGATCTTAGCAACTCTAGCCAATGAAGTACGAAATTTGTCTAACATGTTTCTTGCGCTGCAAAAGTTTGCTTTTAAAAGAAGACAAGCTAGAGCTAAAATGTCGTGATTAAAACTTGATGACGAAGAGAGACTTAGGATTCGATCATGAAGACATTTGTGGAAAACTTGAGATAATACCTGGATTTCATTTTTACATCACAGCAATCAATTCCAAACATCAATCAATTCCAAACATCAATCAAGCTTTCTCTTTAGTTTCAAAGTTGAGTTGATGATGTTGTTGGCTATATTAAGTAAGTTGAAACGTTTTTTTTGTGTGTGTGTGTGGTATTTGAAAATAGTTGAATTTACTGGAAGGTAAAGTTATTGCAACATGTCCACATGAAACACAACAATACATTTTATTGATATGTAAAAAGTTTTCATTTGACTATCTACTGGCAAGTCGTTGTATTATATTTCAACCCAATCATTTTCCACAATTTGTAGACACCATTAAAAAATAATTAGTCGGGGAAACATACACGATGTTTAAAATGTGATGTCCATAGCAAGCAATCAGGTTTGAGGAGAGTGTATGTGAGAATAGGCTCTCTTGTCTGTATTGTTAATTTGCTAGTCGCTCCTGTTGCCAATGTTTTGATGAGGTTGGACTGTCAATGTAAAGGAACTGAGGATTTCAGTAGGCAGTGACTTTTTTTAAACATGGAAACTATCATCGTGAAAGCCATACTTGTGCCTTAACTCATTCCTATTCTGATAAACTAGTTATAAGAAGGATACAATATTTTATTACAAATATTTGATGGATGGGCTGTGCACAAATATTCAATTTAATATACTTTTATAGCCAATAGCAATCCCTACGCATGATAAAATGTCTGTGGGATCAGTGGAAAAATAATTACGTGAATATTAACTGATACTAGGAGATCTAAGAATATTCAAAAGAATGTAAAATTTGTTTGAAAAATTAGAACTCAGCAAAGGCCAAATAAACAAGATTCTTAGAAAAAGAAATGTGCACTAATGAAAAAAGCTAAGCAACCTTTTTACCGGTTTATATGTTGAAAACACACACATACATGCAGATTTTCTATAAACCTGTAGTTCAAGCCTGCCATGACTTCAAAAGTTTGATGCACACCTCAAAAGGAGAAGAAATAAATTTCAAGTTTCTACTTATTCAGTTTAGGTTTGACAGGTAAAATTGAGTCAAACAAAAAAATTTTCACAATTAATTTTTAAGATTAGCCTACCTTGAACAATCAACTTCATGTGCAAATAAGACTAGGTATGTACCGATGATGCACTAAAGAACTATCTGTAGTAAGAGGGCAGGCTTTCCTTTCTTCATTTTAAAAAATACTGAGGTTATTACCTTTCCACAAGCTTAGTGGAAAGTTAGAGTGAGAGAGACTGACAGCGACTTTGTTATTTGATTGAATATCCAGAGAAGTATAAAAGGCAAGATATGATCTGCACAACCTTTTTACTTTAATTTCATAACCTGTTAAGCTAAGTCATTTATATTCTTCCTTTGTGCATTATGAAGATGCCAATTAATTTAACTTTCATGCAGGTCAAAGTAATAACATGAATTAAAATAGCAGAGCCCACTTTAATTTCAGTCCTAATTAAAAGGGGATCTTTGCTTTTCCAGTTTCCCACCCTTTAAAACTCACATATCTTGTGACCAATTCCTCGTATCAATGCTTAGTTTGGGCATGAGTATTGGTAAGGAACACCATGCATCTATGAAAGCTTCAGCGAGAGTATTTAATGCAACTCAAACAATACCATTACATGTCACAATATGACAGCTTACGTAGCAAAATTATATAATCACACAATTCCAAACAAGGAAAGTCAGGTAATTGACTAACCTGCTTCAACTTTTGAGGGCTTGAGGTAGAAAGAAGTAAATATGGTAAACACTTACAATTAATACAAAGTTGAAAGTTTGAAAGCTAAGAGATATACATTACAATCATCAAATCCTATGCATTTCAGCAAAAAGGGTCAGTCACCACTATAACTTCTCCCAAACATTCATACTTACAGGAAATCACTGATTTTTTTTCAATAGGTGGTACTGTACTTACAGTAGTTCTACTGACACAAATGCATTTTTCGAAAGTTATCTCACAGCTTATGACTGTGCGGGTCATGTGGATGATTCCTGCTTGGGGACTGACATTTCAATTACCTCAGCAAACATCAGAGTTGCAAGCCAAGGTGTATTTACCAAGTGCTCAAGTTTCAAAAGTAGTGACCTAATTGTTACAATCGAGTTCACTCCTTTTTGGGGCCATCTTCAGCTTGATCATCCTGTTGCATGTGAAAACATCAAATGTCATTCACATATTCAAATACTTGCTTGAATAAAAGTTATAACCCTTGCGAAATAGATTTTGGAATTCCTAGGAATTCCTAGGGTTATCCAAGGAATTCCTATAAAAAAAGAGGTGTGAATTTTCACGGTAAATTCGGACTGAGAAGTCCCAACTATAACAACTCCGGTTCTTAAAACCTAGAAATTCCCAGAAATTCCAAGTTTATAGCTAACAGAACTTATAATTCCTATAATTCTTTTGCGTCGCCACAAGCAAAAAACGATTTTTGGCTAGACCACCCACAGATTTTAAGCAGCTAGCGCGCAGCGACTGCAGTAACATAGCTCACGGAATTCTATCTTGCTATAAGTTACAAGGTGCCTTCAATTAGTTCACAGAAAAAATTTGGAAACTTCAGCTGAAATATTTTTCATACAAGCGTGTTTAGAGGAGAGCCTCTCTTCGACCTTTACTTGCATATCAAAATTCATCAATTTGTAGGAGAAAAGAATTCTCAAAATACAGGCGTTAATCGGGCTAAAAAAGCATATCAATGTATAGCTTATACACCAATAAGGTCACCAATAGCCTCAAAACCACGGGTATATCTGAAGCTTTCATCTACCAACATCTTAAAACCAACGCAAATCCATGTGTTTGCTCAATTGCGTTCGTGTTAATAATCATTTGCATAATTCTGAATCGCGACCAAGATCTCCTTTTGACCGTTCAAACTTCGTTTGTTTCTCCTCTACGTTGAGGAATGGAGAATAGATGCCGAGTTGTCCTAAAACGTTGCGTAAATGCGATCGGTCGTAACGCTTGCACGCTTGCACGTCTTACAAAGTAAACAAAGGTGATCGGAAGGCGCGTTCTCGATAATTTTTGTTGAAATATCTGGTCATGAACTACGCATAATGTAGAGAAGATCAAAATTAAAGAATACAGTTTGGCACTCTAGTCATTACAGACATATCGTGTTGCTTAAAAGGGCACACAAACAAGTTGAACTACGTTACAGTGTTATTTACCAAAACAACACGCATACACTGAAAGAATTCTTGCAGTTTCTCCCGAGATTTTGCACATGGATAATCCGCCTGGCAGTGGTCAAAAAATAAAACGTGTTTACATACAATCTTACAACGCCGGGGTGCTGGGGTGAGGTTTCTTGAGGTTGTTGTTGCGCTTGCATTGAGGGAGTTTCAGCATAGGCGTCCCGAGCTCACTTCTCGAGAAAGACGAAAGAATAATTCTTGGACACGTATGTATTTATTCATGGAGGCGTCACGCGTTGTGTTGCTCGGTGTTTGGTTACCTAAGGAACTGTTGACTTAATGCATTACAAGGAATAGTTTGGGAAACGAAATATGGTCGATTTAGGACGCTAAATATTCCGAAATGTGAACATTTTACACTCCTTGTGTGTCCGTTGCAGTTTCTGTTGATTTCTGCCATGATAGGGTTAGGAAATGTTCAAAGTTGTACCCTAATGATTATCTGGGAACCATGTAGCAAGACATGTGGTGGTTCTGGTGTCCAAGAGCGCATACGTGTGCGTGTTGGGCTACCGCCGATCAATTCTACCATTTGTGGCAGTGTTTGCCCTGGGTCAAATCTTGAAAAAAGAGCTTGCAACATTCACGACTGTCCAGGTTTGCGAATTGAAGATTTATCAGTAGGAAGTCACAAATGGCTTATCAACAATCCTATTAATATGGAACGATTTTTTTTTCAGTTGAGTACAATTCACTTGGTTGTTTTAAAGACAGTACTCCCCGCGCTCTCCCGTTGTTACTAAAAAACTTCCGGGGTAACATCGATTGGACTGACTCGACAAAAGTCGTTCGAGCATGCGCAGAGATCGCAAAGGAGCGTGGCCTTCCCGTGTTTGGAATCCAGTATTACACAGAATGTTGGACTGGACTGGACGCCGAAAACACGTACAATATGTACGGACCTTCCGGAAACTGTTGGAATGGAGTGGGAAAGAGGAGAGCAAATTATGTGTACAATATGAGTAAAAGTTCCAGTTTTTTTCGAAATTGAGGGGTTAAATATTTGACATAATAATCCTTAGCAGTAGATTGTGACACGCTATAGAATTAAATACTCTTAAATTAAGAACAAAACTGCGTTATCGTTTTATATTCCCTTCAAATGAAAACCCGCGGCTATGAAATATCCCTGAAAACAGACAACTTGTGGGGCATCCTAATATTTTCACTCTCTCCATAGTTACTAGTCATAAATAGTTGCTTATTCTTTTTTTCTGTGATGATATAGCGGAAAGCTAATGGCGTCTTTATGCTGTCGATCCTTTACACGCTAACATTACAAGATGAGGCGGATGGAAATGGGTGAGTGAAAATGGACGCTCGCCCACAGTTTTTGCCTTAAAGGTTTGCACCGCAATCGGAGCTGTATAAATAATTATGTCTAAGACTGTAGATGTTTACATTTTTCGTGAACATGAAAACTCCGTACTTACTCGGACAATCCCTGAGCAAACACGACTTGGTTTGTTTACTTTGCCCAGTGCACGCTCGTTCTCCATGCTGGGGCAGAGGATTGGAACAAGATCGCCTCCTAGCCTTGGTGCCAGACCCACATGTTTTTGAGCAGGCTTCCTATGTTGACCACAATGTCTAACGACCGTTTACTCAAGAAAAGGGAGGAAAGTAACGGAATATTATGATGACTTTTTCGTTAATTTAAGATCCGAATTGTAAGACGCAAACTAACTGAGTCCAGGAACAAAGAGTCCAGCTCGAGTGTTCATTTCTTGCTGCATTCACTATACGCTTTTTTGCTTACCTGATGTGCCATCAGATTAAACTCAAATAAGTCCCTCCTCCAGCGATTTCTATTGACTCGTCGGACGAATTATGCTGGAGGAGAGACCAAGTGTGATGCACAATAGGATACGACAACACTTACAGTGAGTATTTCTGCTATCGATAACGATCGACCTAATTGCAGCACACATATCTCCGGCCTCACTGCAAGACTTTGAACTTATTGTTTACTGAGTGAGTATCCGATTGACCAAATTGTTTTTGCGTCTTAATGGAACGTAAAAACGCAAAAGAAAACAACATCTCCCTATCCTACTTGGAAAATGTTCGGCAATAGTTATTGTATTGTCACAAAATGGCGCCAAGAATTTCGTTTTTGTGCCAGCGATTTCACTATAGGTAATCTTGGCCGCCTCTGTTTCTAATGGAAACAAGAATCTCCTCTTATTTCGACAATTTGTCTGTTTTCCGGGATATTTCACAGCCGCGGGTTTTCATCATTTGAAGGGAATTCAATAACGTGTCACAACTTACTCCTAAGGATTATTATGCCAAATATTTAACCCTCACTTGCTCGAGCCGTCCAGGGAGTTACTGACAACACATAAATATAATATTACAAAACTACATAATACATAAAGCGTGATATGAATTCTCGTAGAAGGTGTGAGAAATTATGTTTCTTATTATCGTTTTCCACATGAAACTTTTGAAGAAGAAAGTGTTCTTGAACTTTTATTTCATTCGAAAACATCATAAAGCTGTTGCTACATCGTAGGTGAGACTGGAGGCTTAGTGCAAAGCTAACAATAAAAAAAAAACTCTCCAGTATATTATTCGTGACTTTCTTGACTGTACAGGCGATGATCGAGCAGGGAACCACTTCAAATTTCCACAGCCTTCCTTTTCCGTTTTGCGCGTGAATGATAAAATCCGGCTAAATCAAGTCTAAAAGTCAATTTAAAACTAAATTGAAAATAGACCAATGAATAAACAAAAGAAACTTAGCTGGACTAACTTCATTTAGAGATTACCCCCCCCCCTTCCTCCTCACTCTCTCCTGAGTCTAAATTTCGATTTGATACCACGTCCTCTGACACAAATTTTTGGGGAATTTTGAAAGATAAACTCTCAGTGCTGTGGCTGCAACTGCAGAAGAGACGAGTTCAAAAATTACCTTAAAAAATTTTTTCTTTAAGGGGAGAATCCTTGTCTTTTACACTAAATTCTATTTCAAAAAATCATGCGTAATGTTGAAACAGTGGATCCGCAAATGTAAACAAAAGATACATTTCAATCAACACAAGGGATTTAACCGATTCCTTTAGAGCACTTTAGAGTTTTTACAAATCCTTTTCTTTTCATCTAAAACTCGTCGAATCTCAGCTGGCCACCATGGGCTAGGAAAGTCAAGTCGAGTCGATTCTCATCTCCTGGGTGGAGGGAATAATGGCCTAACAATGAGAAGGCGTGTAGTCATCCTAGTATTACATTGATAGTTATCAATAATTGATACAGTTTGTCAGTGAGGCATCTGTCAAAGACTTTGCGAACGCTTAAACAGTGCTAGACTCGCGCTTCTCCCCTCAAAAGTGAGATTTGCGAATGATGTCCTAATGTTATGTTGAGGATGGTAGAGCACTGTTCTTTATTTTTGTCTTCGCTCTTAAATTTTTTTCTGTGTGGAGGATGGCATCTTTGCTTTGTAAAAGGAAACCAAGGTAAAGAATTTGGTTCACTCCTTTCTTCACTAAATGCAACTTTAATTCAATATGCGACTTATTGACTGCCTGAAAAAAGTCAAACTAAATTCTTTTTAAGAAAGTCTCCTCTACCTTTCTAAGAGCGAAATTTTTATTTTTCCATCTACTCTTCATATTTAAGTTTAATTTTGCTATTGATTTCATTTCTCAACTTGGAAATCGAGTAAGCATGGTATTTTGATTTATTATTCTTATTCCTATTTCATAACCTTAATTCAACAAAATGCGTATGTTTTTTTTTTCTGGTGAACAACAATATGTTTGTATCCCACAAAATATTTTGTTTCTAATTCACGAAAAAAACATAAATAAGTTATGAGAGAAAAAAAAATTTTTCATACAGCATTGTTAAAAATTCCAATCAGAGGACTCGCATTATTCCTCAGGACTATCTTCCCATGTAATAAACTTATTCGACAACCATAAATTGATTTAGCAAACCTCGGCAATATTCAAGCTGGCACTTTCTCTTTTGAAACGATAGGTCATTTGCGCAACATTGACGACTAACCTGCAATTAGACTGTCGCTTATTTAACGTTGAACAGAAACGTGGACGAATTGGCTAAATTCTCAACAGACGTAGGGCTTATTACAGCCGCTAAAGCACTGGTAAAAGAAAAAACGTGTCTAGGGGACACGAATTTGTAATGCTATTTGACGCAAAAAATGGTCCAACATGCTTGTTACCATATCTCTAACCAATCAGTTGTAGATGTTCACTGTCGAAGTCTTATGTTTGAGAAGTTAGTTGGAGGACGTGCTCTACAACAGCACGTTTTCAACAAATATATTTGACCATGTCGATTGAGCCCGATAGCGACTGCAAAAATAGGTGCCTCATGGAAAATACCTGTGTGTCCGTGAACGTTGGTCCACCCGACAAGAATGGACTCAGGGTCTGTCAACTGAGTGATTCTGATCACATTCAACATCCTGATGACCTGAAATCCCAAGAAGGATACCAGTATTGGGCTACAAAGGTGCGGATATTCGGATAGAATACAATACGATAGATTAATTTTTCCAATTTTCCTTGGTATGGTTATGCTGAGTTTTTATGAAAAGAAATCCCGCTAAAGATAACTTAATCCCTGCAGAATCCATGTTCAAGCAGCCCTTGTCTCCATAATGCAACCTGTCTAAATGGGTTTACAGATAAGAGATACATTTGCTTGTGTCAAGTTGGTTTTAAGGGAAAACAGTATGGAAAAAAAGGTGACCAGAAGCTGAGAATTTCTCAAAATAAATATAAGGTTTACCTTCATGCTTGTGTGTTATCTCCTTCTGTGAATCTTTTACTTTGACACGAAAATTGATACCCTTCATTTTTATTATTATTATTATTATTATAATTATTTCTGTTTTGTTTTGTTTTTTGTTTTTTTTTGCTTTTTCGCACCTCCAATCTGTGCTTTTGATATCCGTTTAAGAAATTTTGTATGGTGAATTAATTAATCTATCATTTGAAGGCTAAACATACAATGTAGATGGTTAATTTCTCCTTCCTAACATTTTTCCTTGCCCCTTTAGGGCTTGTAAAAATGTTACGTAACTCTCAAGTACTCGAACGCCCCACATGTTTAATTTTTGAAGAAGATACGAATTAAGATTGTGTATCATTACGATTATCAACAGCGAGCCTTTGTGTCATCTTTAAGAGAGCTGAAAGAAATTGTGCCATAAAAAATATGTTTATATGAGCTTCTTTGTTTTCCCCTCAGCATTCAAAGCAATTTTTACAAATCTCCATGCCACTGGAAGATATGGTCCAACAACACTGGGCAGTCACTACATAGATCAGGATCACGAAGGACAAGTTACATTGTCTGGCGGTACTCAACAATGGACTGTGCCGTACGCCGGTGACTACAGAATAGAAGCGGTAAGAGCAGCAGGAGGGTACGGTGGAGCTTCCAACAACCCTCAGTATCGAGGAAGAGGAGCAAGAATGATTGGAACATTCCGTTTAAAGGAGGATGAAGTCATCCAGATCCTTGTAGGTCAAGAAGGAGGAATAAACAAGATGGATCTATCCTCTGGTGGTGGTGGAGGTACATTTTTGGTGGAAGGAACCAACACGCCTTTGATAATAGCTGGAGGCGGAGGAGGGATAGATTCTGCGCAGTCAAGACATGCAGGATGTGACGCCAGCACAAGCAAAACAGGGAATTCCGGATACAAGTCATGGTTAGGGGGGAGCAATGGGCATGGTGCGCAGATTGCTGATTATGGCTACTCAGGTAAGAGTATACTGTGGTGATCCCTTGCCTATTAGCTCCTTATTAATGAATGTGTTAATGTATGCTTCAAATTTAAATCATTGGCCCTAGTCCCTTAAAACAAAATAAAAACACTAAGACTGCCTTGGATGAGGACCAGTTTATACATCCAGGGAGAATACAGGCACATATAAAAATTACTCTGCCTGAGGGATGGCGGCACAATATAAATACATGATTTAAAGGTTTGACCACGCTGATATGAGTACATTAAGGATTATCAAAACAGAAAAAAAGGTTTTGGAATTAAAACCTTAATCATCGCGTTTGTTTTTGTTTTGTCTTCAGGTGGTGGTGGTGGCGGGTTTAACTCCAGTGGAAGAAGTGGAACTCATTTCAAGGGGACCAAGGGAAGGGGCGGAGAAGGTGGTTAGGGATTTCTTCAAGGAGGGGAGGGTGGGAGATCACTGCATAACAATGTTGTTAGTGGGTTTGGTGGAGGAGGTGGAGCTCATGGACAGTCAGGAGGAGGAGGAGGAGGAGGAGGGTACTCTGGGGGAAGCAGTGGAGATGGTTCTCGTGATAGCTGCGGGGGTGAGGGTGGCTCCTATAACGATGGAAACAATCAGGACAACGAATGTTGTTATAACACGGCTGATCATGGTCAGGTGACCATCACATTGCTGTAAAAATTGCAAAGCGATGATAAGATAAGGGTTTATCTGTGTTTGATTGGCATTCTAATTGTTCTTATTTATAACCCAAAGGCAAATAGAGCTCTTAAGATACGAGATAATGAAGGAAACTTGTTTTCAGAAATTGAGTCTCACTCGTTAGGCTTTTGTAGGTCATGAGGTCATATCGAAAGATGACGTAATCGCATGGCGAAGTATCTCAACGTGCAATATTATGAGACAGTTGTAATGAAAAAAAAAATTCCGGACGATTATATCTACTGAAAGCTTTGGCTGTTTGTTCATGTACCTTCTCTATTTCAAATCTTTACTAATTTTCCTTTGCCTTCCTTAAGATCAGCAAAGATTTGAGTTCCAGAAGCAGTGACTGGCCCCTTTCACACTAGATTACTTTGGAATCAATGTCTTTTCGAATGCAGCTTTAATTTAGAGTTTGAGCATGCTTTAACAGATGGTGAAGACGATTTTCCATAATTTGAATTCTCTTCCGAAATAGTAAGGATTTGCTCGCTGGTATGAAGATCGAAAATCCAACAGAGTTGCTATGACAGCCTTGTAAATTGACGGGTGTTATTGTAAATAAATTCTAAAATTGACCAAAATTAAGTAGAGAGTATTTGATTAGAGGTACAACATTTGTTAAAAGGCATTGCTGCTTCTATAAAATGTTCCTTTGCAATATTTGAGTTATTAGTATCGCATGAGTTTTTTAATTAAGGGATAATATTCTCTTTGTTTCTATAATGATAATTTGTATCACGTGCTTTAACAAAGTGTTTTAGATAAGGAAAAACTCACTGTGCATTTCTTAGATATACTTGTAATAAGCAGGAAGATATCATTGCCATCAGCTTAAAAGCCTTTAAAACGTTCGCTTAAAAAACTTTCTCTTGACTACTAAGTATCTTAGCTATCAGTAAACCAGCGAGACCATGGGCTCTTACAATAAGCTATAAACATTTGAAAATAAAATAATTTATCGTAAGGATCTGGAAATGAAAGCTAAGTGTCAAAAGGTTTCATGAAAAGGCGGCAATGTTGATCTGCAGTGGGATATGACATTCACTACATACAGCCATTGTTGCTTAATTTACAAAAATAAGCTTTTTCACCACATTACTATGCAAAATTTAATTCAAAGCCTTTTCTGCATCCTAGATGAAACTGGAAACTTAGAGGAAAACAATTATTAAAAATGTTCTCCAGTATATTGTTTGTGAGTTTCTTGACTGTATAGGTAATGATATTTCAGTGAAACTGTTTTATATTTCCTTCACTTCGATGAATATGATTTGCGTTCACAGCATGCGAGGATTTTTCGAGAGAAGGCAGACGTAGACAAATGCTAGCCAAAGAAAAAGAAAATAGGCTAAGGAACAAATAAATGAGTGAGAAAACGAAGTGAAACAAACACACTTGCGGAGCCAACGGCGAAATTTTATTCCTAGCTTCATTCATAATTAATCAAAATCCGGCGAGATAATAATTTTCTTTAGTTCCCTGCAGGTTTACTGTTTTCCTCCAACGTGGTTTGAGCATGAAAAATAGCCATTAGCAAGCCTGTCGTTCTGTGACATTTTGAAAGATAAATTCCTCTGAAACAATGATCAAAACGAAACAAAAGAACGGTGAAAAGAAAAAAAAACAAAAAGAAAGAAAGAAAGAAAAGGCAGGGAGAGACTGATTCTTATTATTGCTATCACTTAATAACTTTTCTGGGGATACGTAAATTATTAGGTCTTAGAGCCAATTTTGATAAATGTAAGTCTTAAGAGCTAATGTCAACATGCATCGAGTTCGTTTTCTCTCCTACTTTAATATTTTCTAGCCCAACATGTCCTAATGATTGTGGTGTGGTTTTTTTGTGAAAATATATACTTCAGTTTTTGAGAAATTAGTTTTTTAGTTCGACCGCTCAAATATGCAAATTTTCACCCTGAATATTACCCGAGTTGTGCGACCTCATGTAACGAATTTACGTGACCTCCGGTAATTCTGTGGGCATAATCCTTTGTTTTATCATCTAAACTTAATCCCCTGTCATTATTGAAGATGTAAAGAAATATTTATTTTTTGGTGAATATTTTTGTCCGACATACTTTTTCTATGTCTAAAAGTGGCATCAAAACAAAGACAGTTTTAACAATGACTGATATGACAGAATCTACTGAGCTTCTAGCTTTTAAAAGACAAGACGATGGTTATAAAGTTACTGTTATATAGTGAGACGAACTCAAAGTCCGGCAAAGTTTACTTGCTTACTTGGTGTTGTTCATTTCTTGTTGCATTCGCATTACACTTTTTTGCATACCTGATGTGAAATCAGATTAAACTCAAATCAGTCCCTCCTCTAGCGATTTCTAGTGACTCGTCGGACGAATTATACTGGAGGAGAGACCAGGTGTGATGCACAATCGGATACGACAACACTTCTAGTGAGTATTTCTGCTATCGATAACGATCTACCTAATGACCTCACTGCAAGACTTTGAACTTGCTTTATCGTTTACTGAGTGAGTATCCAATTGACCCGATTGTTTTTGCGTCTTAATGGAACGCAAAAACGCAAAAGGAAACAACATCTAGCTATTTTTCTCGGAGAATGTTAGGCAATAATTATTATATTGTCACAAAAAGGCGCAAAGAATTTCGTTTTTGTGCTAGCGATTTTATTGTAGGCAATCTTGGCCGCCCCTGGTGCCAGTGGAAAACAAGAATCGCCTCATATTTCGACAGGTTGTCGGTTTTTAGGGATATTTCAGAGAATATAAAACGATAACGCAGTTTTGTGCGTAATTTCGCAGTATCCAATTCTATAACGTGTAACAACCTACTCCTAATATAAATATTTAACCCCTCACATGCTCGAGCCGTCCTGGGGATTATTGACAACACATAAACATAATATTTCACAGCCTTAGGATTCTTGGAAATTTTATTGCTTTTCACCTGTGCATTGAGCTGTTTATTTGTAACACACCATTATTGGATGAAAAAAAGGATTTGTAATGAAGCAACTTCTTTGGAAAAGAATGCATCAGGAGTGCTCTAAAGGAATCAGTTAAATCCTTTGTGTTGATTGAAATGCATCTTTTGTTTACATTTGCAGATCCACTGTTTCAACATTACGCAAGATTTTTTGAAATAAAATTTAGTATAAAAGACAAGGATTCTCCCCCTAAAGTAGGAAAATCATTTTTTTCTTCCAAGGAGAGAGAGGGGGGAGGGGGGGTTAATCTCAAAATGAAGGTAATCCTTCACTCAATTCTGTTATGTTTTATTATGTCTTATTTATTGGTCCTTCGTTTTTAGTTTTAAATTGATTTTTAGACTTGATTTAGCCGGTTTTTACCCTTCATACGCAAACAGAATAGGAAGGTTGTGGATATTAGAAATAGTTCCCCTGCTCGATTATCGCCTGTATAGTCAAGAAGATCACCAACAATATACTGGTGAGTTTTAAAGGAGAAAAGTGTTCTTGAAGTTTTACTTCATTCGAAAACATCAAAAAGCTGTTGCTACATCGTAATTGAGACTGGAGGCTTTGTGCAAAGCTAACAAAAAAAAACAAAAAAAACTTTCCAGTATATTGTTTGTGACTTTCCTGACTGTACAGGCGATGATCGAGCTAGGGAACTATTTCAAATTTTCACAGCCTTCCTTTCCCGTTTTGCGCGTGAATGATAAAATCCGGCTAAAAAAATCAATTTAAAACCAAAATCGAAGGACCAATGAATAAACAAAAGAAACTACCTTCGTTTGGAGATAGCCCCCCCTCTGCTTAGACAAAGTATCGATTTGACACCACGTTCTCGTCTCTAGCGAAAGAACATGTTTGATACAAAAATATTTGGGGAATTTTGAAAGATAATTTCCCAATGCTGGGCCTATTAGATTAAGGATTGGTACATCCGCAGGAGACAATGGAAACTGAGTACAGTGCAATATAAATTAAACGGGAAGCTAAACAGAAGTTGGGGCTTGGAGTTTTGCTGTGGCTGAAACTGGAGAAGAAACGAGTAAAAAAATACCTAAAATTGTCTACTTTAAGGGGAGAATCCTTGTCTTTTACATTAAATTCTATTTCTAAAAATCATGCGTAATTTTGAAACAACGAATCCGCAAATGTAAACAAAAGATGCATTTCAATCAACACAAGGGATCTAACTGATTCCTTTAGACCACTTTAGTGCTTTTCCAAAGAAGTTGCTTCATTACGAATCCTTTTCTTTTCATCTAAAACTCGTCGACTCTCAGCTGGCCACCATGAGCTAGGAAAGTCAAGTCGAGTCGATTCTCATCTCCTGGGTGGAGGGAATAATAGCCTAACAATGAGAAGGCGTGTAGTCATCCTAGTATTACATTGATAGTTATCAATAATTGATACAGTTTGTCAGTGAGGCATCTTTCAAAGACTTTTCGAACGCTTAAACAGTGCTAGACTCACGCTTCTCCCCTCAAAAGTGAGATTTGCGAATGATGTCCTAATGTTATGTTGAGGATGGTAGAGCACTGTTCTTTATTTTTGTCTTCGCTCTTAAATTTTTTTCTGTGTGGAGGATGGCTTATTTGCTTTGTAGAAGGAAACCAAGGTAAAGAATTTGGTTCACTCCTTTCTTCACTTAATGCAACTTTAATTTAATATGCGACTTATTGACTGCCTGAAAAAATTCAAACTAAATTCTTATTAAGAAAGTCTCCTCTACCTTTCTAAGAGCGAAATTTTTATTTTTTGCATCTACTCTTCATATTTAAGTTTAGTTTTGCTATTGATTTTATTTCTCAACTTTGAAATCGAGTAAGCATGGTATTTTAATTTATTCTTCTTCTTCCTATTTCATAACTTTAATTCAACAAAATGCTTTGGTTTTTTTGCGGTGTAAATGGTTCCTTTATCTTTTTTTTCTTCTCGTGGTTGAACTCTTCTTTTACATAAACTTTGTATAACATTTCACCAACTTACGGTAAACTTAAAAGATACGCTAAACTTCTTCGTCTCTTAGTTTTATTTCACTTTGTTTTCCTAAGTTTTTAAGTATTTTGTCAATATGGCGCAGTTCACATAGCTTTGATCAAAAAGGAAATGGGAGGGAGGGGTGATTGAGGACGCTAACGTACGCTCTTTTGGTGAAAGATGTTTATTTTTTGTTCCTTTCACTCCCCTTTCGTTTTTTTTCCCTAGCTTCGTTGTCATACCATTAAATAAGGTGTAATTTATGACAAGAACATGTTTATATTCCACAAAATATCTTGTTTCTAATTAACGAAAAAATCATAAATAAGTTATAAGAGAAAAAGAAAATTTTCATACAGCATTGTTAAAAATCCAATCAGAGCACTCGCATTATTCCTCAGGACAATCTTCCCATGTAATAAACGTATTCGACAACCATAAATTGATTTAGCAAATCTCGGCAATATTCAAGCTGGCGCTTTCTCTTTTAAAACGATAGCTCATTTGCGCAACATTGACGACTAACCTGCAATTAGACCGTCGCTGATTTAACGTTGAACAGAAATGTGGACGAGTTGGCTAAATTCATTACGGACGTAGGGCTTATTCCAGCTGTTAAAGCACTAGAATAAGACGTATCTGGGGGACACGAATTTGTAATGCTATTTGATGCAAAAAAAGGTCCAACATGCTTGTCACCATATCTCTAACTAATCGGTTGCAGGTATTCATTGCCGAAGTCTTATGTTTGAGAAGTCAGTTAGAGGACGTGCTCTGCAACAGCACGTTTTCAAACAAATATATTTAACCATGGCAATTGAGCCCCATAGCGATTGCAAGAATAGGTGCCTCATGGAAAACACCTGTGTGTCCGTGAACGTTGGTCCACCCGACAAGAATGGACTCAGGGTCTGTCAACTGAGTGATTCTGATCACACTCAACATCCTGATGACCTGAAACCCCAAGAAGGATACCAGTATTGGGCTACAAAGGTGCGGATATTTGGATAGAACACAATACAATAGATTCATTTTCTAATTCTCCTTGGTATGGTTATGTTTAGTTTTTATTAAAGTAAATCCCACTAAAGACAACTTTATCCCTGCAGAATCCATGTTCAAGCAGCCCTTGTCTTCATAATGCAACCTGCCTAAATGGGTTCACAGATAAGAGATACATTTGCTTGTGTCAAGCTGGTTACAAGGGGAACAAATGTGAAAAAAAAGGTGACCAGAAGCTGAGAATTGATCTGAGTAAATGTCAGGTTTACCTTCATGCGTGTTTGTTTTCTCCTTCTATGAATCTTTTACTGTGACACGCCTCGTGGTACGCTTTATTAATATTATTATTATTATTATTATTTTTTTTGTTTTGTTTTGTTTTTGTTGTTTTTTTGTTGTTTTTTGTTTTCTCTTTGTTTTTGCTCTTTCCCACCTTCAATGTTCGCGGTTGATATCCGTGTAAGACATTTTGTGGAGGTGGATTAATTAATCTGTCATTTGAAAGCCAAATATACGAAGTAGACGGTTAATTTATCCTTTCTTATATTTTTCCTTGCCCCTTTAGGCATAGTAAAAATGTTTACGTAATTAATGAAGAAGATACGAATTAAGCTTGTGTATAACTGCGAGCCTTTGTGTCATCTTTAAGAGAGCTAAAAGAAATTGTGCTCTAAAAAATATGTTGATATGAGCTTGTTTGTTTTCCCCTCAGCATTCAAAGCAATTTTTACAAATCTCAATGCCACTGGAAGATATGGTCCAACAACGCTGGGCAGTCACTATACAGGTCAAGATCATGACGGGCAAGTTACATTGTCTAGCGGTATTCAACGGTGGACTGTGCCGTACACTGGTGACTACAGAATAGAAGCGGTAGGAGCAGCAGGAGGGTACGATGGAGCTACTAACAACACTCAGTATCGAGGGAGAGGAGCAAGAATGATTGGAACATTCCGTTTAAAGGAGGATGAAGTTATCCAGATACTTGTAGGTCAAGGAGGAGGAATAAACAAGATGGATCTATCCTCTGGCGGTGGTGGAGGTACATTTTTGGTGAGAGGAACTGATACACCTTTAATAATAGCTGGAGGTGGAGGAGGGATAGATTCTGCTAAGTCAATACATGTAGAATGTGACGCCAGCACAAGCAAAATAGGGAAATCTGGACACAAGTCATGGTCAGGGGGGAGCAATGGGCATGGTGCGCAGACTGCTGATGATGGCTACTCAGGTAAGAGTATACTGTGGTGATCCCTTACCTAGAAGCTCCTTATTAATGAATGTGCTAATGTATTCTTCAAATTTAAATCATTGGCCCTAGTCCCACAAAAAATAAAACAAAGCACTAAGACTACCTAGGATGAGGACCAGTTTATACACCAAGAGATAATATAGGCACATATAAAAATATTCTGCCTGATGGATGGCAGCACAATAGAAATACATCATTTAGAGGTTTGACCACGCTGATATGGGCACTTTAGGGATTATTAAAAAAAAGTGTTTTGTAATTAAAACTTAATCATCATGTTTGTTTTTGTTTTGTCTTCAGGTGGTGGTGGTGGCGGGTTTTACTCCAGTGGAAGAAGTGGAACTGATTTCAAGGGGACCAAGGGAGTGGGCGGAGAAGGTGGTAAGGGATTTCTTCAGGGAGGGGAGGGTGGGATATCACTGCATCACAATGTTGTTGGTGGGTTTGGTGGAGGAGGCGGAGCTCATGGACAGTCAGGAGGAGGAGGAGGAGGAGGGTACTCTGGGGGAAGCAGTGGAGATGGTTCTCGTGATAGCTGTGGGGGTGGGGGTGGCTCCTATAACGATGGAAACAACCAGGACAATAAATGTTGTTATAACACGGCTGGTCATGGTCAGGTGACCATCACATTACTGTAAAACAATAATACAAAGCGATGATGAGATAAAGGTTTATCTCTGTTTGATTGGCATTCTAATTGTTCTTATTGATAACCCAAGGTAAATAGAGCTCTTAAGATATGAGATAATGAAGGAAACTTGTTTTTCAGAAATCGAGTCTCGCTGGTAGGCTTTTGTAGGTCATGAGGTCATGTCGAAAGATGACGTAATCGCATGGACGAGACATCCCAACATGTAATTTTATGAGACAATTGCAATGAGAAACAAACTTCCGACGATTATATCTTCTGAAAGCTTTGGCTGTTTGTTCCTATACCTTCTCTATTTCAAATCTTTACTGACCTTCCTTTGCCTTCCTTAAGAAGATCAGCCAAGATTTGATATCCAGAAGCAATGACTGACCCCTTTCACACTAGATTACTTTAGAATCAATGTCTTTTCGAATGCAGCTTTAATTTAGAGTTTGAGCATGCTTTATCAGGTGGTGAAGACGAGTTTCCATAATTTGAATTCTCTCCCGAAATAGTTAGGATGTGCACGCTGGCATGAAGAACGAAAATCCAACAGAGTTGCCATGACAGCTTTGTAAATTGACGGGTTTTATTGTAAATAAATGCTAAAATTGACCAAAATTAAGTAGAAAGTATTTGACTTAACGTACAACATTTGTAAAAAGGCATTGCTGGTTCTAGAAAATGTTCCTTTTCAATATTTGAGTTATAAGTATTGCATGAGTTTTTTACTAAAGGGATAATATTCTCTTTGTTTCTGTAATAATAATTTGTATCACGTTTTTTGATTGTGTGTAGATAATAAATAATACACTATGTATTTCTTAGATATACTTGTGGTAAACAGGAGGGAATGATTGCCATCAGCTTAAAAGCCTTTAAAACTTTCGCTTAAAAACCTTTTCCTTGACTTCTAAGTATTATAGCCATCAGAAAACCAGCCAGACCACGGGTTCTTACGGTAAACTATAACATGAAAATAAAAATTATTTATTGTAAAGATCTTGAAATGAAAGATAAACGTTAAAAGGGTTTCATGAAAAGGCGGTAGTGTTAATCTGCGGTGGGATATTACTAACATTTATTATAAACACATTTTTGCTTAGTTTACAAACATAAGCTTTTTCATCACATTACCATGCAAAATTTAAGTCAAAGCTTTTTCTGCATCCTAAATGACACTGGAAACTTAAAGCAAGGAAATTAATAAAAATGTTCTCCAGTACATCGTTTGTGAATTTCTTGACTGTTTAGGCAATGATCTTTCAATGAAACTATTTCATATTTCCTTAACTTCGATAAATATGATTTACGCTCACAAAATGCGAGGATTTTTCAAGAAAAGGTAGAGGTATACAGATATTAGAAAAAAAGAAGATAAGCTAAGAAACATAACAATAATAATAATAAAACCAAGTGGAACAAACACAAAGCTAAAATAACAGATCTCGGTTGGGGGTTGAAGGAAGGGTGTCCCTGTCACCCACCTGAGGAAAGGGTTGAAGAATTGAAAAAGAAGGAGGCTGATATACAGCCATCTTGATCGAACAAGCGTGGTCAATAACTGATTAACTCTAAAGCAAAGAGATCATCACTTTATTTAAAGGACAGATACAAGAAAACCTTTCATCCATTGTTTAGGAATTCAAACTTATAAAGTATTTAAGTCAAGTTCCCGTACACTTTGTTTCAACATGTCTTGAAAGTTTCTTTGTTGGCTTCCTTCTAAAATCGCGGTTCCCTTCTTTTTCAATTTTAATGGGCCATATAAGTACTAAATTTCGTCGCCCTCACGTTTTTTCGAGATAGTCGCATCAGTTTTTACTTCAGAACTCTATCGATGTGGTAAATTAGGATTTCCAATCTGCTGAAAATTGCATTAATTTCAAGCCCGATTCGTCAGGCCATTGCTTTTCTTCAATTACAGATGTGGATTACTTGAGGTGTTGCCATAGGAAAAATGTTTTAAAAAACCCAGACACAAGAATGTTAAAGTTATTTCATTATGGCTTGCAGCTGTTAAGGTGAAGAACCAGCCTTCAAACAAAACAAGGAAAAATACGAAAGAAAGCACCTGGAAGCGACGTTCCTTCATCCTTAGAGTTTTGCCGGAAAAGAACGTTTTTAACTCTCTTATCACGATAGTTTGGTTCTTAAAAATATTTTCAGGTAATGTGAGACAAACGAAACAACCATCAGTTATCTTCCTCTCGTATTGTTAGGTTCTTGCAGAGCCCAACGGCGAAGTTGAGTTCCTACCGTCATTCATTATTAATCAAATTTGGCGAGATAATAATTTTCTTTAGTTCCCTGTTTACTATTTTCCTTTAGCATCCTTTTAGCATGAAAATACCCGCTAGCGAGCCTCTCCTTTTGTGCCATTTTGAAAGAAAATTCCTCTGAAACAATGATCACAACGAAACAAAAAAACGGTGAAAAAGAAAATAAAACGAAAGGAAGAAAATGCAGGAAGATACTCATTATTTCTTATTACTATCACTGAATAATTTTTCTGGGGATACGTGAATTATTAAGTCTAAGAGTCAATTTTAATAAATGTAAGTCTTAAGTGTTCTATGTTGAAGGCAAAACAATTCCACACCTTTAAAAATTCCCTGAATAATAATATAAAAAAACTTCAAAAGACAAACTGTTTTTATGATTTCCTATTCATTTAGCATCTTAGCATGTATGAGTGAACTATCATTTTAGAATCATTAATCAGTCCAAAACTAGGAAGTTCCGAGAAACGTCACGCAGCGTGAACCCATTTGCCAAAAATATTCTTTTTGGGAACTTTTCTCACATTTTTAATCACCAAGGGAATAAAGATATTAATGTGTCGGTCAAACGAAGTTACAAACCAGCCCTCCACAATGACTATTTTAACACTTCCGTTCCGTAACCAGAAAAAAAAACTAGCCAATCGGAACGAAGCTGTCAGTAGTAGCTTCATTCTGATTGGCTAATGTCTTTTTCCAGTTGCGGAACGGAAATGGTAAAATAATCATTGGGGAGGGCTGGTTTGAGCCGTCTTTTTTAAGTAGCCCATGTCACCAACCGTTAGTGCAAATGTTGTTTAACTGTTTACACCCCATGAGTGACAAAGGTAGAACTTTTCCTTACAATAACCTGTAGAATATCAAGCATAGAAGTGATAAGAATAAAGAAAAATATCAATTCGGGATTATTAGTTGATCCAATACTAAATTCTCCCAATAGACATGATAAGAATTGTATGGCAGACAGTAAGGAGAATTACTAAAGAGATCTTGGGAGTCAAAGGGTTAATCCTTATGATAAGGTCATTTGGAAAGATAGCATTACGCATGGACCAATCATCACAAGGACAACTTTGGACGATGAGAAACAAGTTCTGGACGAGTAAATGAGTATTGATTACTGCCTGATCGTTAACATCACTACGCTGACCTAATTTGCCGATCTTAAGAGAAGATCAGTAAAGATTTTGAATCCAAAGAGTAAGGATGCTTCTCATAAAGGAGCAGTAAAAAACCTATATGCCTTTTCGAGTGAGCTAAGGAGTTAATTCCACGCACTACTAGTCAAAATTTAAATTCTTTTCGAGCCTTTGGGTGAGGAAAATAATTAGAAGTTACAAAGCGGTAAGACACCAAAAAAAAACCGAAAAAGTTGCTACAACAGCTTTCTCGATTTGTATGTTGAAATTGTACAGAAAAGTTAAAGTTTCAGACCAAAATTAGGTACAATGTATCTGTTAGTATTTGGTTAAATCATGGCCATTAAAAATTCCTCAAACATTGTTGGTACATTCGCAGCTTCATTTTTCACGAATCGTTGTGTACAGTGCAATCGGACAGTCGGCTTCAATCGGAGACCTGCAGTCGGACAGTTGAAACAGCCAATCATTCTAAGTCCACTCAGCTAATCCACCGATCAAAGAAGTGAAAAAATAACCATAGCAACAACCACTTATCCAAAGAAAAACTGGGGAAGTTCTAAAATGGAGGAATTTTTAACTAAAGACATTATCTCCACTGGAGATATTTGTTCGAGGTGTATTTGTTTCTTTCGGAAATTGAAATGGTTATGATTAATTGATAACAGGACTTCTTGTCGTTCAATTCTGTCTGTAATCATATCGAGATTTTGTCAATCACTCCTATGATTACAGATCGAATTGGACTCCACTCGGTCCTATTACCACTATTAATATTACCTATGGAAAGTAAAATTGTCCTTTTGTCGGGTGAATAATACATATTGCACAGAGTATGATTTAAGTGATATATTTACATTTACATATAGTTCTAGATAACTGCGTAACCTTCGTTTGGTTTTCTAACATACCTTTTACAAGAATTTATATCACGCATTTTGGTAGAGCGCGCTGGATAAGAAAAGTACACTAACCATGTATTTCGTAGACACACTTTTGATAAACAAACGGATATCAAAGCCTTCGGCTAAAAAGTTGTTTGTTTGACCTAGAAAGAGAGAAACTGCTCCATGACATGAGGTTCAATCGAGCGTGTGAAAAAGGATGATTGAATCTCTGTTTCACTCGAACTGAAGAAGCTTGATGTTAATTTACCTTACCTAACGCTAACATTACCTTAAGTAAGACTTAGCTGTAAATGTGACACAGGGTAAGTCTTAACGTAGCATCTCCGCATAAAACTTTTGAAGGAGAAAAGTGTTCTTGAAGTTTTATTTCATTCGAAAACATCAGAAAGCTGTTACTACATCGTAGGTGAGACTGGAAGCTTGGTGCAAAGCTATCAATAAAGAAAACTCTCCAATATATTGTTTGTGACTCTCTTGACTGTGCAAACGATGATCGCACGGGGAAACTATTTCAAATTTCCACAACCTTCCCTTTCTGTTTGCGCTTGAATGAATAAATCCGGCTAAATCAAGTCTAAAAATCAATTCAAAACTAAAAAAAAGGAAGAACCAACAAATAAATAACAACATCAGAATTGAGTGAAGGGTTACAATAGCTATACAGTATTTTCATAGCAAAGAAGTTGTTTCTTTACAAATCTTTTTTTATCCACTGATGGCCTGTCGTGAATAAACAGCTCAGTGATTCCCAAGGCTGTGAAATGTTATGTTTATGTGTTGTCAAATTGACGTATACACAGGTTAAGTCAATATTTTGACTTCCCGACGCAAATGAATGTCTTAGCGTTTCGTTCTTTGCGAAATTTCGCATTGATCTGTTTTAACCGTGATGAAAAGTCTCATGTCACAATGTCTCTTCGGTAACTGATCGCAGTGATTCGGTAAATTCAAATTATAGGTGTGTTTCAACAAGCGGCGCTCAAAAAGTCATCGTATCTCAGCTGGCCGCTGTGTGCTTAGAAGGTCAAGTCGAATCTATTCTCATCTCCTGGGTGGAGGGAATAATGGCTTAACAATGAGAAGGTGTATATGTCAGTTGAGTATCGCATTGATAGTTATAAATAATTGATACAGTTTCTCAGTGATGAATCTGTCAAAGACTTTGGGAACGCCTAAACAGTGCTAAACTCCCGCTTCTCCACTCGAAAGTGAGATTTGAGAGTCATGTCCTAGTGTTATGTCGAGGATGGAAGAGCACTATTCTTTATTTTTGTCTTCGCTTTTAAATTTTTTGCTGTGGGGAGGATGGCTTCTATGCTTTACAGAAGGAAACCAAGGTAGAGAATTTGATTCACTCTTCTCCTCACTTAATGCAATTTTAATTAAATATGCGAGTTATTAACTGCCTGAGAAAAGTCAATTTAAATTCTTGTTAAGAAAATCCCCCTTACCTTTCTAAGAGCGAAATTTTCATTTTGTCCTTCTACTCTTCATATTTAACCTAATTTTGCTATGGATTTCATTTCTCAACTTTGAAATCGAATAAGTATGATATTTTAATTCAATATTCTTCTTCTTATTTCATAGCTTTAATTCAACAAAATGCTTATGCTTTTTTTCCGGTGTAAATGCTTTCTTTTATCCTCGATGTTTTTCATCCGGTGGTGGAATTTTTTTTACGTCAACTTTGCAATGCATTTCACCAGCTTGCGGTAAACTTATAAGATACGCCACACTTCTACGTCTCTTAGTTTTATTTCACTTTGTTTTCCCAGCTATACAGTATTTTGTCAATATGACGCACTTCACATACTTTCAATGAAAATGGAAGAGGGGGAGGGAGGGAAGGGGGATTGAGTACGCTATCGTACGTTCTTTTGGGGGAAAACGCTTATATTTTGTTCCTTTCACTCTTTTACTCTAGGTTTGTTGTCATATCACTAAATAAGAATAGGTTTATATTCCACAAAATATCTTGTTTCTAATTAAAGAAAAGATCATGAATAAGATATGAGAGAAAAAGGAAATTTTCATGCAGTATTGTTTAAAATCAAACATGTAGAAATAATAAATTTCATTCCTAAAACACTCCGAATAAAAGCTGATTTTTTTTTGGTCACAATTGTATAATGTGATCGATCTAAAGGAAACGCGAGAATTTATACAGAACTGTACTTTACTCACTTTGAAAAATACTTTGAGAGGTGAAGTTATAACGTTTCTAATAAGATTATTGTACAGAGTTACTCGTACCATAGACCCCTTTAGTTTCTCTGTCCCTCAGAATCATCCATTAAAAATACAGCCGTGTGATGTAAAATTTTATCACAGTTCTAGATCTTTATTTTGTTTTAACTTTGCGAGGTAAGTAGCTTTGCTTACGAAATCTCGTATGATGAAAAGTCAGCCAAAAGCCTTGAATGCTAATTTCTTACCAACCGAGCGAGGGGGCCGTACTGGGGAATATTGGCCTAAGGTCACAGCGCTCGGTCCGTACAGAAGCAACCGAGGGTCAATAATCCCCTGGACGGTTCGAGCAAGTGAGGTAGGTAAGTAGGCCGAACGTTTTTTGATTTTGCCCTGTTTCGTATTCAAAAATACACGGCTCATGGCTGTGTCCTTAGAGAGAAGACCTTACGGCAGAGTAGAATCATTAATAACCGCTCAGAGCGCTCGGATTTTTCCTGTCTTATTCGTATTTGATAACCATAAATTTCTGTAACTAATCTCGGCAATATTTGAACTGGCGCTTTCTCTTTTAAGACGCACAGCATTGCGCAGCATTGACGACTAACCTGCAATTAGACCGTCGCTGATTTAACGTTGAACAGAAATGTGGCCGAAGTGGCTAAATTCTCAACAGACGTAGGGCTTATTCCAGCTGCTAAAGCGCCAGTAAAAGAAAAAAATTATCTCAGGGACACGAATTTGTAATACTATTTGACGCAAAAAAGGTCCAACATGCTTGTCACCATATCTCTAACCAATCAGTTGCAGGTATTCTTTGTCGAAGTCTTATGTTCGAGAAGCCAGTTGGAGAACATGCTCTGCAACAGCACGTTATCAAACAAATATATTTAACCACGGGAATTGAGCCCTATAGCGACTGCAAAAATAGGTGCCTCATGGAAAATACCTGTGTGTCGATGAACGTCGGTCCACCCAGCAAGAATGGACTCAGGGTCTGTCAACTAAGTGATTCTGATCACATTCAACATCCAGATGACCTGAAACCACGAGAAAGATACCAGTATTGGGCTACAAAGGTATCGATATTTGGATAGAACACAATACGATAGATTAATTTTTCAATTCTCCTTGGTATGGTTATGCTGAGTTTTTCTTTAAAAAAAAATCCCACTAAAGATAACTTTATCCCTGCAGAATCCATGTTCAAGCAGCCCTTGTCTTCATAATGCAACCTGTCTAAATGGGTTCACAGATGAGAGATACATTTGCTTGTGTCCAGTTGGTTTCAAGAGAAAAAAATGTGAAAGAAAAGGTGAGAATTTCTGTAAATAAATGTCAGGTTTACCTTAATGCTTGCGAGTTATCTCCTCCCGTAAATCTTTTACTTTGACACGTCTAGTGATACGCTTCATTATTATTATTATTATTATTATTATTATTGCTTATTAATTTTTTTTGGTTGTTCCCACCTCCAATGTTCGCGGTTGATATCCGTTTAAGAAATTTTGTATGGTTTTCTATTGATTAATCTGTCATTTGAAGGCTAAATATATCATGTAGACGATTAATTTTTTTCATGCCCCTTTAGAGCTTGTAAAAAAGTTACGTAACTTGCAAGTACTCGAACGCACGACTTATTTTAGAATTATTAAAGAAGATACGATTTAAGGTTTTTTATCATTGCATTAATCAACAGCGAGCCTTTGTGTCATCTTTAAGAGAACTGTAAGAGATGGTGCTATAAAAAATATGTTGATATGAGCTTCTTTGTTTTCCCCTCAGCGTTTAAAGCAATTTTTACAAATCTCAATGCCACTGGAAGATATGGTCCAACGATGCTGGGCAGTCACTACACAGGTCAGGATCATGACGGACAAGTTACACTGTCCAACGGTATTCAACAATGGACTGTGCCGTACACTGGTGACTACAAAATAAGAGCGATTGGAGCAGCAGGAGGGTACGATTCATACCCTAACAGCCCTCAATACCGTGGAAGAGGAGCAAGAATAGTTGGAGAATTCCGTTTAAAGGAGGGTGAAGTTATCCAGATACTTGTAGGTCAAGAAGGAGGAATAAACAAGAGAAATGAATCATCTGGAGGTGGTGGAGGCACATTTGTAGTGAGAGGAGCCGACACGCCTTTGATAATAGCTGGAGGCGGAGGAGGGGTAGATTCTGCACAGTCAAGACATGCAGGATGTGACGCCAGCACAAACACAACAGGGAACCTAGGATACGATTCATGGTCAGGGGGGAGCAATGGGCATGGTGCGCAGACTGCTGATGATGGTAACTCAGGTAATACTGTGATGATCCCTTACCCATCAGCTCCTCATTAATGAATGTGTTAATGTATGCTTCACATGTAAATCATCGGCCCTAATCCTACATAAAACAAAAAAAACAAAAAACAACAACAAAAACAACAAAAAACCTTAAGACTTCCTAAGAAGAGGACCAGTCTATATATCTGGGCATATAAAAGATAGATATCAAAATCTTAAACTTAATGGATGGCGGCTCAATAGAATTATTGTACACGCTGATATGGGTACATTAGGGATATAATTAAAAAAGGGCGTTTTGTTTACTAAAACTTTACTCATCATTTTGTTGTTTTATTTGTTCTCAGGTGGCGGTGGTGGCGGGTTTTACTCCAGTGGAAGAAACGGAGAGAATTTCAATGGAACCAAGGGAGAGGGCGGAGAAGGCGGTAATGGATTTCTACAGGGAGGGGAGGGTGGGAGATCACTGCATCACAACGTTGTTGGTGGGTTTGGTGGTGGAGGTGGAGCTAATGGATGGGCAGGAGGAGGAGGAGGAGGAGGGTACTCTGGGGGAAGTAGTGGAAGTGGTAGTCATGATAGCTGTGGGGGAGGGGGTGGCTCTTACAACGATGGAAAGAAGCAGAAGAATGAATGTTGTTATAACAAGGCTGGTCATGGTCAGGTGATTATCGCGTTGCCGTAAAAAAAAAAAATTGACTACGTGTTATCATACAAAGTGATTATGAGGTAAGGGTTCATCTCTGTTTGACTGGCATTCTAATTGTTCTTGTTTATAGCCCAAAGGTAAATAGAGCTCTTAGGATATGAAATAATGTAGAAAATTTGTTTTTCAGTAATAGTCCGCTCCAGACCAGAAGCAAGAGAGCCTTTTATCAAGTGTTTAGGAATCCAAAACTGGTGCAGGTGTCTTCTTAAAAATATTTAGAACTGAAACTTCTGAGGAAAATTTCATTACAAAGCCTTGGGGAAAATTTATTTACCTCCTTGCATCTGTAATAGTAAACTTTTCACAACAAAGTGTGGATCTTTATAATCCCATCTCAAACTTTTCTTCACCGGATACTGAATAATGCGGAATATATTTCTATCGTATGAATCACTCACGGACCTGCCGAACTTTACGCAAGTGGTTTTTTAAGCCTCACTCGCGGTAAATCATTCATAAGAGATTAATTATGGGTGGCTAAGTTCACGAAATATCACATGAGAGGCATAATAAAACAATAAGGCTCTTATTTACGTTTGGTAATTATCTGCATTTTTCCTTCATGAATTAAATTTGTTTTGACAACTTTCGGAGCTACTTTATTCTTTTTAGCTTGCTCCTCTGTGGAAGTTGAAGAAAGCAAAGTCAATGTTAAGGGCACTTATTATCCACACACTTTTCTTTCCTTCATTTTTTTCTTTAGGGAGTGAAGGGAGGGGGGAATAAACAATAAAACAAAAACACGAATTTTCTCACTCTCATTAAAAATGGTTTAGTTAAAGTTAAAGGCATTGACGAAGAAAGAACATTGAAGGTGGCAGTGTTGTTCATTGATCAACATTGGTTGACATTGATAAATGTTTTCCTCTATACCAATCACCTGGATTTTCTATCAACTCTTTTGGCCCTTTTTTTTAAAGAAACTTTTCATTAAATGATTCTTTTCATTAAACTTCTCAGTAAATGAACACCGACGTGAGGTCAAACACTCGTGAAACACCAATAGTTAGAATCTACGATAGTATGCAGACTGATTGCTTTTCAGAGTGAGTGCCCATTACGTCAAAGAAAAGAAGAATTTGGCAGATGCCAGATCCCATTTTATAGCGCCATTAGTGTTATGAAATACGATCCCACATTCGGTGTTATGTTATCAAAGACAATTTGAGGCACTTCTTATGAACAAGTTATTTAATCTCAAGACTCTGCCACACAGTTATCGTCAACATCATCATTGTCATTATTCAACGCATGGCAAAACCAAAACTAGTCGTACTTGAATCCAATCCACCCATCTGATTTTTTTAAAGCAGTCGATAAAAACAAAGACTTAATCCTTTTTCGTGACTTAGTATCTTATGTCTGGTTCGCACTGGTGATAATGATTTACAGAAAGTAAGCCTAGCGACTGGGGAGGTTAAAATTGTCGTGCAAACTCGTAGGGATGACGACGACATAACGGCGATATCTCTATGAAGCAAATGGGAACTACGCTTATTTTAATATGTCTGTATGTTCACACCATAAAAACATCGACATACAGTTTTAACCCTGCTATGCCTTCAGGTCTTTGTCGTTATTTCTCTAGTGTGAAATTGGCTCTATGAATCAACAGGCCAGCGCCGAGCTGCACATGATAACATCACTGATTAGCACACTGATTTGGCTCGTCTTTAAACATATTATTAGCTGCATCTCCTGAAAGCCAATTTTGGAAATTTTCCTTTGGTTCTGGTTTCAGCCGCTTGCGCTCAACAGTAGGCGGGGCTTCGCTGCAAGTAGATAATTCACTCAGAACAGATGAATTCCTAGATTGTCTTTCAAGCGCTTCTGTAGAGACTACGAAAGGAGATAAAACAGAAAGAAAGGTTGACTTGGATTACTCGTGTCCCCGTTATTCGGTTCCCTTGCAATTTTTTGTTTGATTACAGTGGAAACCTGGCGAAAAAAGCGGTTCATTTTCACCACTGCGCTTTTGAATGAGGAAAAATCGCTAATTTGCGATTTCCTTCCCTACCACTGCCAATGATTACCGCAACAGCCAGTCATAATTCAGGAACAGGATCGTTTTAATCCTCCGAGACAGCGTTCGACTTTTTTAGCCGTTGGTAAGAAGAATGCCAGAAGTGCCGAACACACCTTTACATTGCATTTATAATTTCAAAGTTGATATATTAGCGGAAAATGCCACAATCTCTTCCTTCCATTTTCTATTCTATTCGTTTCTCGGTTATTTCGCTTTTAATAACCCCACTTTGCTCCAAAATTGTGGTAGCAAGAAAACAGAATAAGGCGAGCTTTATGAGTTTTCAGTAGGTATATAGAATGCATGCGCTCTTACCCTCTGGAAGTCGCCCAACGGAATCGTCCTTTGCTTTTGAACTCTCTTGTACTCTTTTCAGCTTTTGAAACTCTTCCATTAATTTCTTCCTGGCTGTTTTAAGTGCGTTGTTTTCAGAGCAAAGCTGGGCTACCTTATTGCTGCAAGAAAGTGTAAATTAATTTTAGTTGTCTTAAAAATGAACGCCACTTTTTAAAACATCCTTTTTTTGTGCAACATTCCTCTTTGAAGCAAAATTAAGGGAATGACAAGTTTAAAAAATTTCCTCTGATTTTCCTTTTTCAAGCATGTGTAATAACCAACACCTAGCAAAAAATCTCTCTGAAGAATTAATTGCTGTTTATTTGCCTCGTGGACTTCGAGATTGCGATGGGTGACCTTGCTACAATAAAGACGAAAACAGTTCCATGCATGGAAAGAAGCAAATGAAATGTCAACTAACAAACAAAATACCTTGCTTCTGTATTGAGTAAAGTTAAAGTCGATTTCTCCTTTTCAAGTTTTTTCACATTTTCTTTCAAAGTTTGCGTTTCAGTTTCGAGTTTTCCAAGCTTAGCCTTGAGAGAATAAATAGCCACATTAGACACGACTCCTACTTCATTGTTCTCCTTATCGTTGGACGCGACAGGTTGACCCCTGAAATTGAGAAAAAAAAAAGAATAAAACAAAATTGATGTAAACAACTCTTTATTAATTAATGAAGATGTCACAAGCGCAGGACGAAGGAACGGTTCTGAGCCTCGATGAAGAATCGATCCACAGACCTTCGGATTCCGCGCTAAAACGCTCTCCACGGAGACACAAAGACTTCACAGTTCATACGTGCTTTCCAGCGTGAGTTGGACTTTTTAAGAATAGCAGACCGTGAGGATGACACAGGCAAATGATGGCGTTGCTTACTGCTTTACAAGTATAATTGCTCAAGTGAATTTAGAGATGAGTGCGCCCTGATTGATCTAAGGTCTCTGTAATACTAACTAATTTTTCAAAATGGCCGACGATTGAAAATTTCTAAAGTTGTCAATAGAAGTCGGTAGGCGGCGGAAACGCGCTGGCTGTTAGACCGTTTGGCAACGGCTACTTCGTAAATTGCGATCAAAGACAAAAAAAAAAAAAACTTTTGAACTGATTCTAACATGAATATCTGTCTAAGAGATTTTCTCAAATATGTCCCAGAATGCTGGAAATTACTTCTCGGAGATTTTTAAATTTTTTTTCCTAACAACTGAGAGAACATGTTGCTTTGCAAAACGCCATGCTTGCTACGCAAGCATTATCCAAGTCAGCCGCCAACCCAGTTCAGATCACACACTGACCCACATTTTTTTTCTGCTCAGTATGGCAACCAAAGCGAGCATACCTTGGAAAGCTGGTGACTAAGTTATGCTTTATTTTAAGAAGAGCTTACCGCATTATACTAATAGTATCATCTGTCTCAGGTTCCCTCAATCTCTTTATCTCCAGTTTCAGCGATCCGACTTTTTCTAGGCCCCATTCCACCTCATTCTTCAGTGACTTCGTTTCATTGTCGTATTTTTCTTTCAATTTGTACAAGTCATATTGTAGTGACTGAATCTGCATGTTCTTTTGTGCTAACTCGATTCGCAAAGCTTCCATGTCTTCTTGAATTTTCTTTACATCTTGCGCTTTGTGGATAATTGCTGCAAATTGAACATGGAAAGAAATATTGGCCAGTTCGTATCTCAATTAAAGCGTCATGGGCTGGTTTGTCATTCTGACGTAGGTCTAAGGGCACGCCGACAAACGCACGCGCGCTACAACATAAATAATTGGTTTGCTTTGTTGGGATAATGTCAAACAATGGGGAACCTTGCGTAGCTCGTCATTGCGCTTGCGTAGGGTCGACTCTTCTGAAAAAGCACCTTTTAAGAGATTGCCAGACTTACCACAACGCAGCTAGAGAAAACATCACATAACAACAACTTATATCCCACTACCTAGGTTTTAAATGGCTGTGAATATATGAAAATCGTATATGTGAACTGCGGATAAAGACGTGAATGAGAAAGCAACCATCGCAGTGATGAACGCTACATACGCAGCAGTAAACATGAGGCCTGAAGAAAAATTCAGGCCTCTAGGGGATTTGAACCCACCACCTCTGCAATATCAGTGCTGTGCTCTACCATCTGAGCTAACAAGCCATTATGTTGGTTCTATATAAACCCGTGAAGTGATGAATAAATGATTGTGAATATACGAAGAACATATATGTGAACTGCGGATAAAGAAAAGAATATGAAAGCGGTCTTCGCAGTAATGAACACTAAATAAGCAGAAGTAAAAATAAGGCTTGAAAAAAATTCAGGTCTGTACGGGATATGAACCCATAACCTCTGCGATACCGGTGCAGTGCTCTACCAACTGAGCTAACAAGCCAACTGGGAGCTGGTCATTATGTTGAGGTCAGTAATGTGAAAGCAAGAATGGAAATGAAGGATGGCTCAGTCGTGAAAGAGAGAAAGCCTAAAGGTTTTGTAATTTTACCTTTGCTTGGTGATAAGTCTTAACAATTTTCACTTGAGTTTCAGAGGTAATCCCGGATTGTAATGTTGTTCATGTTTTTTCTTCGCTTTGTGATTGGTTCAGTTAAACTTGTACCACCGTCTCGACCGATCAGATGTAATCCCAGAAGCGATTGCAGCCTGGTCTCTCACGTTTTCCCGCTCTTCAGACAGTTTACCTATTTTTATACGCTGAACTCTCAATAGCTCCTGACATTCACCTTTGTTCTGATTGGCCGTAGTAATAACTTATGGGCCTGTTTTAGGACACTCTTTGAATATGTTCTCTAACAAAATAACTGTACCTTGTTGTTCATCCACTATAGCCTTAAGTCTGTTGCACTCTGTCAAATACTTGTCGATCGTATCCTTAGCTTTTTTCTTAACAGCGTCACACTCTTTTCTGAGCGCTTCCATTTCACTTTGATCTCCAGCGTGCGTAGAATTCTAAAGAAAGGGAAAAAGAGTACTCGATAAATACAGAAAGTTCTGGATATAAAGGGGTGGCAATTCCTGACATTATCTTGGAATTCCTACCGCATCGTTAAGCACAAAAGATACAAAAATATGTATATTGAGACATTTAAAAACTTAGCCACAGACAACAACAGCCCCCTTCCCCCAATCCGCAAGGTTTTAAAAAATGTGTAAAGAGGTTCTTGGATCGAAGTTTCTAGCCTTTAGAAACAAAAAAAATCATTTCTTTCCCACAACTTAGACAATTTTTGTACTTTTTTCCTCATGAATTGCATCTCCCTGAACGGAAGGGGAACTCGTCCCTTTTCCAGACTCTTGAAATTGACAGCTTTTCCCCATCTCTAACGGATCAACTTGTTCTTCCCTTGTCAACTTGTTTTGTCCAGTTTCTTATTTGGGCGAGGTCTGAACGAAGTTGGGTTAGTTCTGCATCTTTTTTGGCTCTACCTTCTTCAAGTTCTTCAATTTGTCGAAGATGCTCCTCTTCTTCATCTGCAGAGACCAAAGATAGAAATAGTTTCTTTTCAAAGCGAAATTTACAATGAGTCAACCATGATTGCAAGGGCATAGAAAGAACTCTAGAAATGGTTCCTTTTCAAGGCGACATTTGATGTAATGCGTCAACCTCTAATGCGAGGACATAGAAATCACTCCAAAGATCCCTTGAGTTGCACGTCCGAGCGAAAAGGCATTCTCTCTCCCGCGTATATTGCTCTCTCGCGCGCGTGTTTCTCGCCTTCTCCGCGAGCGCCTGCTTCACAGGCTGCCTTTACTACACCGTTATTGACAAAGCACTACTTTGGTACGAGACATCACTGACAACAAGAAAGCAATGAAACATCGGTATGCGCAAGGGAGCCTGTTTTGGCCGACCACGCACGATCATCTAATGAGAATCATCACGGTTGAACAACAACTAGAAATGACAAAACTTGGCAATAACTGAAAAAGAACCTACCCTGCATTTCGTCTATGATGGCCTTCAGGCGATCTGACTCCTTAAAGTATTTCTGAAGATTGTCCTGGGCTTTTTTCTTAGCGGCCTCGCACTCCTTTCTCAAGTTTTCAACTTCAGTGGAGTCCATGGCATTCGTAGTATTCTACGCATAACAAAAAAACGAGATCATTTGTTTAAAATAGAGAAACCCGTTTTGCTTTGGTTTTAGAGTCCCTTGTAAGATTGCAATATCTTTTATATTAATAGGTTGAACTGCACCTAAAAGCTCCGAGAGAAATAGATACAAAAAGTGTAATTGCCTGTTTTTCGAGGTGGGTAAGTCTGGCCACAGTAGTTTCCAGTTCATACTCGGCCTTGGCCAGCTTTAGCTGGTAATGTTGGATGCTTTGTTCACAGTCCGTGATGTTTTGGGAGGCAGTGGCAAGTTTCTCCTCCAATTCTTTGATTCTGTCGTTCTTTTCTGCGTAGCAGTCTTCACTCTCTTTCACCTTCAAGGCGCTGATCTCACGCAATTGTTCCAGGAGCTTCTCTTTCTCGTCTTTGAGTTCTTCGACGATTTGGGCCATTTCTTCCTCTTGTTTATTCTTCTCTTCTTCAAGGGCCTTTGCTTTTGATTCAGCTTCGAAGAAAGTTTTTTCCACTTGACCTTCTAACAGTTGGTTCGTAGCTTTCTCCTTTTCCAGTTCTTGGCGAAGCTCAGTCATGGAGGCAATTTCTTCCATCCACTTTTTCGTTTCTTCCTCAAGAAGAATAGTTTTGGATTGTGCAAGACTCTCCCATTTCTCGCTCTCACTTGTTAACTCTGCAACTTGTTCCATTAATGTCGCACTCTTTTCCTTCTCCTTCTTCAATTCTTGGCGCAATTCATTTTCTGAATTCATAATAGCAGAAAGTCTTCCTTCCATCTCCTCCTTGGAAACGCTCGCACACTCATCAGCAAGAACCCGACGAAGTTCCGATTCGGCTGCCTCTCTACTTCTCTCTGCAATAAGAAGCTTGTCTTCGAGCTCAGACACAATCTTTTTCTCCTTCAAAAGTGATTCTCGAATCTCGTCGACCTCTTGATCTAGAGCGTTCTTTTGACTCTCAGATGAGGTCGTCAACTCTTGAAGTTTTTCTTCCAACAATTCTTTCTCCTTCAAAGCCTTTTCAACCCTGGTATTCAGATCTTTCTTTTCAGCCTCTACGTTCTCCAGGCTTGATTTGGTAAACTCTAGTTCACTCTCCACCTCTAGAAGCTTGTGCTGCATATCCTCCAATTCTTTTTCGAACTCTTCAGTTTTCGATGTAAGCTCCTGTTTTTGAGAGTCACTTTTGCCATTCTGGGTCTCCATTTTCTTATTTACTGAGATCAGTTCTTCTTCTAGCTGTTTTATCATTTCTCTAAGTTTAGCAATTTTGGCTTCTGCCTCAGTGCGGCCCTTCTTTTCCTCAAGAAGACTTTCATTCGCATATTCCAATTCACTTTCAAGCTCATTTATTTTTTCTTGGTTTTTTTGGAATTCTACGGCCATTTCAGACTGCTTCAGTTCGTTCTGTTGAAGAGCGCATCTTACCTCGGCAATTTCAACTTCTTTCTCGTCTACCAAGAACGTCATATGTTCTAGTTCTTCGTGTTTCACTCGAATGGTAGAGTTCAGTTCCTCAACAGCAGAATCCTTCAATTAAATCAATCAATTAGTCCAACGATGAATCGATCGATGATAAACCACACAAGAATCAAACTCGTACAGAGAAAAGTTAACCTTTCAACTTGAAAAAGGAATAGAAAACGGAGTCGCCATGGTACGAATGTTTAAAAGGCCATGATAGATATTACCCAAAAAAGCCCCACCGTTTCCTTCCCCCTTGTTCGATTATGAAAAGGTTATCGCTCTCTTACGCGAAAGACTCCAAGTGTTTGACATAAGGGAAAATGTATTCAGTTTAGGAGGGCTCTAGCCTGTGAGTAGGCATTCATTGACGAAAGACAATCTAAGCAGACAACGACAACTACTGCCCAAATGCACATTGTAAGGCTGACTGATAATGAAGAGATTGATTGCTGACCCCCCTCCAAAAAAAAACAAAACAAAACAAACAAACAAACAAACAAATAGAGCCAGATATATTTCTGTTAAAAGTCACCTGTGCTTTTTGTTCGAAGTTACGTTGCCTTTCAATCTTAAGGTCTTCTTCGATCTCCCATAGTTTCTGCTCCATCTGATCGATCTTGTTATCTTTCTTTTCCATTTGGCTCCGACTTTTCTTATTTTCATCCGTCAGTTTATCCACGTGCACTTTCAGCTGAGTCACCTCAATGGAGAGTTCATTCACCTTCTTGTTTTTCTCGTTCAAAACCTGTTTGCTCTGTTGGACCTGCTGCTTTAAACTGTCGCGCTCCTCCACCAATGCTCCGTTGCGTATGTCCGCTCCTTTCAGCTGTCGGTTCTCGCTTTCCAACTCCTTCACCCGTCCTTCCGCTTTTTCGCACTTCTGTTTTGTAAGTTCAACGTTCAATTCCATCTGCTTTAACTTGTGTAACACCTTGCTGTCATCGTCACGTTGCGTGACGGACAGTACGTTTTGTGAGCTGTATAGGTTTTCCATGTCACGCATCTCTTGCTTGGTTTCCTCAACTTTCTTATTGGCCGCTTCGATCCTGTGCTCCAGAACGTCTCTTTCACTTTTCAAGAAGTTGCACTGTGCTTCCAACTCAGAAACCTACATGTAGACGCAAGAAATATGAGCCATACCATACCATACGAGGAACGTGACGATTCAGATTAAATTTATTTCGCACGTGAACTTATGCATAAACCAATCGTTATTGTGTCTCAGGTATGCGCAGCTAGATTAATTCTGGCCAAAAGCCATTTACGCGCAAAATATCGATGGAAAATATAGGAAATAGGGTATCACCCATGTCTGTCTGTCTGTCTCTCTGTGTGCCTGTCTATCTTTCGATCTATCTGTCTGTCTGAAAAATGAATAAAGGGGGTAAGTTTCTAAAGAAACTGTGGCGCTGCGTCGATGGGAGGGTGTAACAGGTAATTTAGCGTTAACAACTGAATTTAAAACGTAAATTGGCCACCGCAAAGACTTTAAAGGCTTGATGACGTTTCGAGCGTTAGCCCTTCGTCAGAACAATTAAAACTCTTTACAGTGGCCAGTTTACGTTTTCAACTCAGTTTTTAACCTTTATTATCTGTCTGACTGCCAGTTTGTCTGTCGGTCTATCTGTCTAATTACAACAAGTACCTTATAGACAAGTCATTTTTCTTTTTCTTTTCCTTTTTTTTTTTTTTTTTTTTGGGGGCTTCATTGATAAGTTATTTGATCCTCGAAGTTTCCGCGAATCAAGTTTCGAGGAGCGCGTTTAGAGAAACGGTCAACTTACGTTTGAGCAGAACTGTGGCTTACCTTTTTCTCGGCTTCGGACAAATCATTTTCAAGTTCGTGCCGTTGCTGTGCCTGTACACAGATGGTCTCCCGCCTTTCTGCCTTCATCTTGTCAATCAGTCTCTGCTGGTCCATTCCACGGTTGGTATCTCTCAAAAGAGAATCTTTAAAGTGTTGTAATTCTTCAAGAAGAGATGCGTGTTCCTTCCTAAGACAATCAATTAAAGATGTGAATATTGTGGGAGAACATAAACAAAGAAGAGCAAGTAACTAAATGAATGCACCACAAAATTTTTAACAGAATAAATAAATTGTCAATTGATTTTAAAGCGACACAGGTTTCCTAAATATACATTCAAGACAATTTCTCAAAATACAAAACAAATGTCCTAATCGTACTTGAGCCTTTGACCTCTAAAAAAGATTAGCATCTAATGTCTCCCCACAGAATCCCCCCTGAATCAAATATGAAGGTCACGAGAATAAAGGAAATGACAACCAATTAAGAAGCTCTTGATTAATAGATAGATTTAGCCAAGCCTAAAAGCGGAGCTCGCATTTTTTTTCTCCCGCACGTCTCAAGGCCACAACGCCTTGCCCCGGCCAGGACTAGAACCCGGGTCATCCGACTCGACCACTGGACTACTGGACAGAGCCGTGGCGTTGGCGTGCCCGCGGTACACTTGACCACGCATGTTAAAATTAGCACCTTGTACGGTCGTACGGTCATATATCCAAATTTTTTCGGCTCGATGGGTTACTACTATTTTGTTTAATTATGGGGCTACGCTCTGCGAGCTCCGCTATCAAACAAATTCTCCTTATCAGCATCCTAGGAAATATATAGAGAACAGTATGGAGAATGTACATACTAATGTTAAGATGTGAAGGGTTAAAGGGGTTGTCGGCTAAATAAAAGTTCGTTTTCCAAAAAGAGAGAAATACGGAATCGACGTAGAGTCCACGGTTCACTTCAAACAGGTTTCATTCACCTGAGTGTTTCGTGAGCTTTCTTCTCCTCTCCCAGCTCCTTAAAAAGTTCCTCGCTTTCATCCTTTGCCTTTTGCAGTTCCAACTCAGAGGCTAAGCTCCCTGATGGCTCTTTTGATAGACTTTCAGAGGTCCTCATCTCGTTCAGGTCCTTTACAAGTTTTTCGCACTTTTCTCTTTGCTCTTCCAGCTGTTCCTTGCACAAGTCATAAGCTTGTTTAGACTCTACTAGCTGCAACTCTAAGCTCTCTATTTCCTGTCGTTGTCTCTCCACTTCGTGCTTCGTCTCTTCTGCCTCAGACTTTAAAATCTCATTTCGATTTTGGACATTTTCCAGAGATACCCTCAACGCATTGCATTCATCTGCAACTCCTTGAACTTGCTCTTGTTCTGCTCTCAGTTTAGAGGCGAGCATATCATCATCTGTCGTCCTCTCATGCTGTTGATCTAGCGCCTGTTCTTCGCTCAGCAGTTTCTTATTCACGTCTTGGGATACGTTTCCAAGCTGTTTCATCACTTCGCTGAGTTGCTTTTGAAGTTCTTCAGTCTGTTGTAAACAAGAAAGATCATTCCATAAATATTCCTGTGCACTTCTGGAGTCAAAATATGTTGCTAAAGTTTATTCCGATTCAAGATCAAGATGGCTGGCATAAACTATTCTAAACCATGTATGGAAGAAGGGAGGATAAATGGATGAGGAAAAAAAAAAAGAATAAAAGACGGGAAAGAAAGCAATTAGGTACGCAATAGACTGGCAGAAAAAATGTCAAGCTGTTCAGGTTCACCACACGTAAAACAAAAACAACAAAAACAACAAAAAACAAGCAAACAAACAAATCACAACGAACTAGTTAGAGAAGCAAGTAAAACAGAGCAAACGCTTCGATGATCTCGCTCAATGATAGCGCATCAATGGCAGACACCTGTTACCTTCTGTTCGTGTGATGTTAAGAGCTCTGCTCGCTGCTGTAGTTCGCTCTCAAGTTCATAAATGTGTTCCTTGTAGCGCTTCACTTTCTGTTGCATGTCTAACATGTCCTTCTGCAATTCGGCGGACTGAGTAAGAAAAAAATATTCCCTCTTTTTCATTGCCTGGTATTTTCTTTGTTTTTGTTTTAGAACTATTGATTTCATAATAATAATAATAATAATAATAATAATAATAATAATAATAATAATGATAATAATAATAAAATAATCATAATAATCATGATAAAAAAAACAAACAAAAAAGAATTAACTGCAAGGGCCCCATAAAGGCACAGGCCCAGACCTCTTGATCCAGCATCTTGAGTCAGAGGACAATCTGACCCGTGCGTATCCAGTGTTTGAAAAAAAAATTGTCTAAATAAATGCTTCAAGAAAACAACGAAAAAAGCAAAGGCAAAGACGAAAATCCAATGACAAACAAAGAGAATTAAATGAAAGATATCTTATTACTTACATCAGAAATGGACTCTGATAAATCGTTTCTAATCTCATCTTTTTCTTTCCTGACCCTAACGGAAATAACACAAAATCCAAATAATAATGATGATGATGATAATAATAATAATAATAACAATAATAATAATAATAATAATAATAATAATAACGGAAATAACACAAAATCCAAACAATTAAAAATTGTGCCAGAGATGTTTGCTCGTATATAAGGGATGAGCACTATTTGAAGCATTTAGTTCGAAGTAAAATGAAAGTCGAATACGGAGCATTTAAGCAGAGATAACGGCAACGACAAAAAATTCATTCAGCTTTTTCCACTTGTTTAATAACTGTGGGAAACAGACAAACAAACAAAAGCAAATCAAAATCAACAAGTAATCCTGCTTAGATAACACTTACTTATTTAACATTTGTTCATACTCTTCCTTTTCGTTATTTACGTTGTCGAGCTGCATTTGAAGATCACACTAAAATAAAGAAAAAATTTCACCTTTCACTAAACAGACAGAAAGTGGAAACGTTTAAACCGATTTCAGACGTGCGCAGTACATTACATCTTAAATTAGTCTCGTATCTGGTCATATGCCGTCCATCTTAACAAGTCTTACACATGGGCAATGTTTTTCATCTGTAATGGCAATAGGTCTGAAAAAAACTAGCAATACGTATTTTCTATTCTCCTTCTATGGATTACAATGCGACAGAGAATTTGTGCAGTTGTATGCAGGGATTGGTCTATTCAGCGCAGAGCAGAAAAGAAAGGAACCCAAAGATTCGTCTGGAAGGGTATCCTTTTTAAAACTTGTGTTTAGTACCAAGAAAAGTGGAGTTAACATCGAGAAAGAAATAAAATCAAGCATTGCATGTATGTGGCACTGTCCAAAGGCCTTATCGCAGATAATAATTACTACTGATTTTCATCTTCGTTTGTTACCATACGACTGCCACTGTCCTCAGTTTAAGCTTATCGGACCACTCACGCTCGCTAGCTATGGCGAGTGCAACTTCATCTCCTTTTTGATTTACTCCAAGACACATAAATGTTTTGGAAAAGAATTGAAAATGATATCTGGGATTAGAATTGGCTCTTCAAGAGCATACCTTTCCAGATCTCGAACAATCAACAACAGGACTAACAAACCGAAATAACTCAAGAGCTTACCATTTTAGCTTCCATTTCCCGTTTTTGGTCAATCATTTGCTCCATCATCATGTCTTTTTCTTCGACACCGTATGAACTTATATTCCGCTGATCCTGAAGTCCTTGTATCTCTTTCTTCAGTTCCATAATTTCCGCTTCCTTTTCTTCCTTGAATTGTTTAAAGAGCGCTTCAATGTTACATTTCTCTTCGTTCAAATATTTTCTTTGAGCCAGTTCTGTTTCTAATCGTGCAACGATTTCTTCTAAGTTCCCTTTTTGCTCGTTTACTTCTGCCAACATTCGTTCATTCTGATCCTCATCGCTCAATTTTCCTTTCAACGTTTCCAGCTCAATCTCCAGTTCTTTCATCTTCACGGAAGCATCCGCTTTGACGCTAGACAGGCTTTCCTCCGGTCTCTCCATTTTTACACAAGCCATCTCATCCTGGAGCCCCGTCATGTCGCTCTCGAGAGTGCTGCACCTTTCCTTCCACGGTTCTAAACTTTCTTTTTCTTCAGAGATCTCCTCCTGTGCCATTTTAGGAGATGTTTCTTCCTGTTCATGACTCTCTACTAGCTGTGACTTCTGTTCAATCACCTCTGTCAGCATCCCTTCTTGTTCATCTACGCTCGCTAGCCTTTCCTCCATCTCTTTCATCTGATCTTCAAGTTTTCTGATCTTCTCTGAGGCTTCTTCTTCGGCAAACAACATCCTCTCCTCAAGGCGAAGCTTCTCCTCTTCATAGAGAGCTGCATTGGTTTCGAGACCAGCACACTTGTCTTTCCACTTTTGTAAGGCTTCCTCCAGTCTTCCTTTCTCTTTTTTAACTTCATCTAGTGATTCTTCTAAGGAAGTAAGAGACGTTTTAAGAGACGTCATTTCAACTTCGTGGTTCTCCACTTGTTGTGACCTCTGTTCAGTCACCTCTGTCAGCATCCCTTCTTGTTCGTCTACACTCGTCAGCCTTTCCTCCATCCCTTTCACCTTATTTTCAAGTTTCCTGATCTTCTCCGAGGCTTCTTCTCCGGCAAACGCCATCCTCTCCTCAAGGCGAAGCTTTTCCTCTTCATAGAGAGCTGCATTGGTTTCGAGACTAGCACACTTATCTTTCCATTGTTGTAAGGCTTCTTCCAGTCTTCCTTTCTCCTTTGTAACTTCATCTAGTGATTCTTCTAAGAAAGTAAGAGACGTTTTAAGAGACGTCATTTCAACTTCGTGGTTCTCCACTTGTTGTGACTTCTGTTCAGTCACCTCTGTCAGCATCCCTTCTTGTTCGTATACACTCGTCAGCCTTTCCTCCATCCCTTTCACCTGATCTTCAAGTTTCCTGATCTTCTCCGAGGCTTCTTCTCCGGCAAACACCATCCTCTCCTCAAGGCGAAGCTTCTCCTCTTCATAGAGAGCTGCATTGGTTTCGTGACTAGCACACTTATCTTTCCATTGTTGTAAGGCTTCTTCCAGTCTTCCTTTTTCCTTTGTAACTTCATCTAGTGATTCTTCTAAGCCAGCAAGAGCCGTTTTAAGAGATGTCATTTTAACGTTGTGATTCTCCTCTAGCTGTAGCTTCTGTTCAGTAACCTCTGTCAGCATCTCTTTTCGTTCATCTACACTCGCTAGCCTTTCCTTCATTTCTTTTACCTGATCTTCAAGTTTCCTGATCTTCTCTGAGGCTTCTTCCCCGGCAAACGCCATCCTCTCCTCAAGGCGAAGCTTCTCCTCTTCATAACGAGCTTCATTGGTTTCGAGACGAGCACATTTGTCTTTCCACTGTTGTAAGGCTTCTTCAGATCTTCCTTTTTCCTTTGTTACTTCATCTAATGATTCCTCTAAGCCAGTAAGAGCCGTTTTAAGAGATGTCATTTCAACATTGTGGTTCTCCTCTAGCTGTAACTTCTGTTCAATCACCTCTGTCAGCATCCCTTCTTGTTCATCTACACTAGCTATTCTTTCCACCATTTCTCTCACTTGTTCCTCAAGTTTCTTGATCTTCTCAGAAGCTTCTTCCTTGGCAAACATCATTTTCTCCTCAAGGCAGAACTTTTCCTTTTCACAAAGAGCCGCATTTGTTTCTAGACTGGCACACTTGTCTTTCCACATTTGCAAGGATTGTTCCAGTTGTCCTTTTACTTTTGTCATCTCATCGAGTGCTTCTTCTAAGCAAGAAATTTCCAGTTTCTTGCTTTCTTCCAACTGAACCTTTTCGTCAATGGCCTCCGTTAGTCTTCCTTCCTGCTCATTTACACCAGATAACCGTTCTTCCATTTCTTCTATTTGAAGCTCTAGCTGTCTTATCTTCTCCGATGCCTCTTGCTGACAAGAAGACTTTTCCTCCTCAGACTGAATATCTTCTTGCCTAGCGTTGGCAATTTTATTCTGTAATCGAGCCACATCGCTTTCAAGACTAGTGCACACCTTTTGCAACTCTTTCAGATCTTGATGAAGTCGGTTCCTCTCTCTCTCACTCTCCTCTAATGCCATTTGTAAGGAATCTGCTTTCATTTGAGTGGCAGTGTTACATGTCCCTGCATTTTCAAGCTCTTCAACTCTGGCGGCGAGAGCCTCTTTTCCTGCTTTGACGCTGTCAAACTCAGCTTGTAGCTCTGTTGAGTTCAGTCAATCAAATAACAAATGGTTCAGTCAGTCAATCGAACAGAGAAGAACTACGCAATGGATGTAATCGATAGTTTTAAGAAGGCATTCCAGTCACGGCAAAAATTTACCTTTGTTCTTAGCCCTCAGTTGATCTAGCGTCTTTAACATTGACATCTGAGTCTGATCAGACAAACAAACAAAAATGATTTATCAGCTACGAATGCATTACCAATTTATAACTTTGTTTCACACTTTCGACAAGGGTCTAACAGTTTTCCACGAGACAATATACGAGATCTCTGACGGGGCCCATGACTATTTTCATGACAATCTTCTCAGCTCAATATTTGTCTTCTAATCTCTCGACTTCGAACCGTTCGGCATTAGTACCCGGGACTCTCTGCGCGCTCTGTGTTTACCTGTGTATCGTTCTGTTTGTCTATCTTAATGCTTGCCTCTCGGTCCTTAAAGCCGATTTGTAGTTAGACTGCTTGTTAGAGAGCCGAACACGAAACCTCATTTCAAAAAAGTGAACTGCCGGTAAATTTTAATTTGTATTTTCTTATCTAATTCGCACATTTTCTCTCGAGACTGATAATAGTGTGAAATAACCGGGAAGTAGAGAAATAAAGAGCTGTTTTCTAAACGCAAGGTCTTCGCAAAAGAATAAACAAAAACAAAATACTCAGCAAGCAAACAAACAAACAAACAACAACAATCATACCGTAGGGGTATCGTTTCGGCCATTCTCCGTTGACATTTTTTCTAACAACGCATTACTCTCTTCCAACAGCTCCTGTTGAAATGTAAACGGACAACAAGGTAAATATGACAAGGCACAGCAGTTACAATTCCATTAAAGGACATACTTACGTTGTAAAAGTCTCGGGTTTCGATCGCCTCGTGAAGATCTGACCGCAGCCTTTTTACTTCACGTTCCATTTCCATGCAATTTTGGTCAGGCTAAAATGTAATAATCAGAACTGGTTATTTTTAATTAAGGGTACATCTTCCTTATGTCTCGAGAACGGGGAAATAGAAAAACAACGCAAGCAACAACGTTGATTCGAATCTCAAGTCATCCGACCTCGCTGTCAGAAGATCCCTCCAAAGAGCTGGGCGGGGCTGGTCTGGACTGGACTGAGGAAACTACATGTTGAACATGTAGAAAATCAGGATTTAAGCGTTAAAAAGACAATCGTGACCTCTTTTTGGACTAAAAAAAGCCATCTATAACGTAGCACTGTAATCATAGGGCAGTTCTCAAACCTCTACGACACTTTTTTTTGAATGCTGGTCATGTTTTTCTTCACATATCCAGGTCTGGTAAGCTACAGTCCCCATTACAGCCGTGTCGCCGTCATGCAATACTCTATCTTCTTGAGAAGAACAAGTTGCGTGACAAAACCAAACAAGGCTGGGAGGGGGGATCAAATGATCTTAAAAAAGCTTAGAGCCCTCCATATCTATTCATTGAACTCAAGATTGTTCTCTAACCTTATTTAGCGCAAACGTCACAAAATTTCACACTTCAAGATTAATAGCGTCAAACACAGCCTAACATCAATACCACCGCCTTGGAGATGACACATTTAGATAACTGAGAGGGTTTTTTACAATACTTAACAAAATGTTTCTCTCTTACTTCAGTCTGCATCTCCTTGTGTTCCTGTTGTCTCACATCCGTTATGGAGGATAAACACCTTATTGTTTGCAAGAAAGAGATATTTATGTTGGTAACAATTTCAAGGTGCTGCTGTATAATCTTTTACTTATCTTCACCTTTTCAGTAGAATGGAAAGGTTATAAAACAGGCTAATTGAGTAAGCATATAGGCGACAGTCGCGGCGGACTAACTGTTAACACGCTAGACTCAGGGCAAGTAGAAAAAGTCGGAAACAAGGCCAGACTACTCTTCTGTGCTCTATATTCAGACCGGATCAAATACCAAGAAGAATGAGCTTACAGCCGCAAGATTTCGAAGTTGGGTATCGCGAGATCACCAAAATTGTCTTGTTATACTCCCTCATCGAAAAACACCACAGTTCCTTTAGAAACTTACCCCTCTTAATCCAGCTAAGGAGGGGACCCGAACTGGAACATTTTGATCCAGGTTTGTGAGAAAGAACCCTTAGATAAGCCCGTCTCTCTAGATTTCGTTTTGATGGCATGTAAGTCCATTTATTGCTTGGCTCTTTCATTTTGCTATTCTGCTGGAACTTCAAGTGGGTGTCAAAGAAAGAAACCATCCCCCTCAATTACGTTAGCGATCAGGATTAATAGAAACTAACCTTTTCCCCGCAGGACTTGCAAAAACAACCCGTTTTTTCCCGCTTTCTGAAGATTTTATGTCCTCTTCCTCCTCTAACGTCGATAGGAACATATCTTTTGCCATCTCGCCAAACTCACTCTCGTCGCTACTGGGACTCGACGGGATTCTTTGCAGTCGACTTTTCACTGAACTAAAAACAGTAGAGGCCAGCGGAGCCTTTGAAAGACCAGCCCCTGGACACCAGGTTTCACGCCTCTGTAGGTGGACGTGATGAGAAGAGAACCGTCAGTGGTCTGAGCCCTTAAAATTGGCCACGATCCGCGAGGTGATCGTAAGCTAGAATTACACGAGTAACGAAACCCAAAACATTTACTAACCTTTGCCAATTTTTGTTTACTTCGGTTATTCCCAGTCTCTCCGCCAGCAGTGCAAATCATATTGCACAACCTTTTTATCTTTTCTTCTTGTTCGTTCTGCAAAAAGGCAACAACAAGTAAGACTGTGTGGACTGAAATAGCTTGTTCTTTCTTTCTCTCGTTGCGATATCGTAAAGCCTGATGGGTTACAGCACTTCGTTAGAAATTTCTACCCTGGAGCCAGTTTAGTTGCCTAGACCACATCTGCAGAGGAAGAGCGCACCCAAAGCTAGACGAGAGAGCCGATTACGTCGTCGCTCTCGCGCGCAGCCTAAAAACTCAGGGGTGTTGTTATTGTGGGGTTCATATAACAAGGATATTTGTATAACTGGGTTGAGTAGTTGTTCATATTAATTATGCACTTCCACTAGCCTTAGCGTCCAAGGTCAGCTCTCCGCTTGTCACCGGAGTAAGACCTCATCTTTTCATGTTCTCCAGCAAATACAAACACACACAAAAAATGCTATCAGCATTTCTCGTACCTGTTGTCGCCGTTGCTGCTCCAACATTTCTTCCATCTGAAAAGAAAACGAGAAAAAAGTGAAGTAACCCTCTGATCCCTGAGAGTGACCACAATCAAATTTCTCCTTACAATATCACCCCTGAATCACACACTAGGGTCACAAGAATGAAGGAAATGATCACCAACTAAGGGAGCTCTTGATTGTGAAACAAATTCTCCTTATCAGCACCTTAGTAAATGTATAGAAAACAGTGTAGAGAATATGCATACTGATGTTAGAGTGTCAAGGATTAATAACATTTTCGGATTTGTTTCTTTTTCAACATTTTAATTAGCGTTCCCAGTTTTGGTCAAACACACAAAAACCCCATCATTCGTTACCTCGTTCACTTTTTCTTTTTCGAGTAGTAGCTCTTGTACATGCGAACTGCTGCTCATCTGTAAATAAAAAATGTAAATATTCAAATTTAAGTGTTAACATACTGCACGGTACAGAAGTGTGTTGAAGAATTTTCAACTGAGACTACTGGGTAATCTAGGTTTGCATATGTTGAACTCCGCTCTGTGATTGGTCGAGAAAACTCACACCACCGTCACAACCAATCAGATTCTTATCTTAATGCTCAGGCAGTTTCCTTCTTCTAAATTTGTTTTCGTATTGACTGCTTATAGTATTTCTCTTCCTTTCACATCAGCCTCGGTGATTACCTTGGTTTTAGATGAAGGGTATTCAACCGAAATACGCTCTGCAGGATACAGATACAACTATAAACTATAGTTCCTTCACAGACGCGTCTTACCTCGACAAGCTGTTGTTTAAGCTCACGAATTTCCTTTCTGTAACGCTTTAGAAGTGTTCCATCATCAAGTACCTTAAAAGATTATGGAACAACTGTTACAGATGGCTATTGTCTCATTTCATGATTTACGTTAGGAGTAGAATCTAAAGTAGCGAAGAAATTTTTAAATTTAGAAACCATGAAGATAAAACTATATGAAATGGGACATGTCGCGGTATACATTTAAAAAAAGAATGATCTCAAAGATAGCGTGCGATTAGTTCCTATTAGTGCTGCGGCACGGGTAACGAGGTCACGAGATGTCTGACACTAAAATTGAGCCAGGACTCTGGCGGACATCTAACGCACTCACATCGATCTCCGGCTCAAAATGCGCGGCCTCGCCACTCGCGTCGCAGCGCTCACGAGAGCCTACTTCCAAGCTAACGCCGAGATTGATAGATGGTAGATTGGATAGATAGAAAGACGGACGGAGACCGTTAGAAAGATAAATATCTTAATCGGGAGTTAGAGAGGGAACAATTCCCGCATATTTACCTCGTTAACTTCTGGACAGTTTTTGATGGTTTTCGCTCGGCTGGCAAACTGAAACATGAAGGAAATCGTTGTAAGAGGATTACCTGTCTAAGACGCGGACCGAAGGGAAATTCAGTAATCAAGAAATCTTCCCAGACTCTTAGAGGTGGTAATATTGCCTGTTGTATGTCATGCACTAAAGATCCACTTCGGAATAACTGACTCCCTCACTTGCATTCCATGTGGGACACACTACAACAGTTTCTAAACTGAGTGCGCGTGTGCAAGAAGTTACATTAGCAGCCGGACAGTTACCTTTAAAGTACTAATTGACTCTTCAATCGCCGCTGGAGTGATCGTACATAGCATGGAGGTCTTTGCATTTCCTCCGAGCGACGACTGTAATATTCGGGTTAGCTTTGAATCCCGGAATGGTATAAAACTGCCGAGAAACAGGTTTGTTATTAGTAGAGACCCTGGATAGTTAATATCCTGTTCAAAACGGACTGGAGCCGTCAATATCCTGACGCTTTTGTCAGATTTAAAACTGATACAAATCGCAACATAATCACTCGTATTTGCTTGCCATCGAGGTCATTTGCTTGGTTATCAGTTGTTTTGTACCCACGGAAGTTTCGTACCTAGCTAAGATCATTCGTACCTAGTCAGCCTGAATTTTTTTCGGGCCATATTTTCAGTACTGCTTAGGTAGTGATCATAACAGCGAAGATCGCTTCCATATTCGTTTCTTTGTCCGCAGTTCACATATATGAATTTCATATTTTTACAGTCATCCAGTCAGTTTAGCCGTTTCGTAACCTTACTAACAAAGTATTCTTTTTCACGCCAGGTGTGTTTAAATTTGAGTCGGTTCCTTAGTACCGTCAGGAACAAAGGGATTGAAAAATTCACACTCACTATGCTAATTAGCTATTATCGTTTAGAAAGTCACAAGTATGAACATTAGACTGATCTATTAAAAAGATCACACTTACTTTGCGCTAGGTTATTAGGTTATCTGTCATTGTTAAGATGTTCACAAATAGACGCCACAGAACTTTATTTGTAATTTACAGATACTCACTTGTCGTGCGCAATAACCGACATCTGTTAACCGGAATTTTGAACGTCACTGAATGATTGGACTGGTTCGAACCGACAGAAACTGGGTACTAACCAGTGCGACACTCACTTAACCCTTTACACCCTAACATCATTGTTTATATTCTCTATACTGTTCTCTATGCATTTCCTAAGGTGCTGACAAGGAGAATTTGTTTAAAAATCAAGAGTTTCTCTTAGTTGGGGACCATTTCCTTTATTCTCGTTACCTTAATGTTTGATTCAGAGGTGATCCTGTAGGGAAGAATTTGATGCTGGTCACTCTAAGGAGTAAAACGCGTTCTATCAGGCTGGATGAAATATTCTTACCTTTCTCCTTCACTTAGCTTGGCTATAACAGAGCCCAGGGCCAGAAGACTCTTGTTTATGTGCCCGCCTTCTTTCAATCTTTGACCTGAGAAATTCAAACAACATTGCTTTGAAGTTAAGGCAAACTTGAAATCACATAACTAAATAAATAAGTTGATGAATAAAGTTCAACTGAAGACAAAAATCTGACAAATCATTGGACAATAGCGACAACATCAACGACAAAGACAAATATGAGCTAACCAAAAGCTCCAGTTTGCGATGCTCTTTCTGAGCCTGCTAAGTCAACCAGGTTCTGAAAAAGAAGAAACAAACACAGGTGGATGTTACAAAGTGGGTAAGGAAGTAAGATCAAGGAAACAGAATGGGAAGAGAGTTGAGGCGGGGGTGAAGCTCGACCTCGAGAGTAAGCATTAACAAAAATTCAATTAGACTCTGTTTATCTAGACCCACCGCTACTTGGTCGTTATAAAATGAAAGAAAAAAGTTTTTAAAGTAGATATCGTAAGTGTAAATTTCACGATCTTTCACATTGGTCTTAATAGGAAGCAAGTGCAGCAAATTACGTTTTCATTTATTAAAAAAGAACACATTACAAATTTACCAAAATTAAGATCTTTTTACCTCATAAAATTACCAGTTTGTCTAACTTGCAATGTGTAAATTGAAACATGAAGAAATGCTGATTACGTATGTAATAATGTCTATGGAAAAATTACGCGCTTTTGATCGGCAGAGTGCAATCTCATGTAACACAAGTGCAAAGTTGGAACACGAGTGCAAATTACAATTAGCGCACGCAAACTTCCAAAATTCCGTCAATCTGGACCCACTGTGATGTTTTTTTTAAAGGTAGATTTTAAATAAGAAAGAAAATGATTTCTCTAGCAATTTGGTGTAAATAAAGACTGCAAATTGCAGCTGCCTAACGGGCACGTGCAATTTTGTTGACTTTGAAATATTTCCTCGTTCTTTTAACACCCAACTGCACTCGAAATCATATTATTACTTAGACTAAGAGTTATTTGTTTACCAAATGTGCTACTCGAACTGCGCCGTCTATTGTATCAGGAGTCTTGCTTTCGTCCATCATTTCACGGCTCTCAATAACCTTGAACATAAAATAACGCAAAATAATAACACTTCACTGAGAGAAGGCACGGTAACTACTTTTGCTACTCATTGTGCCTGCGGTAGCCGTATGAAATCACTAGCTGAAGTAAAGAATTGTCTTTAATGAAGCGAGTTTGGTGAGGGCACAGAAATTATTTTTGATATTTACTTATGTGTGTTTAGCGGGACGGTGACAAGTGCAAACTTACCACCCGAAAAATTGTATGACTTCTGCTGCTGCGGTCGTTCATATTAGTAACACCAAAATGTCGATTTTCTACGGAAAAAAAATGCAAATAGATAAATAAATTAAGGATTCTTAAACACCATTTTATTAAAATTCACTGCGTTCAGATGGTCGATCCTGCAGGTAAACGGCTGTATAATTGCACCTTCGGGTGTCAATCAAAGGACGGCGTTAGAGCCTCAAGTCGTTCTTTATATCTAAGCTTAATCTTTGTTAAGTGTTAACAAATTAGTCACTTTGAGGAGGCAATTTTTCAAAGAAGAAAAGTGGGTCAAAGATCAGTTTGGCTATTCTCATTACCTGCGTTGCTGGATAATATAAATTTCATGGGGAGAAGTTACATTTTAATCACTTCTGGGAGTTAAATGGTTAAAATGACCTTTGCTTACGAGAACTTTCTGGAGTAAATGCGATATTTACTTACTCTCTCCTCGCATCATGTGTTTGAAGACATCTTCGCTACAGGATACCACCTCCTCTGTCAGATCACCAACGTATACTTGTTTCTAAAAAACAAAAGCAACGGATTAATTTTTTAAAAACAGTTTCCTACTATATTATTGGGCAAACAATAACTTGGTTTCCCTTAACCCAGTCTCTCCTCGAACTCTCCTTCAATCCCAAGATGGCGGGTTGTAACGTTTTAAGACTTTTTCCGATCCACAAACACTCGATTAACGTTTCGCGTTTTTGGTACACAATGACTAATGAGTAAAGGTGTATTAAGCTAAAAATTACAAATTTGCCATTTGAAATAACGTTTGAAAGTTTCTCTTAAATTTTTAGTCTATCGCTGGTGAATCGACGGCGCTAGCTAACACAATTTTCACGAGCTAGTTTCGCGAAACGCTTTGAGATCTAAAGGCCCGCAAACGTCAACAGTCAATCCTTTATATGCAATTCATTTGATGCCATTCAAATCAGATTCTATTTATTTCCGAGGTGAAGCACGGTCATCAATGTACATATGCTACTTACTGTACACAACAAAACTTTCTTCATTTTTATTCATTTTAATTTATTATTATTAATTTTTTTTTTCTTCCAGGGATTTCGTCATCCTACCTGAGCATTTTCATGTATTTTGAGATTAGTTTTCGCAGGATTCAGCAGATCTTTTATGTCCTGATAAATAGATAAATAAATGACATAAATAAACAAAGTTGAACAAAGGACAAAAATCTGACAAACTCTTTTTCTCTCTCTCTCTCTGGTACAAGAACTCCTAAGTCTTGCCAGACCTCTACATTTGAATGGACTGGTAGTTACCCCCTTCGGATTGAAGCAAGGCATTGTGGGGGGAAGATGTCAAATGATCTGACCATGCGTGAAACAAGTTTGGCCATCAGTAGTCTCCATAATTGCAGTAGTCAATGAGCATTATCTTAAATTATGAATCAAGCTGAGATTTGTATAAAAATCCCAGCAGAGCATGTACTGTTCTTTCAATTATCAAATAACGAACATCAAGTAGTAAAAAGGCAATTAAACTTGTTTACAGGTGGGTAAACTCTTATTATCTCTATTAAATTTATAGTTTGCCAGGAGTGACAGTAGAAAGTGCAATTCAAACTGATTTATTGACTGTTTGTATGCCTTTCAAATTTTATTTGTACGATTATGAAGTATCATCAACAGTGTATTATTATGTAGTTACCTCATTGTAGATCTCTATGTATGAAACTCGTATTAAAAATTCTCTAGAAGGATTCTGTAAAAAATAAAAAAAAAAATAAGATAACAATAATAAATAAATAAAATAGGATGTCAATAGACTAATATTAAATAATTGAAAAGAGAAAAATGATTACCCCGCCACCTTAACTCTCTCCTCAGGGGTTTCAAAACAAGCTGGCAACAGCCAGAGTTTGGCCCGCTACCTGATAACATGTCATCAGTTACTTTGGTCAAAAAATTACCTAGGCACCTACTTTTGTAGAGTCTGATGACTACTTCAAAACATTAATTTTTGAAACCCTTGTCTCCTTTCCTTTCTTTAAATTTAACTTTCAATGCAACAGAATGAACATAAACAACACTTGTCTTCAATTTCATATACTTAATGGTAATGTACATGTAACAGGCCATCATAAAGAGTTTGTAAAGTTGGTGTTTCAAGCCCTACAGTGTTATGCTATTAGCTCTCAGTTTCGAAGAAGGGCTAACACTCAAGACATCATTTTTAGAAACTCTAAACTGGTAAATTTAAATTATCAACTCAGTTGATAAATTAAAACTAAATTGTCTCATAATACCCCATCCCCCACCCCCCACCAATGCAACATCACAGTTCTGTTAGAAATGTACCCTACTTACTTCAATTTCATAATCATATTCAGTAGGCTACTGTAACTAGAGTTTTGTTGATCAAAAATAACTTAGTTTGTATCTCTCAGTAAGCACATCACCCAGAGAAGAGATGATCAATACATAATTACTTCAACTTAAAGGAGAATGTCTTGACTACTGTACATAGCACCAGATTTCCTCAGCTGTTTGAAAAGAAAATGAATGGTAACCACATTGGAGAGGAACCTATTGGATCACAGCATTTTTTAAAAAAATTCACTTAATGGTTGGCAGGTTAAACACAGAATACAGTACCTTTTCAATATAGTCAAAAATTTCCCCAATAGCTTTGGGGATGACTCCTTTGTACTTTCCATCTCCCATCATGGTATGAGTCTTCCCAGATGATGTCTGCCCATACGCAAAAAGAGTTCCTAAAAACAGATTTTAATAGTTGATGGGTGTAAGTCTTTGGATAAAGTCAGCTTACAAGCTGACAACCTTTGCTCTGAAGAAGGGCAAATGCTTCTAACGTCAGCTTTGAAACACTTTTTGGTGGCCAATTAAGATTATCAACTCAGTTGATGATACCAAATTACCCTGTTGCACTCTTCCACCAATACAGCATCAGTTTCTTTAAAAACTTAACCCCTTTACAAGCTGAATACACCATCCTATGGGACCTTAGCCAAGTTATATGGCTATGCAAGGAGGAACCTCAATACTCTCCTCCAGCCCAATGCCAATCCATTTGTACAAATGCTGCTTCTCTGACAATTTGCCACCATCCATTTACACTCCTGAACTTAATTGTTCAAATGATGGGTATGAGGATATAAATCTCTATCCAGCGGATAGCAATACCCATCATTTTGTTAAAACCAATTTGCTGGATAGCAATTTATCTGTTGAATAGCATTAATTATTCACCCTTCAAACCAATGTGGCATGGGGGAGAAAGAGATATTGTCATTGAGAATAAAGTGTGTGGCTCAATCCTTTGACTCCAAAGATCCAATGATTACATGTATTCTCCCCTCTAACTGCTACACATTTCCTTGTAAACAAGTTATGAGAATTTGGTGTTAGATCAAGATAACAACTGCCTGATAAGTCTTAATATTCTCATTACCTGTTGGCTGGGTAATGTATGGATATTATAGGGAGAAGTTACAAGTAAATTACTTCTGCCCAGAGTTAAAGGGTTAAGAACACAATAGGGCTGGCTTAGGTCTTGAACCCCGACCTTCATTATTCACTTTCTCAAAGTGTGGGTCTCGACCAAGAGCCAATTTTTTTTTCTTTCAAATTTGACTTGATCTAACTCAATCAATAAGTAATTCATGCTTTCCTTTTTTGTGTTTTGTTTTTGGTTCATCCTGCAATTTGCAGAACTGTACATTGGGCAATGCAGCTTTTTCTGACACCCTCTATAGCATTAATGGCTCTCATACAATAACTTTTGATGTTATCTATGAAAAGTGCTATTAGGCCTGTATAACTCCTACGGTATATGTAGCATACTGACCATTGAATCCGTCCATGGCAGAAAGGACTGTTGGTCTGCCAAACTCATCATAAACATCTTGGGTAGAAGATGACATATCAAAAATTCGATCTAGGGCAGTCAGAAAAGTTGAATTAAACAAGAGTTATTTTAATAAAGTGGCTGGGGCTAGGATACTTAGAAACTGGGAAAAATCCCTTGCTCAAGGCCCTCATTGACAACCCTGAATTAATCAATTGCTCAAGCAGACCAGATACAACTCTCTACAAGTACACTTGATTAAAAAAAAATAAATAAACAACCAAAAAAATTATAACAAATATAATAATAAAAAAGAGTAGACCTACCAAAAAAGTAAGATGAGTTTGGCAGTATCTTTGCATTCGACAATTGTGTAATGGTGTTTCCATCAACCTTCCAGTGTATTGGTTGATGAAAATCATTTTCCCTAAAGAAATAAAAATGAATGAGATCCATAGTGTTTAGTTCATTACACACTCATGGAATGTATTTTATCATAGGGCTGTTTGACCCTACTTGGTGTTCTTTAACATGTTGGTTATCCCTTTAGAAGGTAATACTTTGCTTTAATAAGCCTGGGCGAATAGGGTAAATTAAATCCATAATTCTTTACCAAATGTGACGCATTTTTATTGCGACGTGTTTAAGTTTTTGAAACATAGAAATATTTCAATGCGGAACGTAATACAAAAATCTATGACTGCAGTTTTCAGAATCTTTCAAGGAAGATGATGATATCCAAAAGCTGAATGTTAATGTTAAATCTGAAGCGTCGAAAGACAAAAAGAACAACCATTGATGGCACTTACGAAATAAATGGATCAACCGATTTGAATATCGCGTTGGCAGTAAATAAAACATTGATAACAGAGTTCATAATATCAAATTCGGGAATTACATCGATACGATCGGACACAAAAACGAATTTAGAAACAGACCGTCTGTTGGCGCGGCCAGCCTGTTTGCGCTATGCTCCACAGAAAGTGATCTGAACATTGTAATCGATAAACACTTAAACAAAATCGACGCTTACCTTTTTATTAGAGGACGAACCCTGATAGCAACCCTTATGTTGTCAGTTGCTGCCATTCTCAACAAGGAAATAAAATAACATAAAACTACTACATGTGTACCTCGCTGATCATGAAAGAGAATTTCTAAAATTTGAAATACACCGCTTTCATTCTTCTCGATTATGATTGGTTCGATCAATCTAAACCAGTCTTACGCGTCTTTATCTCCCACATTACATCGTCATTTTTGATTGGTAAACTAAATAAACCAATCATAACATTTCTTCTATCTTTTGCGCTTCTATCAGGAAACAAACATGGCGGTCTTCTACAAGTGTAAACTAACAAATTATTTTTGTTATTTTGTTGGTCAACTGGAAGACATAATCTGTTACGGCATCACAATATCACTATAAGATGGCGGTGAGTATAGAGATTTGCCATGGGGTACTTTTTCCTTTTGATGCCCGTTTTACGCGGTTTTCCTCATCAATCGTGTTAACGCAACTTCTGCTTGTGTTGTGCAATAAATAAAATAATAATAATAATAATAATAATAAAAAGAATTAAAATAAACATTTGCGACCTCGTTGATCGATTTTAGAACATATTTGAAGATGTTAATTGTCTCTTTTACAATGCGTTGTAAGGGAAGCCTTGATATCTACTTACATAGAGATGAATTGCTGGTTAGCAGTGTCGAGGTGTTATCATATTACTCTAGTAAAGAACCATTGATCCATGCTTAGCGTGCGTATTTCAGTTATGAATGCACGCGGGAAGTTTGGAGTGCACAAGAGAAGCGTCAGAGTGGCCGAGGACAGCAGAGAGAAACTCTAGCAACTTGAGTGCACTCCAAACTTCCTGGCGGCATCCATAACTCGATCTACACTTAGCTAAAGCATGACCCAATTCTTTTCTAATATAGTATGCAGACACACAAATTGTGCATGAAGAAAGAGTTTATTACAACTTTGTTAACTTTACCAGGTAATACTGTTCTGTCCAAAAAAAAAAAAAAAAGCAAAAAGATTACAAATATCTTGCATGCTTGAATTGTTGTTTACTAGAATTTGTGACCTGAAAATTGCGTAACTCTATGCTGAAAATTCTGGAAATTGTACAATTTCGAAACAAAGCCTTTTATGTTACCACTCTTATGGGACTAATGAAAATTAAAACAAAATTCTCAAGCATGATTGGTTAGCACCTGAGCCTGATTTGAGGGCAAACACTGGACAGTTTGATGGGACACTTGACAGGTCATGCCTGTGTAAGTGGACAACACACATAATGTGCGCCCTGTTGTCATGCATTTAGCCAAGTTAACTTTTTTTTTCACTGTTACTGACTTTTTCTAGGATGAGGGGAGACTTGAGGAAGAGCTTGCATCATTTCGTCGCCAGTGGAAGGAAGAAATACAGAGAAGTACTAATGACAGTGGTTCATCAAGGAACTCTCCTGTATCAGAATCAGCCTTACGACCAAGTCGTGAAGGATCTCCAAGCCCATTAGTGTTAGGGCAGAAGAAAGTGGTCAGTTCGTCCCAGAAACCCCAGCAGTTAGAGGAGAAGGTATTAGGAGCATTATACATTCATTCCTTGATGACGTAGTGATTACTGGTACATTTACATCTATCTTTAAGTACATGTACATCGATTTTTAAGATTTAATAGTTCTGAAATAAAATGTTAACCCATTAACTTCCAGACATGATTAACATTTTACTTCTGCATATATTATATCCATACATTATCAAGCAAACAGGTGATGAGGATACTCAAACTTATCAGGTAGAATTTGTTATCTTGATCGACATAGCACCAAATTCTCATAACTTATTTACAAGGAAATGTGTAGCAGTTAGAGGGGAAAATTAATCAACAGATCTTGGGAGTTAAAGAATTAAGCCACACACTGAAATATTCATTATCTTGATGTAACTCTAAATTCTCATAATTGAGATAAAAGGAAATTTTTAGCAGTTATGGAGAGAATTAACAATCAGATGTTGAGAGTTAAAGGGTTAACAGATTTATCACACCCATTTTGAAATCACTAGTGGTTCCTGTAATCTGATTAGCTCTAATTGGTGCGATTTATTCACGAATCACGCCATTTTTTGCTTTAAATCGCATCATTTTCCCAGCCATTGAGGAGGCTACACTGAAAACAAAACAACCAATCAGATTTCAAGGCTTGTTTAAAGTAACCAATCTAATTGGAGGAAAATGAAAGACAAAGAGTATCATGTGGAAAATTTTGCAACCTTTGTTTCCAAAACTCTTGTTTTTCCCCAAAAAAATGGATGAATTTAATTTCAAACCAGCTCAGTACTGCATCAATAAAATTTTTGAACTGACCAAGTCCTGTATTTGGGCGATTTCAAAATGGATGTAATAAATTGGTAATTGAACCTTGTGCCGTGCAATTTTGGTCTGAAATCATACTTGTGATTTCAAATCGAACGAGCGCTGTGTACTCGACTCATTTCAATTACCATTATTAACAGGATGTTCATATAGAAATGTATAAACAGGGAAATATTATAAAGGAACAGGAGAATACTGTAAGAGTCACTAACATCTGGTTTCTCCTCATTATAACACCACTGAATCACATATCGAGGTTGTGAGTATAAAGGAATCGATTGCCAACTAATGAAACTCTTGACTGTTATACAAATTCTCCTTGTTAGCACTTAAGGAAATGTCCAGAGAAATGATGAGGAAAATATGCATACTGATGGTAGGGTATAAAAAGCCAAATACTCCTGGTAAATTTTGAGGCAATCTGACTTATTGAGTACAAATATGTGTTTGTGGATTTTGCATTACTAGCAGAATAAAAATGTTCAAGAATGTGCAAAATGTAATCTCAGTAACAAAATCTTTAACCCTTTATACCCTGACATCAGTATGCATATTCTCAATACTATTCTCTATATAAACCCTAAAGTGCTGATAAGGAGAATTTGTTTAGCAATCAAGAGCTTCTTAATAGCTGGTGATCATTTCCCTTATTATTGTGACCTTAACATTTGATTCAGGGGTGGTCTTGTAAAAAAATTTAAATGCTTGTCAATCCTATGGTTAAAGGGTCACTAACTTTGTCAATAAATTTTAATACAGGCAGCTCATTTGTTCTTACAAGGGGTGTCTGCGGAGAGGAATGGAAATCTCTATGAAGGCAAGTATAATGTAGCTTTTGTTACTTACATATCTAATCGTACCTATTTAATATCATTCAAGCTTATTTGGCTTATTTTGTGTAATGACAAGTGATAGAAAGTTTATGGTCTGGGGCAGTCAAAAAGTGCAGACAAGGTTTTATTTCATGTATTTGAATTTTTGCTCTTTTCTTTTTAGCTATTTATTTTTACCGACAAGCTGTTCAGCTTGTTCCAGATATTGAGTTTCGAATCAAAGATTTTACAAGTTATAATTTGGCATCAGGTAGGTTTTTAGATACCTTTTCCATTGTTACTCATTATGACTCAGTTTCAAATGGTGCGATTTTTATAATGATAGTACCATTGATTGTATTTATGGATACCTGGTAAATGTAATTATTTTGTTGTAATGTTTTCAGGAATGGATGAATGAGTGAATGATTATGAATAAATGAAAAACAAACTGGCCAACAAACAAACAAACAAACAAAACCTCTGTATGAGGACATGTATTGTGCATGTAGGGCTTGGATATAACCCTGGCAAACTCACTAAATGCAAGTGATTTTGATAATCTGCGAGTGTGAAAATATTCATTAGCAAACATTTTTTTGTTAGAATCATCCATTTCTCCCAAACATGCGATAGATAGGTGGTGGCTGTCAGGAGAATGGCAATTAGGAGACCAAATATTTAATACGCAATACAGGTGCAGTGCTCCATCACCTGAGCTACATGTAAAAAACCAACTGGGAGCTCATTATGTTGGTTCCAAAAAAACCTTTGAGGTGATGAATAAATAACTGTGAATATATGAAAATCATATATATGTGAGCCGTCGGTAAAGACACAAATATGAAAGCGATTTTCATAGTAACAAACCTTACTTGAACAGTAGTGAAAATAAGGCCTGAAATAAAAAAAAAAACCGAGTCATGGGTTCAAATCTCCTACAGGCCTGAATTTTTTTAGACCTTATTTTCACTACTGCTTATAAAGTAGTGTTCACCACTGCAAAGATCGCTTTCATATTCATGTGAAATTTTGTTTAAAGACTCTGGTGTCCTATTGTATTCATAGCTAGCGGAGATGAGGAGGATGACGCCAATGTATCTCAGGAATCTGATGAGTAAGGAATCACTGCTTTTAATTTCAGCTTAGTATGAGTGACAGCTGGGAGCTGTGTAGTGTTGTAATTGTTAGTAGAAAATAATAAATAATGATAAGAAAAAATAATAATAATAATGATGATGATGGAATTTTTACAATTGAAAGTAACCATTAACTTGGATCCTTGTTGTTCATGTCTATCAAAATGTGATGTCTTAATGTCATTATTTTACAGCTCACCTGAGTTAGCAGATTTAGCCAACAGATTCCTTTCTCTCTCTGTTACTGGATTTTGCCAGCCACTTTATGAGACTAGGGTAGGCTTACTGATTCTTTGTTTGTTTGTTTGTTTTTGACTTGTCATTTACCAACTTAATTGGTAAAACTAGGAAAACTGTTAGCACTTTGATATTATCCTCTCAGGTCAATTGCATGACAGCAAATCAAAGTAATGATCAAGACTTGCAAGAAAATCTCAAAACCATAAATCCTATCATGATTATAAGGTTGAGTTATCTTATTACTTCTTGAAAGGCAGTTGTATTGCATTAAAAAAAATATATATATCTCTGGTTTTCATGGTTTCTGAGTGTGGTAGGTAATCAGAACTACAGGATAACATAATTCTGAAAGGTGATTGGTTATTGCAAGCCTCTTGTCATGCATGCAATTGGACAGTTATTTCATCTCATATGCAGACATTGTTATTGCACATTTTACAGAGTTAATTGTTGTTGTTTTTGTTGTTTAATGTAGTGCAAATGTATAACTAATGGCTGGTTTGTTTCTCCAATTTTGGTCAATTATTTGAATTGGTGATTGAATGATTGATTGATTAGCTGGATGAATTATTTAGCAGTTGATCAATTTTGTGACTGTTTTACTGATTGATTCTCTGTTGTTTTTCTTTCTTCCTCTCAGATGACCCATATATCAGCCATCCCACTGGAACTTGTCATGTATATTTTCAAGTGGGTGGTGTCCACAGAGCTTGACATGAAATCACTTGAACACTTAGCACTGGTGCGAAGACACTTTCATGCTGAGTTTAAAACTTTGTTTGTTTTTAAAGTATTAATAAAAATAACAATGACAGTGATAAAGGAAAATAAATGACATAAGAGTTAAACAAGAATTAAGGCTTTTGACAGAGAAACAGATCAGTGACGATCAGTTTTGTTAAATCTCCATTTGTCCACAAGGAAGCAAACTGTTCTTTTTACATAACGAGATTCACATAACACTCCCATAGACAGACATCCAGTCTTTTTTTGTCCTTTTGTGTCTGCCTAAAGAAATAATTCTTGTAGGTAGACAGTGCTACAAACAGACACTTTTTTCGAATTCCGAAGGGTGTCCACTTACAAGAGAGTTGACTGTACCCTGTGTCTCTCCACAGCCAAGTGCTTAGTTGTGTAGTATATTTAAGTCCCAGTGACTGTCAGAGAATGATTTCTCCTTTGCAGTTGTCTCCTGTAATCATGTCTTCCTAATTTGGCTTATTAATAGGTTTGTAAAGGGTTTTATGCCTGTGCAAGGGATCCTGATATATGGAAACTGGCTTGTCAGAGGTATATACATGAACATGTAATTTTTGTTTTTTGTTTTTTTTTTCCTGGCATAAATTCAAATTAAAGCATCTTGAACTATTTAACTCCCAAGATCTGATTTTTGATTCTCCCCTCTGGCTGCTACACATTTCCCTGTAAACTAGTTACAGGAATTTGGTATTTGATCAGGGTAATGACTTTTACCTTATATGTTTGATTATTCTCATTACCTGTTTAGCTGGAAATGTTTGGAAATTACAGGGAGAAGTTACATGATAATCAATTCTATAGGGTTAAGGTTTTGACCCATAAGAATGACCAGCTTATAATTTCACCTTACATTATTACACAAATTAAAGTCACAAGAATAGTGGAAATGATTACTTACTAGAGAAGTTGTTCTTGATTGTAAAACAAATTCTCCTTATCAGCACCTTAGGAAATGTAAAAAGATTGGAATTGAGAATATGCATACTGATGTAGGATGTAAAGGTTTAAAGATAAATTGTCCTGCTAAGGACATGTGGTGTAAATGACAAAAAAAAACTTTGAATTTACAGTGACTGTTTGTACCTTAGGGTTTGGGGTGTCAACTGTGGCAATCCAGTGCAGTGGAATGGCTCCTGGAGACTCATGTATATCAAACGTCCACATCTTTTGTTTGTTGGTATGGACCATGTCATGAAACATCTTGTATTTGTATACTATGTTAGCTGCTAATGTTAGTTACTCCTAGTTTCATCAGGTTTATTGATGAAGTAAATATGATTTTGACTGACAGATGAAATTTTCAATTAACTCTTTAACTTCCTAGATCTCATTAGTAATTCTCTTTACTGTCTGCCAAACGATTCTCATTATGTTAGTTTGGAGAATTTGATATTGTATCAATTATTAATCTTGTAATTGATATTTTTCTTAATTCTCATCACTTGTCTACATGATGTTGTATAAATACAGCACTTAAGGAGAAATTCTGTTTTGGTCACTCATTAGAAATAACTTGCTAAGTAGTGCCTTAAAGGTCTCTGGTGGAGGAGGGGGGGTGAAGTTCCCGAAGAAACTGGTGCTGTGTGGGTTGTGGGTATTGCGGGTTAATTGGTTTAATAATAATAATAATAATAATGTTTATTTCTTATATTGTGCAGTCTAGCATGCGATAAAGATATGATCGAGTGCGCATTACAACACTAAAATCTTAAAGTAATAAATGGCTAGTCCAAATAATGATAATAATAATAATAACAGGGTTCTCAGTAGAATTTTGTACAGCCGTTGCTTTGGTAGTTACAGGCGTAACCCTAATATACACGCCCTTTGGGCGTGTAACTTGGGCCCGTAGGGCTCAAGCTGCTAGGGGGGTCCGGGGGCATGCTCCCCCGGGAAATTTTTTATTTAAGATGCTCAGAAATGCTTTTTCCTTCATTTTGGGGGCATATTTTCTCATTTTCTCCAAACAAGTTTAAGTACATTTTGTAATCTGTTCAGTGGCTTTGAACTACGGAAAGTTGAAATTATCTCTTATCAAACTGAAAACTACACTGCAACATTCAATGAAATATTAACCTGCAATAACAATGCTTTGCTTTCTGAGTTAATGGCATTCATTTTATACAAAAATAATTATTAGGTAACCAGTCCTCTCCAAATGGGGGCACCCACTTACAAAAACTAATTCTCAAGGCCACACTGACCCAGTAACTGCTATATATCTAAATGAGAAAGAGTATAAGATAGCGCAAATATTTGTTAATGAATGAATCGGCCATGTTTTTGCACGTGGAAAGACGACATCTGCGAGAGGCCTGGGTTCAAATTTACAAATTCAATATGGCGGCCATATTCAACGTTGCGGAGACGTGAAGCGATTGTTCGGTTATTCTATGGTCTGCAAAAAGGCTATTCACTTTGACAACTAAAACCGAAGAAAGGTACATTGCGAAAGCAACTAACAGTCAATAGTTTACCCAGCAATTTACTCAAAAAGCCGTTCTTTTATTTGCATTTGATAGACGAATTGATCTACTGGTTGAAGCACTTTGACAGCCGTAACACTTACCTGTGACACCCGTGACAGGTGTTACGGGTTACGGGTTCAACTGAGAACCCTGAATAATTTACAATTTTCGGAAAACAATAAAAGTAGAATATGAGTTAATAAAAGAACTAATAAAAAGCTAATTTAAAAAGATGTGTCTTTAGTAAAACTTTAAAAATGTTCAATGATTGACATTGTCTAATTTCTAAAGGGAGTCGATTCCATACTTTGGGCGCAGCATTTTCAAACGCCCTATCCCCGAGTGTCTTTTTTGTTCTATAGGTATTGTCCATTAGGAGTATGCCCCGGTATGATCACAACTGATACCGCAAGCTCTCTTTGATTTTTATCAAGTCTGAAAGATATTGTGGTGCGACGCCATAGATAGCATATTTGGTTTATCAGCAAGGTTGATGATGGAATTTGATTACTGTACAAAGTTTCCAAAGTCGACATTTTGAGCATTAGCCCTTTGTCAGGTCTTTGATGAAGGACCACATATACATTGTATTGCATGAAACATGGGAGTTAGGCTTTTTCAGGCTTTGTTTGTGCAATTTTTCATCAGTGCACAGTTTCAGTAACAATGCCACAGCCCCTTTAGAGTAGTATGTGATGTTGAGAAAGCTGGCGACATGATTGAAGAAGTTTGTCACTTCCTGTTACAATGTACATGGGATGTTGTTAGTACGTACTAAGAATTGTTACCAGATTGAGGGCAAAGTGCCTCTGATATGTCTTTGCTGATATGGTGTTTAGCTTTCAAAGAGCTATAAGCCCTCTGTTAATGATATTTAACAATTGCTTGGGGATGCAGAGGAAAATGTTTACCACTTTTACAGACACTGATGTGAATAATTGTTTTAGTTTAGACCACACAAAAATGTTTGTGCAAAAACTGCAGTGTATCATTACCTGTAATGATCATTTCTTCACCTAAACATTAATTTATTCCTTAACAATGAGTCTTACTGAATGAATTTCTTTTTTTCTTTTGGTACTGAAAGGTGTTTACATAAGCAAGACTTCCTATGTGAGGGAGGGAGAGAAGAACCTGGATTTCTGTTATCGTCCTTATCATGTTGTGGAGTACTATCGTTACATGAGATTTTATGTTGATGGTAAGATTTGAATGTATCATCCAGTAATGCAATAGAATGGTTTAAGCCTGGTGGTACATGTCAAATTTTTTTCCTGTGGTCTGATTGTTGGGGCTAAGGTCGTCCTGAGAAGAACCGCTTTCATGAAAACCTCAGCGCGAGTCATTATCAGATTTGAGTGTAGAACTTATATGATTGTTGTAGTATGTTTGATTGAATTACGGTCAAGTCGCCGACGGTTTAGCTAGCCGACGCCAACTCGCCGACGTATAAAATCTAATAGTAACGTCGGCGAGTTGGTCTTCAATCCAGTACAACTTATTAGAAGTTAAACACATGGACAAGTAAAAGATCTTTAGGAAAAAAACAATTTTTTTCTTCCAACAAAGTTTATAAGAATCTCATGGCGAATAAAGCTAGGTAAACATCGCCAATGACTAAGAAAGCTTCAGACGTGAACGAGATATATATTATTGTGTGACAACAACACTGTAAAGACTCATCATGTCAATCGGTCAGATTTTTTTTTAAAGAAACTTGGCTTTCTGGACAAGATATTCAATAAAAAAAAAATTATTTTTACTTCCAACAAAGTTTATAGGGATCTCAAGGCGAATAAAGCAAGGTGAACATCGCCAATGACCAAAAAAGTTTTTGACGCGAACGAGTTATTGTGTGACAACAATACTGTAAAGACTCATCAAGTCAATCGGTCAGATTTCAAAAAAAGACTTAGCTTTGTAGACAAGATCTTTTGTAAAAAACAATCATTTTTATTTCCAACAAAGTTTGTAAGGATGTCAAGGCGAATAAAGAAAGGTGAACATCGCCAATGACTATTAAAGCTTCAGACGCGAACGAGTTCTTGTGTGACAACCATAGCAACCACGCGGAACCACATGTTTTTCTAACTTTAAAGAATGATTTATTCATGATCGAGAACGTTTGATTTACGATAAAATTTGATATGTACATCGTGCTATTTTTCTACTCTTGGAGGTCCGTTTAATCTCGACATCGATTTCAATAATTGAACCGCTTTTTTTTTTTTTTTTACCATTCTCATATTTCTCCCAAAATCCAAACACCTTACTCTGCAATCGCCTATTAGCCCTTCTTTGGATTCTGGTCAGCTTCTGGTTAGATACTAATCGTATTTGTATTATAAAAGCGTTTAGAAAATGTTTGCCGTTCACCGGCATAGCCTGGTATTAAAACGGACCAAACGTAAACTCCTTCGAAAGTGAGCTACCGAAGCCTGAATCTAGAATGACGGTGGCTGTCACACAATAACTCGTTCGCGTTTAAAGCTTTTTTGGTCATTGGCGATGTTCACCTCGCTTTATTCGCCTTGACATCCTTATAAACTTTGTTGGAAATAAAAAGAATTGTTTTTAACGAAAGATCTCGCCTAGAAAGCCAAGTCTTTTTTTGAAATCTGACCGATTGACTTGATGAGTCTTTACAGTGTTGTTGTCACACAATATCTCGTTCGTGTCTGTCTGTCAGAAGCTTTTATAGTCATTTGCGATGTTTATCTTGCTTTATTCGCAATGAGATCCTTATAAACTTTGTTGGAAATAAAAATAATTTGCTTTTTTACTGAATATTTTGTCCAGAAAGCCACGTTTTCTTAAAAAAAAACCTCACCGATTGAAATGATGAGACTTTACAGCGTTGTTGTCACACAATAACTCGTTCGCCTCTGAAGCTTTCCTAGTCATTGGTGATATTTACCTCGCTTTATTCGCCATGAGATCCTTATAAACTTTGTTGGAAGAAAAAAATTGATTTTTCCTAAAGATATTTTACTTTTCTATAAGTTTAACTTCTGATAAGTTCAATACTGGACTGAAGACCAACTCGCCGACGTTTCTACTCGATTTTATACGTCGGCGAGTTGGCGTTGGCGAGTTGACCCGTCGGCGACTTGACTGGATACCGTTTGATTGCAGGTTTTACGCTGAATGAACAACTTACAAATACTCTGAAATCGCTTGAGCTTGGATTCCATTTGAAACCTACAACATGCATGTTACAAATTACTGAGAACATTTTGAGGTCTGTGATCTTTCACTGTCCAGACCCTTTGCAACATGGAATCGAAGAGAAAAAATATATTAAAAAGAATGATAAGTGCAGTGAGTGGTGATATCTTGTTTAAGTATATGTGTCTGTCCTCCAATAATTCATGCAATGTAAGTGTTGGGACCAATCAGAATGTGTGTTTGATTTAGTTTACCATATGTGTCTTTTTGTTTTTGTTATAGACATAATTATTTTTTGTTTGACAGGGACAGTATTAATTTACACCAGTGCTGATGAACCAGTCACTGCCATTGCACGGCTAAAACTCAAGCATTGTAATAGTCCATCTGTCTCTGTTGGCCACTACAGATTGTCTGGAGAAAAGGTTTGTGCATAAAAACTAACTTTGTGCTTGTGGGTTAAACTTAAACTACGTGGGTTTTTTTTTTCAAAGATTTCAATGTTCTCAATTTGTTGGGTAATGCAACTTTTAAGAAATGTTTCAGCCTAAGGGGCCAACTTATCACAGAAACTTTCGAGTGTCTGAGCACATGATCTTGGTGTTAACAGAGATAATTAATTGCATTTATAAGGATGCATTCAGCATTTTTAAGGGAAAAATGTTGTTTTAACACAAAGTAGCAGGGTGGTATCAAGTGTAAAAACATTTAGATGAGAAATGTACCCACTAACAGGTGCATGTACATGGTGCAGCTTTTCTTTATATTTTGTGGTGTCCTTCTGCATGAGAATGTGCATAATTTGATTTACAGGTCACCATCATAGTCAACAAGAAAGTTACCTCTGACACTTACAATCAAACCAGAGGTCGCCGAGTGAGAGCACCTCCTCCTCCCATCCTGAAGCAAGTATTTCATATGGTAAGTTTATTGTTTGTTATTAACCTTGTGTGAGCAGTTTTGTGCTGACACTGCAGTTTTCTTTCCTTAACCCTGACAGTGGCTAGCACATCGTTTTTATTTAGAATATCACCCTTGATTCACCCATAAGAATGAAGGCAATAATCACCAACTAAAGAAGCTCTCAGGGAATTTTACCTCATAAGATCTCATTGTTCACTATCGTTTGAACCAACCAGCACCATTCATTTAATCCTGTCCAAACACATAATGAAAGTTGACTCATGTAGGGCCAGACTGATTGACTCAAGGTAGTCTAGCAACAGAACATTCACAAGAAAAATTAAAAAGGCCTTTATTTTTTTTATTTATTTTTTTTTACTTCTCAAGTTTGATATGTGCAGCAAAAAGAACATGGATAATTATTTGCATCTGTTTTGGAAACTCAATTGAGCCTTTTCTAAAAAAAATATGCATCACCTCTTTGGGCAATTAACAAATTTCTGTAAGAATTTTAATTGGGTTTTTTCCCACAAGAGCTCCAACAATAAACACCAGCAAATTTAAAATTTGTACTGTGAAATACAGAGTTATGAAATTAATATGACCATGGCCTGATGCTTTTGTTATCCCAAGGAATTGCAAATTAGCAGTGTTGGACGCCGTCGTCATAATCAGCTTACATGGCTGCATTACAGTGTCAATACAACATACAGGTAAGTTAGCTTTTGAACAATTTCCTTTTGTAAAACTTTGCAAGTTATGAGTGGCTTAAAAGCCCATTATGAGGGGGCCTGGTGCTGTCTGTAAGACCTCTCACCCTTGTTCATTCAGCCTGATAGCAGGCTCTGGTGTTTGGGATCCACCTTAATTGGCACAGTTGCCCATGACACCATCACCAGCCATTTATGCAAAAAGTTCTTGAAACCCTGGCATTTGTGATAATTCTATTTTGATTTTCTTTCAAAAACCAACCTTTGATTTCATTGGGCATGTAAGCAAATTAATCACACCTCAAATATATTGTCTCACTGAGACTGCATGGCTATAAAATGTCTCATGTATGGGTTGACCTTGGAGAAAAGGTGTAATTTAGGAGGGACTTCAGAGCTCAACTGATTCACAAACAACTCCTTGACCAAACCTTACTTGGGGAAATCAAAAATCTGTATTGCAAAAAGTACAAGAATTCTGTCAGCCACTTATGGAAAAAGCCCAGTAATTATGATTATCATACAATCATGCAATAAGTTTCACTTAATGTAAAGTTAACTGCGTTGTCCATTTCTTTACAATCAGGTCATCTGGCCAAACAGTCGACTCACAGTTTGACTTAAACAACCAGTTTCCGCCATTGCATTTTTCACCAGTGCGCAGTTTCAGTAACAATGCCACAGCCCCTTTAGAGTAGTATGCTGGATGTTGAGTGAGCTGGCAGCATGATTGAGGAAGTTTGTTACTTCTAATTAGAGTGTACATGAGATGTTGTTAGGAGGTGCTGAGAATTGTTACTAGATTGAGGCAAAGTGCCCTTGATATGTCTTTGCTGATATGGCATATAGCTTACAAGGAGCTAATAACCCTCTGTTAGTGATATTGAATAATTGCTCATGGATGTGGTGGAAAATGTATACCACTTTGACAGATGCTGATGTGAATAATTGTCTTTGTCTAGACCACACATAAATGAAACATGAGTTCAATTATTTCAGTCAACATACAGAAAAGTGGCCAGTGAAAAATAAAACAAAGAAAAAAAAAAGGTACCAAGTGACCAAAATCTTGCACAAGAATTCTGATCTTGTTTTGATTTATTTGCTTAGGAATCACAACAGTTAACGATCAGTTAATTGATTCATTTGAAAGAAAATTATTTGGAAGAGTAACGTGTTAATTTAGTTTCATGCTAGAATATTAGTTTAGGTTCTACATTTACAGTAAGCAGAATTGACACATTAATTAATGTTAGAAGTAAACAATAGCCAAAAGGAGGCTATTTTTTTATTATCCTTCAAATATTTTTGCAATGCACAGGAGAAAGTTTTCAAACAGCTCAGTGTTTGCCGAGTGGAATGTTCACTTTCCAGTGTTGTCTGGTATGACTTTATGAATAAACATGTCCTTTCCAAGATTTGAAAATTGGGGAATATACATCTTGGGGTATATCCCTGGACATTCCCCAGTTTTAGTTTTAGTGCAAGAGCAAATATTTGATGGATTATAATTATGACTGATGTATCAATTGCATCATTGATATTAATAGCAGTCATTATTCTGATTATTATTTTACGACGATTGTTGTGTATTCATCAAGCACAGTTTGTATCACTTACACTTAAGTTGCGTTAGAAGCTTATGCTTGATTTTTTTCCCATACTGTGTGCTTTCTGAACAAGGGCAGCTCTTTACAATTTAGTCATGTTAATCATGTTTGATTTATATGCACACCACTGAATAAACTCAGGCACTTTATCATTTTAACTACTCTGTAAGTCGTAGTGAAAAGTTATTTCTGTTAAGTAATTACCCTTTACACCCTAACATCAGTATGCATATTCTCCATACTGTTCTCTATACATTTCCTGAAGTGCTGTCAGAGAGAATTTGTTATAAAGTCAAGAGCTTCATAAAATTGGTGATTATTTCCTTGATTCTTGCGACCTTAATGTTTGATTCAGGGGTGATATTTTAAGGAGAAATTAGAAGATGGTTACCCTTAGGGTTATAGGGTTAAGCAGTGAGGGGTACTGATGACGTTTTGTTGTTGCAGGCAAGTTAAATTAAGTCCTCCTTTGAATCTTGTTTGATTGGTTCTCAAAATATCATACTACATTATGCTTATTAGTATGCATATTTTCCATATTGTTCTCCATACATTTCCTGTGTTGACAAGGAGAATTTGATAAGATTAAAAAGTTTTAATCATAAGTTGGTGATCATTTCCTTTATTCCTGTGAATTTGATGTGTGATTTTGGGAAGGTTTTGTAAGGAGAATGGAGATGCTAGTCACTCTGAGGTGCCAACAGTTAAGTTGTGTTCAGGCCATTTTAAGGTGATGTTCAGTTAAAAGGAAAGCATTTGTAAAGTCTCTCCCAGGCTCTTAGTTGTTTGGGACAAGTCAAAGACCAACTAAGTGACAAACAGCCATAATTTTGGGCACCTCCTTTTCTGCAGGTTTTAGCACCGGTAATATTCTTGACCTCAACTGCCAACATTTTTTAGTGACTAACTGCTTTAATGCAACTCTAAAATAATGTAGGAGTAGTGTGCCTCTTGGTTCTATACTCCCATCTTTTTTTTTCACCAATTTCAGTAGCTTTTCCTTTCCACAACTATTTAGAAGGCAAAGCAGCTGACACAAAACCAGGGTAAATGGCCTTTAATCAGTCCAGAAAAGGAACAACCACTTTACCAAAGTAAATTTGCTTTTCTTCAAACCAATTAAGACTTTTAGGTTGATAGTGTGATCATTTATTTGCATTCAAATCACTATGTTTTGCCCCAACTGAAACATATGAGTATTTGGTTAGTTACAGAAGCTCATTTTGTGGGCTTGGGCTACCTGTGGTCTGACCACTTTTAATTAATAGCTTTCACCTCAGCAACATCCCACTATTCGACTCTTAATTTTTAAAACCCAATGATGTTTGCTGGGTAACTCATTCTGTTTTTATTTGAATTAGTATTTTAATACATATATAATTTAATGACTTGTTCATTTAATAACTAAAACATCAACCTTGTAGGAATTGAACTAAAAAATTGATAATAAATTGAAATGTCAACTGAAATTTAATTCTGTTGCTCTATTAACATTTGACTGTGTGTTGTCACTATAAACTCCTCGGCCCGGTTGTGGAGAGGGCAGATATTGTTATCCAATGGATAAACTACTATCCAGCAGGTAAGTGATTGTAAAAGGTACTGTGCCATCCTCCAGATATCCACTGGGTAGAGATTTATCCAGTGGATAGCACTATCCAACCTTCAAACAACAGGGGCCTGATCTTCTAGCTCTTGAGTATAATAACCACAAAGAAAATTTTGTAATTTTCGTAATTCACAGCAGGTATCTTAACTTAAGCAGCATCAAAATGGCTTTTAGAGAGAGTTCTTACAACTGATTTATTGGAGGAGAGAATTCACACAAAATTCCCCAGTGATCACTAGGAAATCTGCGACATCCAGGAAGCCTCTCCATTCCCACTAACATAAACTGATTTGCTTTCAGTGCATTCTGGCCTTGTACAGACCTAACAAAAAACCTGTCAAATCTTCCTCTTGGCTTGTTGGGATAAGGCAAGTCCAAATTGTCATTCAATCTGGCATCCCAAGAGTACTGTGCATCAGCAGGTCTCCCACTTTCCTCCCATGCATCGACTACACCACTTGGCAATCCTCCAAAAGCTGACAGCTCTTTGTCCCGCAGATTTGTGTCACCTCCAAATATAGCAGTAGCATTTGCAGCCTGTTCTGCCATGCTCTTCAAAACTTGTTCAAGTTGTCTCACCCGCTCAGCTTTGCAGTCAGCTGTGCTCTCAAGGTGTGAGGTCATAAGAGTCAGTGCTATCTTGTTTTTAAACAAGACAGGCTGACAGAGTAAGTGACGTCCCATTTTACTTGACTGAAAATGTGTACACTGAAGGTCACTTGTGGTTTTGATTGATGACATCTTTAGAAGCATTATGTTGAAGTAAGCACGGGTGGGTCCATAATTGCAGAAATACCTTAAGGTATGGAAAAAAAATTGTAGGTTCAGGTTATTCCCATGATAACATAACTCTCTGCATGCTAATTCGTAATAGTTAAAATTACAGTGCTTTCAATAAGACCTGGCAATTGCCATGTATACTTTGAAAGCTTTCAAGAAAACTAACAAAGTGAGACCTTAACACCTTGAGATCTGCCAGAGTTCTCTCAGTTGACTTTTCCCTCTATAATTAAGTGTTGATGAAAAGGATTGATTTCATACAGTTCCAGGGAAAAAAGATTTTGAGTTTCCAAGAACATACAGACTCAAATTTCAGTAACCAATAACCATATTGATAAGTCCTTTTACAGAACACTTCTGTGAAACTCAGGGAGTAGGTAATAATGTCAGCAAATGGAAGATTTCAACTAGAAATAAAACGATCAGTTAAACAATTGTTATAAAGGAGACATCATCTGCAAAAGTTTTGTACTCATAACTCCATTTGAAGCCATTTTATTCTGAACAGAACTAATAGGTTGATGAAAGGGATTAATTTTTTTTCATATTATTCTAAGAATTTGGTGTTGTAATTCTCTTTACTCATCAGCTTGATAGTGTCTTCATAATAGAAGGAGAAAATAATGTTTTGATCACTCTTAGGTGAAAAAGAGTTAAACCTGAACAATAAAAGTTACTGCTGCAGTGGTAGTCGCTGTCAGTGCTAATTTCTCATTTCCCTAAATGGTATGCAATTTCATTGCGGAATGTTGCTCACACAATAGACCAACCTGCATTTTCCCTTCCCACAACACCCCTCCATACTCTGGATCATAATTTCTTTCACAGGTATTGTTTGAGATGTCAAACCATTTTTCACCTTTCTTGTTAACCAAATTAATTTCAACTAACCCTGGGCACTTTGACTGAAATATGGGCAGAGTCTGTTGAACAACCTCTTGTAAGAATACCACATCAGGTTTTTTACTGTTGATGACACTGCACACTGTTTGTGTTCTTTCCAAAATATTTCTCTCATCCAGGCCATCAACATTCCACGACAAAACAGTTAAGTTTTGATTAGTTTCTTCTGTAGGGGCTGCACTGTAAAGAATCAGTGTTTGGTATTAGGAACATAATAAGTACAACCTCTTACAATCAACCCTGAATTTCTTGAACTTAATAATGCTTTTTATGCCCTGAGATGGACTTGTATCAATGATCATGATGTTTTCTTGTGGATGTACCTAAGGTTATGGGCAAATTTAAATTATTTTCCTTTTTTTCCTGAAAAGCCATTGCAACCATTGACTTTCTGTGATGTTTTTCACATACATTATTTTAAAACAAGTAAGAAAATGATTTCTCCTGCAATTTTGTATTAATATGCACTTATAAATTTTTCAGACTACAAATTGCACATGCCCACAATTTTGTTGTCTTTGAAAAATGTACTTATTTACACAAAATTGTGCTAAAAATTACTGCTCTATCTGCATTGATCTATTGAAGAAATCTAAAATATGTTGGTGAGTCAATTAGGAGTAAAGGCAAAAAATTTCACAGTAAAAATAATGACAATATACTATCATATAAAAAGTATGGAAGGGAAGTTCATGAAGCCAAACAGAAGAAACAGTCTGGATGTTAGGTGACATAGACCTCTAGAAAGGTCTGTTACATGTACATGTTGTAAAGAAAAATTCTCCTCACCCATTGAATGACCCATCTTCAGAAGGAGAAACATTGTCACCATCATCAGAAATCTGAAAAAAAAAGGATGCATATGCAAGATTATTGGGGCTGTCTACAAGCTTAACAATACTGTCAGTAAAACTCATTTCCATCTTGATTGTCCTGTTTGCCAAACTTGTACAGGAGAGCTCTGGACCTAGAGTCACAAGCCTAACTGTGTCTCCTGAGCAGAAGATATCATCAGAAGACAAAGTCAATTATGGACTTTTTGGTGATAATCACTTGTGTTCAGTTTCAGATCTAAACCACAGTCAATGTCACTGACAACAAAATAAGCAAAACAAGTTAAGGAACTGATTCCTGTGAGTGGGCTATAATAAAAATTGCAGAAGAGAAGTCTGAAAAGATTAATGCTCTTGATTGACACAATTTAAACCTGGCTTGCTGGTACCGTGCCTAAATATTTTTGACATTTTCCTTGGCTGAGAGACTGACCTCAAGATTTCACATTTGCCCTCTACACTTTGCTTCTCAGCCAAAGATTTACTTCTTAGACAATACCTCAGCAACGCACATTATCAAGCAACATACCAGCTGCCTGAAGAAGTTTAATTTATTAACCCTTTACACCCTAACATCAGTATGCAAATTCTCCATACTGTTCTCTATACATTTCCTAAGGCCCTGACAAGGAGAATTTGTTTAACAATCAAAAGCTTCTTTAGTTGGTGATCATTTCCTTTATTCTCATGATCTTAAATGAATAATTCAGCAGTATTATTGTAAGGAGAAACTAGAAGGTGATCAGTCTTAGGGTCAAAAGGAGTAGTTACTTACTCTACTCACCATAATTGGGTTTCCCTTTCCACCATGCCTTCCTTTGCTGACATTAGAGTCCAAAAAAGCATTCACAGCAGACTGCAATATTCAGCAGAAAATTGTATGATAGTACATTACTTTATTCTAACCCAACACCTTAGCATCAGTATACAGATTCTTCATACTCTTCTCCATATTATTTTCTAAGATGCTGCCAAGGAGAATTTGATTAACAATCAAGAGCCTCTTTAGCTGGTAATCATTTCATTTTTTCTCATGACTTTAAAGTGTGATTTAAGTAAAGTGTGATTTTGCAAGGGAAAATTAGAAGCAAATGCTCTAAGTGGTTGCAGGGTTAATTATAAATAATTTTAAGTATTGATAATAATATTGCTTTGAAGGGTGATTATCAAGTACTCCACATGTACACTCTGAATTTGGCCAAGAATTACCAATTTATTGTTTCATATAAAAAGTTAATGAAACTCATAAACCTTTTTTTTTTTAAGGCTATCTTGATGACAAGTGAGCCATTCAATATAATGCATATGGCTACCAGTAATAAGTCAAATTTTGTCTGCACTCAAAAATGTAGTCTCTAACCAACAGATAAAATTACCGACATTTAATTTAAGCCAGGCAATTAATATATTTGTCTTAATTTCACACATTTTCTTAAATATGTCTCAAGGAAAATTGTTAATTTTTTAAAAATTCTCCTCCTTTCATGTATTTAAAACCATTAATGGTGAGCCAAAGAGTAAATAGTAGTTCTACTGTCAGTGGAAATTGTGTTACATCTTGTGGTTCAATTCTTGCTGTTGTGAGTAGTTTAAAATTTTGAAAACAAATTAAATTTTTAACTCAAAACCCATTATTTTAGGTTAAAAAAATTGACAAAATACAAAGAAAATGAATCTTTTCATACGTCAAAATAAATTGAAAAACTGTGACCAGAAAAAAAAAAATTAATTGCAGCACAGATAATTAACCAGCCAGAGACTTGGAGCACAGCCACAAAAATTTCAATAGGTTTAAATAAATCAAATGGGTCATTGCCATACTTTCAAAATATAGTAAGAGAGAACCAAATATAGAAAAACTTTTGTTGAACATTTTATTCTTTTAGCTGAGAAAAAAAAAAAAAAAGGTGATAAAAATAGAGGCAAAAAAAAGGGAAAGAAAATCTGCATGTGAGGTTGATGAATACATTTTAGACAATCAAGCTCTCTTCATGATAACTCACAACATAAAAACCAACACTGGTAATGGATGATTAAAAACAATCACTGATGGTTGGGTTTGACCCAATAGCAAATGGAAGTCAGACAGGTAGTTTATCAAAGCTTAATACCTGATTAATAATGATAAAAACCAAATAATGGAATGATAATTTATAAATTATCTGAAAAGGATTGGTGGCCAAGGGAGGGGGGGGGATTTGGTTGAAGTGCACTGAACGTCTAACTTGCGTGATTTTAGTTACTATATTTGTTCCAACGTATTGGAACAAAAGTTCTGTTTTCCATTCCTGGGGAGGGAGGCAAGTTCATATATCTGCCCCTGGGATGCATCCCTCCGGGAAAAATTGGAAGGTATTGGGTCCTAAACGTTTTTCAGAGCTTGCAACCGATTTTTCTGAAACTTAGTACGTTTGCTAAATTGGGTTTGATCAGTCAAGAATTGAGGACAAGATATGTATATTATTTCGCTGTTTGAATGACAACTTCGAGCTGACAAGACTGTGCAAAACCTGGAAAAATGTTGTGCTATAGTACACTGACCTCTACATTCCAATTAGACTGTTGTAAATAGCGCATCGCCGTAACATCTTCAGCCCCAGTTACTGCCATGAACTCTTGCACCAAATCAGTGATGTCGTCGCTGTCAGCCATGTCGTCAAGACTCGACTTGTGGACTGAGAGGATAGTCGATAGTGTTGTACTTATTAAGTAATGATTCGCCTAAGAAGGAAAGAAGCAAGGTGCAGGGCTTGCGTATAAGTAGTCTCCTTAATTGGCTTATCTTATTAATTTCCGATGCTCTGATTGGTGGAAAACGGTATTTTCACGATATTTGCACGAAAAAAACCGATTTGTTACGATGTGTTTTCCTTTTATGGTAGGGTTTCTATTGTTCTGTCTCTCGGTAAAGTTTCGGCTAATTTGCATTTGCTGAACTCGGTTTTCCGAGACTCGTACAATTCAGTCGCCACATTGGCTATTGTGCAGCGTGCGATCCTTCGTCAAAATAGCATCGTTTATGAAGTCTACCTTTTCTGTAAATATTGTAAATAGTGTATATAGTGTATATAGTTTTCAATTCATCTATCTCGTTTACGTTTACCTCCTTTTTGGAGCCCTTATGGGGTTCGAAGCGAAGGAGTTTTATTAACATGCGAGGCAGCGAGGCGTGCGAGGCACCATGCGAGGCGTGCGAGGCATGCGAGGCGTGCGAGGCATCGCAATTTCCTTAATTTTTACACATGACCATATCGTGGGCTCAAGTTTAGAACTCATCGAGGTTATGCGTTTTTTAAACCAGATTATGGAATTTTATTGGATCGTGGGCTCAAGTATTTCCCAAATTATTAGAACAAAGCTAAAAATTTTTACATTTACACTTTTGTTAAAGTAATATTGGGGAATCATTTCTTGATTAATTGATGCTGATGGTTGATGCTTGATGATTGAAGAAGATTCGAAAAGAGATTCAACCACGGTGTCCGAAGATCTCAGAAAGACACAAGGACAAGCACCGGTCTATAAAAAACCCTAGGAGGGGTACCAGAGTCGGGATTCACATTTGGGGGCTCCGACGGGAAGGCACGTGTTATTGGACAAATAAATAACAAATTTATATATGTATATCTTAATGTTCTCGTAGCTCAAGTGAATAGGGCGCTTGGCCAGAGATGGGGAGGTCGTTGATTCGAACCCCGTCCAGGCTAATTTTTTTTTCGTGTTAAAAAAAACCAACCAACCAAACTATTTCGGCATTTTTTGATATTTTATTTTTTTAAATATTTTTAAATATATTTTTAAAATTTTTTTTATATTTTTAAATATGTTTTTTTAATTTTTTTTTATTTTTTGTGTGCCTCGCATGCCTCGCACGCCTCGCACGGTGCCTCGCACGCCTCGCTGCCTCGCACTTTGTAAGGACCGGAAGCGAAGTGTGTTTGTTCGAAACACAGCACGTGGCACCATGGTGATATTTCAGCGGCTAGTTTGCGGATTGCTAGTCCAGAAGAGCTTGAATTTTGTGGTGTGGATACATCGAAAAACAAAACCAGAAAGAGAAAGATTTGCCTTCCATGTCGAGAAAGAATTGCTCTTGAACTCAAGTGCCGGAGATATGAGGTCAGCTTATGTTTACATGCGTCAAATTTGCCGACTGATTCTCAATGTGTGATTTTCCTTTTGCACTGCTGTGCCTCTCATAATTTTCTTTTATTGTGATACGATAGCCATCGAATATACCTTAGAATAATTTTCATCTCCTTCTTTTCTCCAGGAGGTAAATTTCAACCAGCTAGTGCCGTCGGATCATGTGTACTATAGGTGGACTCGGTCGACATATCGGGCGACAGTCGACCGATATATCGGTCGACTATCGGTCGACAATCGACCGACTATCGGTCGATAGTCGACCGATAGTCGACCGATTGTCGACCGATAGTCGACCGATGGTCAACCGATATATCGACCGACTGTCGGCCGATGCATCGGCCGATATGTAGCGATCAACTGCCGGTGAAGTATCGGTGAAGTATCGGTCAAGTATCGGTCAGGTATCGGTCAGGTATCGGTCAAGTATCGGTCAAGTATCGGTCAAGTATCGGTCAAGTATCGGTCAAGTATCAGTCAGGTATCGGTCAAGTAGCGGTCAAGTAGCGGTCAAGTATCGGTCAAGTATCGGTCAAGTGTCGGTCAAGTGTCGGTCAAGTGTCGGTCAAGTGTCGGTCAAGTGTCGGTCAAGTGTCGGTCAAGTGTCGGTCAAGTGTTGGTCAAGTGTCGGTCAAGTAGCGGTCAAGTATCGGTCAAGTAGCGGTCAAGTATCGGTCAAGTATCGGCCAAGTATCGGTCAAGTATCGGCCAAGTATAGGTTCACTTACCGACCATATCGCTTAGAAGAAAATAGGCTAAGAAAGAGTGCGAGGTTTTTTCGATATATGTTCCGATTTGGTAATGGAAAAATACATCGTAAAGTTGGTCGCTCTTGTGTAACTAATGTTGTGCCTTAACGTATTTCTATTATTCCTAAAACTACCCGGCTTATGCTTTATCCCTGATGTCATGCTGCCCTTAATCCAACATACCTAAAATGATTATTATTCCTTAGCTCTTATAGCTCTAACAGGTCCTTAACGTTATATTGCTTGTACAACGTTACCGATATTAACTGTCCAGGTTATGTCCGTAATAGGATCCACCTAAATTGTATTAGCTAAAACTGCAGTGTGTAACTGCCAAGCTAAACGAAAAGTAAATGATCTTTTGAAACTGAACTAGGCGGTTAAACTCATAAGCAAAGCGATTTTATAAAGACTTCTTTTTGCAGTGCGAGGTCAGCCGTTGTTTGTTTGTTTTTTCATGGTTGTTATTTTACCTAGAATAAGGCGTCTTTTTGGGGGTTTGGGCCTTAACAACGGTATCAATTTTTTTTATCCTTAAATAGGGAACTCCGCGGCACCCACCTATCGGAAATACAGTAGCTTATAAGAACCTAGAATTCACGAACCTGTTAGCCTAAAAATATCAATTTAGACCCCCTTTACATAAGAACCTATTTAGCCTAAATTTGAAACAGGTTCCTGTTTTAGAAAATAAACCTTAAAGATCTTCAGGCAAAGATAAAAGACATGACTCTCAAAAGTAGTGAACTTAAACATGTATGAACTATAAAAATCTCTAAATTTGGTATAAATAATGTATGAAAAACAGTAGTATGTACATGTTGGTTTTGAATTAGAATTCACATGAGTACACCCTACGAGTACATTTAGAACCGAGAACTCAGATTCTTATAAGCGGGTAAGTACTGTAGTTTGACTTACTAAAACAAAATCAAGTCTGCAATAAATATCTAGTTGTCTTTGCCTCCAGATAATCCTCTTGCCATTTGGATTAAAAATTCTCTAAACATCGCATAGCTCCAAATTTTCCATCGCATTTTGCACTACCTTTAAAGCGTTCTGATGTGTTCTGGCGATGCCATTTTTTCAGAGAAAATTGAGAGAGTAAAAAACATCCTAAGCAGCTGGTCTGCTCGGAGACTCACTCTTCTAGGTAAAATCACGATAATAAAAGCTTTGGCAGTATCCCAAATTGTACATGTTTTAACCTCTCTTCCAACGCATCAGGGTGCACTTAAGGAAATCGATACCCTGCTATATGACTTTCTCTGGGAAAGCAAAGGGGACAAACTTAAAAGGACACAAATGATCAATGATTACGATAAAGGAGGCCTCAAGATGATAGATATTCAAAGCTTTAATAAATTGCTAAACAAAAAGTGGGTAAATGTAAACTTCTCGTAGACTTCCACCTCCAGAAGTGTAGGGGGAAAGTAATGTTTTTAAAGTGTTACTACGATCAAACTATCCATATCCATTTTTTATGATTTCGTGTAAAATGTGACTGTCTAAAATACCTTGCTAAATATCAATCCATTACGACCATCAGAAATCTTTTTTTTATTTGTATTTTTATTTCCGAGAAGTTGCAGTCGCCATTTCTTTATCTCGTTCCAATTATAGCCTGGTTGAGAATTAGGGAAAATGACGTCAAATGCTCAAAATACCTCGCGTAAAATAACTCGAGTGTGCTAGACTATTGCAATGTTTGAATTTATTACAGGTACAGTAAAAAACCCTTTTTTAAGAACCTAGATTTTAAGAAAAAATAGATTAACTGAAAATGTTAGACAAAAATTGTGCATTAAAACTCCTTTTACACGAGAACCTGTTTTAGCCTACAACTTTGAAACAGGTTCTTTTTTTTGAGAAATTCAGTCAAAGCAACAACACAGTTCCATGTATTAATGTTGCGTTTTGTTCTGTTTATCTTGGATAGCTTTGTAAACTTGGTAAATATATGCTTGGATTTTTAACATATTATGTATACAATACCAAAAATAGGCCACGCCCTCCAATGACAAACAACTCATTTATTTTGAAAACTAGACTGTGAGCAGAGGGCGCGATCGACGAGCGGTGAGCGGCCAAGCTGCGATCTCTTTTCGCTGTGACTGACGCCCCTGCTGCTCGCAGATTACGGCCTCGCCCCTCATCGCTCGTCGATCACGTCCGCTTTTTCCCCGTTCGTTCCAGTAGGATTTCACAGCAAAAGAGACTGCTCGCAGTCTATTTGAAAACAAGAACCTGTTAAAGAACCTGAGTAGCCAAATTTTCCAGTTAAGCACCATCTTTTATAATAACCTTCTTAGCCTTGCTTGGAAAAAATTAGGTTCCTATTAGTGGGTTTTTACCGTATATGCTTCTGAGTCTAAAATTGAAAAAAATACCAAATTTCACCAATGTTGCACTAAGGTCACAGGAACTGTCCCGTTTCGGGGAAGGGGGGTACTCCCGTAAATTTTGAATAAGTGTGTGCCTCGAAGAGTCTTGAACCCTGTCCCACTTTAAGGATGAAACAAACGAGAATTGTCCAAACACGAAATATGACACCCTATTCAAGGAAAAACAATAACCAAACAACGGCTAACCACGCGCGGCAAAACACAAATCTCGATAAAATCGCTTTGTTGACAATTTTAGCGGAATTTGCTTTTTGTTTAGCTGGCCATTTACACACTGCAATTTTAGCCGATACAATTTACATATCCTATCTAAAGATCACAACGGAAACACAATGCTAACAGAGGCAAAACG